TCTGAACATTTTTTAATTTAATTGTTTCTATTTAGATCTTTATTATAATATTTCATATATATACGAGTATATAATACGAAACGAAAATTAAATATTTAATACATATATTTTGAATTTTGACCAATGCATAAAGAAATTGCTCCATTTGCGTAGTCAACCATATAATATAATAAAACAATGGATAGCAATGTTAGAAAGACAATTAATTACCGTGGCATACCTTATTATCGTAGTTCATTAGAAGCAGTCTGTTTGTTATTAGATAAATGGACAGCAGTCGCCGTCTTCCTGTTAGCTCAGAGCTTGTTTTGAGGATGCCCGTGGGCAGTGTTACAGTTATTTAGTTCTCTTTGGGCTTTTGTTTCTCTTAGAAAAAATACAGGTAGGTTGTTTTCTTAGTCTTCATTATCAAATATAACAGTTATTCTTTAATATAATAATTTAATCATAATTAATGTTTAGCCTACTTTTTAAATTACAATCAATTTCACCCCAAAACTGACTCCTAAAACTTTGATATTGATATACTCGTAATGTAGGCAAAACAAACTTCGTTATGCAACTTCGTTATGAACGTTCACAGCAATTAAAATATGAACGAAATAACCACAAAATAATACACTAACAGCCCAAATACATAAGGAACAATTTATTTATGTTTCTTGATTTCCGATTTTACATAATATCCGGCTGTATTATTTCTCTATGATTATATGAGTATTCTCGCGTGTTGTATATTATATATTTATACTTCGCCTAGTTAATGTCCGCTTGACATTAATAACTCGCATGTATTTAAAGTTATTATTAATGTGAATATCGATTTCATTCATAAGAAAGTAATTATATGCATATTTTGATTATATACATACGTAATATATGTCTATAACAGTACCTAATTGAAGCTTTTTTTTTCATTTTGTGCGTAGTTTTAATATATGGATTAATTAATCCTAAAGTATTACTATGCTTGAAACACTATATATTTATTATTTACCTCAAATTTTATAATATCACTAGCAGAAGTACCTGCGGCTTTGCCCGTATTCAAACTTACGATCGTAAAAAAACTTTACAGGATCACCTGGGCTAAATTGAAGTTTGCCTGTAAATTTCATCAAAATCATTCCAGTCGTTTTGGCGTCCATAGGGAACATACGTACACACATGGATTTTTATATACGTATATAGATTTCTTCAGATGTTACCACGAGTTTATGCAATAAGAAACAATATGAACAAAGCGATTTGCATTGTAAAATGTTGTTTTAATATTTATATTAAATAAGATTACTAATTAATAAAGTTTTCTAAAAAAATGTACTAATTATAATAATAACAGCCAAAATTAAATAAATAATATTCCATATTCGATTATAAAATTTATTAGAATCATAAAAATGTTTAAAATTAAAATTACCAATATTGTAAGGTACTTTGATGCCATTTTTGAAGTTTTTGAATTCATTTTGTTATTTTGTGGGTAGGCTGTCTGTAGCAACTATATAATACCTTTGAGACATCTTAAACCACTCTCTCAGCCATTCTCTCCCGCGACCATGATTGCTGTAAGGCGTTCGAAAGGTCGGGAACAAAAAATCAAAATAAATCCGCGAAAAAATCCGACAAGATAGTTTTATTTAAAATGCCATAATAGTTTTGTCTTTTTTAGTTTCGTCCTTTTAGTAGGTACTAGGTGCGGCCAATCGCATATTCCCACGGGAGTTAGTTTTATAATACGTTATAGGTGGCATTTATTGCGTCTATTCTTTTGTATCATCATAGTAGAGTTATGTCATTTGTGTTTGCGTATAAACGAATATGCTGTAATGTCAAAATGTACAAATTTTGGGTGCAATGTTTGCTGTTATGTTATGTATTTCTTCAGGAAGAAGGTGGCGTATTTTAAATTACCCTAGCAATTATAGGAGCGGAGCATTGACCATATTAGTGAAAAAGCTCTGCTTGGTTGCTACATAATTAGTGAAAACATGTATGGTAAATGTGTTACCTCGAATTCTTTTACAAAAACCATGTCATTAACTTTTACATTTTGGTAGATATAGTTGCTTTTAGGTTTAAGAACTGAATTTTTATATCACATTTTTTATATTTAAAATTTTGATCTTCATAAATAAATCATTCCATTATCACAAGTATTTACTATACAGGGAAAATTTTTATCGTTAATATGCAGGTATTTAGGTCAATTAGTTATTTATTTTAGGAGATGATGACAAATGATCGACCGATTGTCATGAAACTTTTCGTGCAAGTGGTCCACGTATTGTGTATCATAATTTAAGATGCATAATATACGAGTCATAGTAATATGTAATATATTTGACAAAATTCAACTTGCTTCAACTTCATATAATGTGGTTCTACTCAATAATAGAAGCGATACCGAATGGAATTGCCCTCGATTCCTTATTAGCACGACCGTCAATACTTTCTTGTGTTTGATGAACGATTCCGGATAACAAAAACGAGAGTACAATAATGATTACCACGAGAAAGCCCCGCAATTACTTTCGAAAGTAGCTTACTAAATGACCTTTTAAATTTGGAGGTGCTATATAAAAAAAAAACAAAGCTGAATTAGAGCTATTATGATAGAGTAAATGGCAGTGAAATTGTGGAAGCAAAATATATTTTAATGATGATGATAATTTGCATTGATATTAAATATTGTGATAGCATTACGTGTTGTTGGACGAAAATTATGTAAAAGATAATTATTCAAAGCAGATATTATATGTATCTTTAGTTGAAACAATCTTTAATTTTTATGTTACTCTAGAGTGTGAATTGCGTCAATGTAATTTATTACCTAAATCAATAATTATTATTTTGTATTGTATTCAGCCCTTTTTAACTTCCCACTGCTGGGCACGGGCCTCCCTTCAATACGAGGGGGATCAGGGGATTCTTTACACTTCACTGAGACGAATACCTACTCGGTCGTTAGTCTGCAGATAGAAGTACCTATACAAATGACTTTTTTTATTTTGGGCATTGCATCAAATCCAGTACTACTATCTAAAACCTAACGGAAACTCCCCCAACACGACGTCCTGATGCGACGGTAGGTCCAGTACCAGGAGTAACCTGTATGAAACACCGCTGATCGAGGTGGGATGCCTCCCAGTGCGTTTCTTGGCTTCGCGCTCGGCTGGATTGCTGGACGTTAATGAGCCCCCCCCCCCACGACAAGGTGGATGCACATTTGGGAGCATTATCCTAAACTATATCAACTATAAATATACCCATATTATTAATAAAAGTTAATTAATCTTGTTTATTGTTACCGGCCACTAGCGCAGGTTACTGATATTGAACTTCAAGAGAGACTAGATTATGTACATCAAGGTCTATTACGAGTTACGACACTATCAAACAGGTCATGGTAAAGTACAGATTTATATAAATTATATAAAATCTAGGATTTTGCTTTTATTTTTTAAGTCTCGATTTTAAATTTTTAGCATTTGACATTGATCGACATATTGCTCAGTGAAAGTGTACGGGTCACGAGTTGGCAAATCACGATTTTGTTTCTAATCAATAAAGCGTAAGCTTTCTTCTATTTTGTACTAACTAAAAGTTAACTTATCGCAGTTACTATTCGAAAAGTAAGTTAAAGTAATTATTGATTTAATTAAAGCATAAACAGATACGTAGTTAAGTACCTTAGTTCTGTTTTATCACTACAGGCAGACCTACGGTACCTATGCGCTATGGACATTAAAGTATAAAGTGTGTCTCATTAAGACAACTTATAGACGCAGTGCCTATTATTTAGATCACCTAAGTTCTAATTCAAGCATATCTATGTAAATGTTTTCCTTATATTTACATAATATATTCTACATTAATTTATATATTCGATTTCCTAGATTCGAAAGAAATGCATATTTAACTTATTCCGTATAAATTACATAAGTATTGTTGTTTATTATATAATTTTTGTAAAGTCACTTAAATTATCTTCTAGATAAAATGGGTTTGTTTATATAATATAAAGAATTGATATAATTGATTAGCTTTCTTTCTAATGTCTTTTTGTCTAACAATGAGTAGATTGAAATGTACCTGATTTGTCTGAGTATTTTATGTTTGAATCATACTTTGCCTCGTTCATATATACTCTAAAATATAAGTTAATCTTGAATATAAAATATCATACATATGACATGGTATCCATATTCTATCGACATCATTTGTAGTGGTTACAAATTTTGTGGGCATTATCAGGGCTCAAATAATAAAATATTCAATGCTCAATACAATTTAAAAAAGGAAATCTCAATGTTATAAACTTGAAACGATAATTGTAATAGTTTAATTAAGAATTATATAAAAAGAAGAATTATATAAGAAGAAGAATAATTATTAAAAGAAGAGAATTAGATCATCAGATTTCCAAGTATAATATCAAAACATAACTCTCCTATGATCGCCATGATCAACCAACGTTACTAATTCACATGTTTTTAACGAATGCCATGATGGCGTCTCGACCCCGTTGGAGACGTGGCCTCTGCTCTTTATTTGAATTTACTTTAAAAACAATAAAAACGAAATAACATTAAACAATAACAAGGTTTTAAATGCAGTATAAACAAAAAGGTAAAAAACATATACATAGTATATACATATGTACATAATATCGTAAGTTCAGACTAAAACTTAATAAATAACAACATGATCAAATATTTAAAATTATTACGTATATTAATGTAGGTCACACCATATATGAGTATGTTTACATACAAACAGACACAACCTTAGCCTTGTTAACATCTTATATAATAGATTATTATCTAATATACATATGTGTACATATTTCGTCATGCGACGCGCAGTTACGTGACGACGTGAGGGAAAGTGCATAAATTATATTTAGGCATGTACGTATAGAAGTTCCCTTTGCCGATACCTTGGATGTTCCCAAACTTTTTAATGTCTATGGGTTAAGATAAGTAAAATAAAAAAAAATGTTCCTTATTCTGAACTATTGTCATAAATATAACACACAAAATAATCTAAAAAGAAAACTATCAGCACACAATCAGGGTACAATAGGCGGTGTTGTGATGTTGAGTGAGCCATCCCTTCCAGGCAACCTTAGGGTATAAGATAGACGGAAGCTACTCGTATAGTTATATTTTCATAGATTTTAAAATTAAAATATTCAGTTGCGTGGCTACTCGTTAGCATGGGTAAATTCTATTGATGGTTTTACCCATAATATAGGTTCGTTCGTTACGTACTACAATTTATTAGACAGACAAAAAACATGGGGTGGCCCTAATGTCGGTTCCCCTAGCTACATCACTGAATATATTTATACTTCCATGGCCCCAAGGGCTCAGAATTCCTATATACAAAAACCAAAAAAATGTAAAATACTTTCTTATACACGTGAGCACGTGGGTCTTATTATATAAAATTTGAAAATTCGTAGAATTAAATAGGTAATTCTATGTTATTTATAATTTGTTTTTACATGATAAAACATTAAAATGCACGCAATCCTTTCTCTTTCTCAGTATCATAGAATTAATGGTATGAGAAAGCATATAAAAAACAAGGGAATGAGATAAAAAAGCAAAGGCCGGAACACTTCTTGAGATTGTGAAAGCAACATTGACATTAGCGGGCAATTACTATTGCGCAATGCTTGCGCGAAAGTGAAGCTTACGAGTCACTAACACATAAATATTACATAAGTTGCCAAAATTCCCTCGTTTTTTAGTATAGGTATTATATAAGAAAACTTCAATTAAGTATGCCGTAAGGCCGATTAAATTAAACTTAATTTAGTGAATCTATACTAATATCATAAAGAGGTAAAGTTTGTGAGTTTGTGAGTTTGTAAGTTTGTGACGTTGTAGGGGGTAATCTCTGGATCTACTGAACCGATTTAGATGAAATTTGGAAAGAAGATAGTTTGAGACCCTGGGAAGGACATAGGATACATTTTATCCCAGAAATCATCCCTCAAGTGTGTGAGAGCTTGTATTGGGAAGCAAGCTAGTAATAATTATGACGGTGATTCGTGTCGTTATTCTTTATACTACCCAGTTCAAGTTCAGTTCAGTTCAAAAGCTCAGTAGCCAGTATGCTTAGCTTTCGTTAGTGGATTTGCTTGCATGATAAAATTTATATCCTTTGCCTTTGTTTAAAATCTGATCCATGGCTTAAGCATGAAAAGATAACAGACAGACAGGGTATTACAAGTTATAATATTAGAATAAATAATGAATAATTTGACATATTTCGACTTTTTTTATAATTTTACTTTTCGGATTTAAAGGTCTACTTAGGAAGGAAGGGGGGTGGAAAGTTTTAATATATACAAACATACATATATAACACATACGAGTAAATTTATATTTAAATTTTTTATCAGATCTACGGAACTCTAAATCAGTAAATAATAATTAATTAATGTTTAACTTGTAATTTCAGGTATCCATGGGCAATAGAACTCAACGATTTCTATTCGACTCGATCTTCGGCTTAGAAGTACCTCTTCTTGAGGAACAAAGCGTGGAAGAAGATGAAGAGGAACCAGAGATCAAAAACTGTTCCTGCGGTATGTTAAAGCTGAATCATTCCATTTTTTAGTTATTACATTTTTTAACAGTGTATATTCAATTATTCATAGTGTATTATAATTTATTATTATCAGCACTCTATAAACTTCTAATTAACGTCAAACTTATGTGATTTGCCAAGTTTTTAATATGAAAATGTTGATTATTATAAAAAATTATAAAGAATCTGCATAAATCTTTTCACCACTTATCTAGTGCACTGTTTGTAGGTTTATTGTCTTTTAGACTTTAGAGCAGTAAGTGCAATTATTTTCATTTATATTCACGTTTTAGAGTGTGGCAGAGCAAATCCTCTTCCTAGAAAGATTGGTGAGTTGCACGTATCAGAAGGGCATTTGTTTCATAGTAGACTAGCACTGTTTTCTCTTTAGCACTCAACAATATTTAATCACTCTACTTATATAAAAATACTTATTTTTTCTTTCCCATTTCCAAGCTTTACATAATGACCGACTGAAACTTATTTGTTTTGAGTTTATATTAATATACTGACGTCAATTTCATTATATAATTTTGTACCATAAATAAAATATTTCGATTTAAATATTATATAGTAAATTGTTATAGTCATAATATCGTAGTTTTTCAGCTACAAAAGCCTTGTTAAAAAACTTATAACTTTAGTCGTAACTTTGATCGGTCATTGTAAACAACCTCTTGCATTCTTCATAGTCTACACTCATTAGTATCTTACCATTTTCTTGATAATGTAAGATTTAACACAATTAACTACCATTTACCAATAAGCTCTACTGTGTATGGCACTTTGGATGTGTACTTGTAATCATTAGATAAAATTTAGAACTTATCTTGATGTTGATTTAACGTTAGTTATACTTAATATAGATTAACACAATGTAGCTTCCTTATTATTCAATTAACCGGTAATTCTGGCTCCAGTTGGTAATACCGTGTAGTTCGTTAACCGTCACTTTCTCGCAGATTGTGGGGGGCCGAACCAGGAGAACCGTATAGTGGGCGGCATACCAGCGGGCCTCAACCGGTACCCATGGATGGCGAGGTTGGTCTACAACGGGCAGTTCCACTGTGGCGCGTCGCTCTTGACCAAGGATTATGTTGTCACTGCAGCACATTGCGTTAGAAAGTAAGATTAGTTTTTGTATCACAAATCAAATGTCTACTTAAATATTTTCTAGGAATTATCCTATTTTAGGGAGCTAGAGAGCATTCTTGTATGCAATTCTGGCAAGTATTATAAATGAGAAAATATGTTTGATGCTTCATTCTATTTTCGCGTGCTTATAAAGACTTCAACGAGTGAACAGATCAACTTACGATTATTTAACGCAAAGTGATAGTTTATGGGCCGTATTGATATATTAGGCTACGTTTTATCCCAATAGGATATGTATCTTTATATAACATCGATATTTCATATTTATAACGATAACGAATTTCAGACGAGAAACTCTTTTGGGTTAGCAGCTTACATTAATATATCATTTTCCTTTTCTAGATTAAAACGCTCGAAAATCAGAGTGATTCTCGGCGATCACGATCAAACTATAACAACAGAAAGTGCGGCCATCATGAGAGCGGTCAGTGCCATCGTCAGGCATAGAAGTTTCGACCCCGACTCCTACAACAACGATATAGCATTGCTAAAACTAAGGAAACCTGTGACTTTCTCGAAGATAATCAAACCAGTATGTTTACCGCCATCTGGTGAGTACTACATAGAGTTAAGTAGACTGTCGACTCTATAACATGTCTCTAAGATTTTTTTGTCAAAAAAAATATGCTTTAAGCTTTAAAAGCTTTTAAGCATAGCCAATAATTATCCTAAGGATAATCGTATTATTTTTGAAGATGGTTTCGTACAAGACTATGTGGTACTAACATGTAATCGACTTTAAGGTTTAGTATTTAAAGTATTTAAATGCACAATTTCACCTATATTATATACATAGCAAGAAATTTTAATAATTTTCAATATACTTCAAAAACAAATCTTTATCGTTATTCTACCTGCATTTTAGATCTCCAGAGTTAATAACGTACCAAACCCATTTTATGAAGTTAATATACCTAAACATGGAGTATGTGTAAGAAACGTAATATGAAATGTCCAATAGCTTCCAATAAAAGAACTTGAGTCAGAGGATTTGACATGTATGTAATGAAAAATGTTATTAATTTTCTTCCCAGGCATAGAGCCATCAGGTAAACAAGGCATAGTGGTTGGTTGGGGGCGCACATCAGAAGGCGGTCAGCTGCCCGCCGTAGTGCAGGAGGTGCGTGTCCCAATCCTCTCGCTCAAACAATGCCGCAGCACTAAGTATCGGGCTTCAAGGATTACAAATAACATGGTATATATTACTCATAACTCATATATAATATATAAAGTTTCATAATAACTATCAAAACTTATAATGTTGATTTAGTACTCTTTGCCATTAATGCGAAATAATTTTTAGTAAGTTAATTTAACAATTTAAAAAAAAAATAGAGAGAGTTATTCAATTTGGCTCTATATTTTTGTGATTTTTTTACACGATATATGTAGGTACATATGTATTCGCCAACTATTGTGAACCGATTTTCATGAATTAACTTCAAAAGGACTAATATTTGGTGTGATTTTCTCTTGAAATGTGTATAGGGATACACTAAAATACATTTCAAGAAAAAATTAACCCCTAATATTAAAATAATTACTTTAATAGGGATTTTAAAACTAGTATAACATTTTAGTTAAAAAATAATTATAATTCAAAAATAAGAAAACAACACAACAATTAAAAAACTAATATTTGAATGATTTTATTGTATCTAGTAATCTCACTAAAATCTAGCTTATTTCGATTTTTTTCTGTTTTAAGTTTGAGGTTAGTTCTATCTACATGTAAGCAAAGGAGGTGTAGTTGTTTTGTGACGGCTATAAACTAAATTTAAATAAGTGAGGAAAATAGAAAAATGTATAAATACTACTGTACTGTTCTTCTTTATAGCTTTGCGCGGGTCGGCCGTCAACGGACTCTTGTCAAGGGGATAGCGGTGGACCCCTGCTCTTAGAGCAAGGGGATAAGTATCAATTAGTAGGTGAGGATGGAAAAAATGATTTTGTACTTTATATATTAATTTAAGGTCCTTCTTTTAAAAATGAAATGGACTTCTATTAAGAAATCCTATCTTACATAATAAAGAAAGTCTCAGTATGCGTACTCATGAAGTATGTAGAGGATGAGAATATAAAAAAAATCACATGTAATGAAAAACTATATAAAAGTATCAAAGTAAAAGCAATACTTTTATTTTGATTATATATTCATATATTGCTTTTAAAGCAAGTCATAAATAACTTATAAGTAGTCGAAACAAGTTTTTATGTATAACGTGAAGTAAAAATATGTATTTTTTTCAGTGCAGCTAAAACATTATGTCATAAAATTTCGTTTTAACTAGGTAAAATATTGTGACTGTATAACATGTGTGAATATGCGTCATCGACTCGATGGATAAAAAAGATAAAAATGCAAATGCATATAATTCGGTCTCTACTAAAATAAAGATTATTATTTTTTCATGGCTTATCAACCGACTTCCTCAAAAAAGAGGAGGTTCTCAATTCGGCTGTATGTTTGTTTGTTAACTCAGAACTCCGTCTTTTGTTAACCGATTTAGACAATTTTTGTTTTGTTTGAAAGTGTATACTTCCAAATTGGTCCCATTTAAATTTAAAAAAAATACCACCCCTAAGGGTGTGAAAATAGCTAATGATGAATTTAAACTACTTCAAATTGTCATATTGACTTGAAACTTTGCAAGTGTGTCTATTTCTGTTGATAGTGCAGTGTTTAGGTATCATTGACCTGATCTGACGTAAGGCCAGAAGGTGGATAGGTGGAACTCTTCAACGGCTAATAGTAGATACTTTGAGTTTGGGATTATTTTGTTTGATTTGACAAGCCTAACACGTTAGAATTGGATTTTAGAGCCAGAATTTTTAGTGTTACTAATAAAAGTGAATTTTACTTTGTCAGTCTTCATATTAAAATTAGCATCAAAGTGACTTAAACGGTTTAAGCAAATATTTTATTAAAATACTTTCCTCTCACTTTGCTACACTAAAAAGGGAAAAATAAAAACTTTTTAACAAAAAAATTAAAACTGACTTCAAAAAAAAGCACTAAAAAAAAGTAAAAAATAACGGTGTGCTTTGCTTTGTATTGGCTGGCACCGACTTCGAATATATTTGATTAGATATATATAGTAAATGAAAACTACAAATCAGTTATTTCTTACTTTTTAGTGCTTTTTTTGAAGTCGGTTTTTATTTTTTTGTTAAAATGTTTTTATTTTAATTCTACTAATCCTTAAGAAATGATTTTGGTTCAGCAGTTTTAAACTATAGTGTATCTTCACATGATTGTCAATAATAAACAAAGTATATATTATCCACAATCTTTTTAAATAAAACTATCTTCTCAGATTTTTTCGCAATTTGTTTTGATTTTTGGTTCCTGACTTTTCTAATACTTTACAACAACCATGGTCACGGGACAGACTGAAAAGATAGTTTGAACAATTTTCTGCCTATAGTCTATACCTACTAAAATTGCACTGCCTAATTCACTTCTATTACCAATCCTTGATGATGCTGATACTTGTTTTCTTGACCTTAAAGAGGGGCACCTGAATCGACTTGAGAGCCTTCAAATTCTATGTATATAGTTTATATTTGGTCTCCGTAAATATGACCACGTTTCTTACTTTCGCAAAAAGCTGAAGTGGCTCCCAATCCGTTTTCGCAGGAATACTTACATACTTCACATCTCTACTGCGTGCTGTTTAATCCTTCTACCCCTTCCTATCCCAAAGAACGTTTCGAGTTTCTAAGGGAATCTCATACTCGTTCTTTGCGATCTAGTGAAACGTTCATTCTCAAAGTTCCTTTTCGCTCCTTTTGTTTTCTTACTAACTCCTTTTCTGTGAAAGCTGCACGTCTATGGAACTCTTTACCAATAAACATCAGACGGGCTAATAATTTGGACAACTTTAAGACGATGTTAAAAGCGCATTATTTATCTCTTTTAGTTTGTTTTAGTATAACATATGTACCTATGTACTTATTTGAAGTATGTAGGTTATATAAATATATTCAATATATTTATGCGTTATACTGTTTGTATGTATGTAATATATGTATGCAAGTACACCGCCTGTTATTTTATATACTGATTCCTCTATCCTAAGGTTGTCTGGAAGAGATCGTTCTAGCGATAACGCCACCTGCTGCGCATCTTTTTTTTCATGTATATTTCTCTTCATTACATATTTCTTGTGCTTTGTACAATAAAATGTTCATATAGTTTTATTTAAAACGTCAAATATACTCGTAAGTCTAGGAGAATATTACCCGCAATCATTTTAAAAATATGAAGTATAGAAAATATATGACAACAATTTCTTAAGTATAATATTTTAAAATTTCAGGCATAGTGTCATGGGGCGTGGGTTGCGGGCGGCCGGGCTATCCCGGCGTCTACACGCGCATTAATAATTACTTAGGCTGGTTGAGAAGCAACTTACAAAATACTTGTCTCTGTGGCAATTAAACTATGTTTTTATGTTTATTTTAAAATGTTACGATTATGTATATTTTTTTATTTTTTGTTCAAAAGGAGGGAGTTAGAAAATAGAATACTTTAAATACTAAAATTCCTATAGTAGATAACGCTAAAAGAAACTTGGGCGCTATCATAGTTACATTTATTCATCGTTCTTTTATTTCATCAGTATTCATTTTATTTCATTTAGAAGATCTCATATTCCACATATTATTCATCTAATACGTTTAATACCACACTATATTTTGCATCATTTACATCGAAAATTTCAGCAGTCATTTATTGATGACATTCATTCATTTGATCTTTCAAGTAGTTTATTCAATTATTCGCCATTTTATTTATTTTTATCTTCATAATATTATATTGACGTTAATTTAATTTTAAATATTTATTTATTATTATAATTAAGTGTACATGATAACGAATATCTTAAGAGTTTGTTGCTTAAATTCTTGAAGTATTATATTATAAATTAAAGTACTTTATTAGTTTTTGTAAATGATTAACTCATATCACCTGAAATCATCCATACATTTTATATAAATCATTTATACACACAATATATTATGCATATTATATGTTTTCGTGGTAGAAAAGGTGTAGGTTTAATTTGATACCTGTTCTTAGCATTTCTCATGTCATTATTTCTTAGTCTCATTACATTATTACATCATTAAATATCATCATTTTCATCTTTAATATTATTTAATCTAATATTCAATATTAATATTTGTGTAAATAAATTCGTTTATATTAAGATGATTTTTAAATGTAATTAAATAGACTTTTAACAATTCTGAATATATTAGAAATAAAAATGTTTTAATATTCAATATCCATGACAAAAAATATAGAAAACTATATTCGTTATTTATAAATATGTATACCTTATAATACACACACACACCTATTATTAATTACTGATTTTATAAGCTTTTCATAGTGAGACTCAGGATTATCTTTGTATTTATTAAAGGTAATACAAGTTTTATAAAATAAAGAAGAAATTTCAAATAATATTTGTAAGTACATATAACGAGTCTACAAATTATTTTTTTATTTTATTAATTACAAACACCTTACATTTTAACATAGTGATCATAAATTGTAGCAAAATCTAATTGCTAGTTTTTAAAATAATAATAAAAAAACTCATTTTAAATTAAACAGCCCTTTAAACCTGAGTTTTTTCTATGACAGCTGTATGTTATACTTTTGATATAATAATTAATTTTTAATTAAATTTAATCTAGTATGTAAATATATCGGACAGGCCGGTGGTGCAGATTACCAATAGATTATAAGTGACAGTAGACAACTACCTACGTGTTCAATATTTTATCTGTATATAAAAGCTAAGCGTTAATCATTACATTGTAAATATTGTTGTCATAAGTTGTCATTATCATTAATTTCATTATCATTATTTTCATAGTCATTGTCATTATTTTCATTTTTCTTTTAAGAATTGTTAAATGGAGTCAGCTTACCTATTAATTGTTGGTTTTAAATTATTTTAGTTATAATATTTTTATTTTTAAGAAAATCGCTCTTTAGGCTATAACTGTGATCTTAATCACGATAAATTTGTTGTTATTAGGATTTTAACTTATTATTGTGATTATTTAATTTAATATTAACATTGTTTATCTTTATTTTAATTGTATTTAACACTGCCGTTTGTATTTCGAAGCTTAATTATATCCTGTAATGTTTTTAATTTTAATTTTTAATAAAATATTTAATAAAAATGAGTCTTTTAATAAAATTTGGCAAATATTCTACCTAAACATAGAAAGCATAAAGCGCATTAAGAAGTTTTCCCTTTTAATATTAAAATAAAATGTTAAGACACTATCTGTGATTTGGTAATAAAAATTGTACCACCTTATAATAATATCCTTCTGATCGATTTCGGCCGTGCATACTAACATCTGATGTTAGAGTGTACCAGTACGCGCGCAAATACAATTAATTAGTAGTAGTAGTAGTAACTCCAATGGAACAACAAATCGATACGACCATACGACAGGTAAGAGATCAGGATCGCAAGATCGACGCGATTGATACACCTCTTCCAACTCTGGACAGCTACTGAGAATTTTTTGACAGAAAATCCCAAGAACTTTTTAAATAAAACTATCTTTTCGGATTTTTTCGCGAATTTATTTTGATTTTTGGTTCCCGACGTTTCAACTTCCCAAGAACTTTACTTGACTCGACCTTGAACTGAAACCCAGAACCTATGGTTTTTAAACCTGTACATACTAGTCATTAGACAACAAGGCTACAATATATGATGCTTATATTATTGTTATTTGCACTATAGGAAAGTCCAAACAACTCGAGTTTTCAGCCAGTTTGTACTTTGTACCCTCCAGCTCGGCTAGGACTTTCACAGGTACAGAAGGATATAGGTGATTTTCTTATTCCGGGTGAATAAGAACTTATGTGAAAGTTTAATTTCTTATTCACCCGGAAAAAGTTAGAATATAAAATATGTTATATATTAAAAAAATATTATAGACTAGCGACTCATCCTCGCTCCGCTCGGGTTCGTCCCTACTTAAGTTTTAAAGTTTAGTATAGGTTTCTCAGAGATGAGATTTTTCCCGCAGTAAAAAGTATCCTATATGTTGACCCGAATAGATATCATCATACCAAATTTCATCGAAATCCCTTTAATAGTCGTTTTTCCGTGATGCGGTAACAGACAGACAGACAGACAAAAATTCTAAAAACTATAGATACGGCCTCTGTATCGATAATAATGTCTAGTTTAAAAAATAATAATAATGTACAGATTCGACTTAGTTACAATTTTATTAATTATATTTATAGATAATATAGATCGCGTACCTAAATACAATTAATATAAAGTTCTATTAGTACTTAAGATGCATGTAAATATGTAGACATTTGACCGTCACACCAGGTTGGAAAGTTTCACTTTCGCTTTATAAATCTTGTGCCAAAAGGATGTTTAACACAATTTTAAATATTTTTACGGTAATCTATACTATAATAAAACAGTAACTTAGCGAAATCTGTGCATGATATATTTTTTAAAAACAATGAATGTAACGTATTATGTACACAATATAGACCCCGAAACAATAGTTATTAAAATTTTTGTCTGTTCGTCTATATGTCTGTTTGTGTGTGCGCGTTTCATGCAAAAAGTAATGAACAGATTTCAACGAAATTTGGTGAAGTGACTTACTTCAGGAAAATCTTTCTTTCTCACGGTAATAACCAATAACTGGTTTTATCGAGTCGTCCTTAGAAACTTTTCGCTGTCTAAATCTTAAGACATATATCAAAACAATGTACTAGAAAATTGTAGGTCTTAAAAGTACCTACGAGTAATATATGATTGGAAATTGGCTTAAAAAGGTCTACAGAAAAAATCATATGTCTATCTCCTAAGGTATACATATAACAAAACTAACTTAGTCAAATCGATGTGCGCGTTTCACGCAAAAAGTACAGAACCGATTTTAACTAAATTTTGTGTAGTGATAAGTTATTATTCGGTTCAACATTTAAGATACCTTTTATTATAGGAAAATTTTTCATTTCCACGGAAAAACGCAATAACTAGTTCTATCGAGTTGTCCTTAGAAATTTTTATGGCCAACACTGGATAAACTTTAAGAGATACATCAAAACAATGTACTAGAAAATTGTAGGTCTTAAAAAGGTTTACAGAAAAGTCCACAATAGTATATATCTATCTCCTAAGGTACACACCCAATAACTATTTTTATTATACATTAAAGGCAATGTCGCTCACTGACTGACTTATCAACGTTCAGCCCAAGCCGATGATTATTATATCAGCCAGCACCACAAAAAAGCCAGCTTTATATAGTAACTCTGTCTGTCTATCTGTAACTTTTTAACGCTTAATCCACTGAATCGATTAAGATGAAATTTGGTATGGAAATTGTTTGAAAACCTGGAAATGATATAGGGTAGTTTTCATCCCGGAAAACATATCGTATTAAGAAGGTGAAAAAGGGGGTTGGGGAATCAATCATTTCTCAAGTAAGGGATATACCTATATTCTTTTATTTTTTATAATACTTACCCACTTTTCTATACCTATGTAATTAGTACATTGCACGTATAAATAGTTTATTCTATTCTATTCATACCGTTAAAACGTACCTTAGGACGAACGAATGAGTCGCTAGTACTAAAAATAAAATAGATCATATTTTTTTTAGAAGCCTAAAATTTCTAAGAGTCCATGATATTTTAAGTGTGTTATAAAAAAAAAGAATAATACTTAATTAAATTACATTTGTATTAGATATAAATAATATAGTTTTCATCAGTCAATAGATTAATAGTGGGGTTGTTTCTTTCACCCAAATCACGTCCGTGTTCGTGAGAATGATGGCGGAACATCTCAGTGTGTGTCAGTTTGTGCGCGCGCGACAACTTCAAAGAAGAGCGATGCGAAGGCTGTGCGAATTCTGAATTCGAAGTTTGATTTTTTTATTTTTTTTGTTTTAAATCAGCCAGGATGTGGAAGTGCTTTCTTTTCTTTGTGTTAATGGCTGTAACTTTCACTCATTCTGAGGTTTGTGATTTATTATTCCTTTTTCTGTGTTTGTTTAAGCATATTTTTTTAATGGAACTCGTAAATATTCCTCGACGTTAAGTGTTTTTATTACTTTCTCAGAAATTTTAAACTTCACTTTATTTATACATTACGTAGTACATTACGTGGTACTTGGTAAATGCCGATTTAATAATTTAATATTAATAATTCTAATAACTTATTTAATAGAATTATAATTTATTATTTTTATTTAGCTTACTAAATATATTAAATTGTAGTTGTGTAAATAAAATTAAAGTTAAGGATTATATGTGTAATATATATATTTAAGGTATACATATGTATGTTGCTACTATACTTTATATCTTACCCTATTATATTATGTAGGAAATGAAAATATTCAATATTTTTAGCTAAATGATAAGTATTTTTTTTCTAGGTACAGGGAGAGACGTTACGTGAAAAACGTGGCGTATTTACAAAAAATTTCTTTGGTGGTGTTTGGGGAAATCGACCACCTTTGCTCGAAGCGAAGCAGCCCAAGAACACGTGCAGTTGTAGTAAGCTTAGACACCCTTTTATTTTGTTAGTGGGCCACTGCTTTAAATCGGCGAAGATAACTAGTATTAAATTTTGTATATGTATATTAATTTTTAATATTATGGCTTAAGAAAATAACTTCAAATAGCAATATTGCAATTTGCAATCTACATATATTATTACTTGACTGACCAAAAAGTTTGTTTTCTTTTTTCACATTCAAGTTTAACATTTTATACTTTAATAATTCGTAGCAAATGCTTTGAAGGATTCATTGCTAATTACTAAAATCAACTGATACGAGATAGACTATAAATATTAAAATTTTTAATTAAGAGTAAGTTTTTTGTGAGTTATTGACAGTAATCTGCTAATATCTCATTCTACAAATTTAACGTTCATTTATTTTATTAGAGTTGTTTAGATTTAACAGGTTTTCAAAAATGGACATGATTTGAGCATGTTAAATATATTATTATAGTATTCGTATATCGATTTGACTAAATCAATTATCTCGAATGCTTAACTTTTCATTTTATTTTTTAATGTAATATTGTTGGCAAATTATTGATGTTTTATTATTGTATATAAAATTTTTGCATTGAAGTAAAATTATTAAGAGTTATCGTAAAAAATATTTTTAAAATATGTCATTACACGATTTCAGAGTGTGGCGAACGAAATGAAGTATCCAGAATAGTAGGTGGCGAGGAAGCAGGCATAAATGAGTTTCCCTGGATGGCTAAACTCTCATATTTCAAAAGATTCTATTGCGGAGGCATGTTGATCAACGATAGATACGTGCTTACTGCTGCTCATTGTGTTAAAGGGTAAATATATTTTTTATTTCAAAAAGGTAAAATAAACTTTTTACTCAAGAGTTTAAAAAAGACTTCCTGGCTTGTAAAATGTGAATTGTTTGTAAAAGTCTTAATTTTTAGAGCTTGGCTTATTAACTCTTACTTTGTAGAGTTCTAATATATGTATAACTAGCATTGCCCGCGGCTCCGCCCGCGTTCAGATGACCAAAAACTAAACTCTTAGGTTTTACATATTAGTATACTCTTACATTGCAGTTTTTGTATTTATTCTCAGAAATGAGATATTTTACTGCGGTAAAAAGTATCCTATATGTTGACCCGGATAACCAGCTATTACTATACCAAATTTCATCAAAATCTATCCAGTGGTTTTCTCGTGATGCGGTAACAGACAGACAGACAGACAAAAATTCTAAAAACTATAGATTGAGACTCTGTATCGATAATAATGTCTATTTCAATTAGATTGTTCAAAAAATATTTAATGTACAGATTCGACTTAGTTACAATTTTATTATATGTATAGATATTGCTTGAAGAAAAAAGAGATTCACACTTTGATAAGTTTAATTAAATTGTAGAAAATCTACTTTTAGAGTTTAGAAAATTGAAAATAGCCAGAGTTATTAGTATTTGATGTGGTGTAAAATGAAAATAAATAGAAAAATTTCGCGTCACATATAGGATTTTGTTTGTTTTAAAATGTCGCTATAGTAAACAAAAATACCCTTACTATCTCCTGTTTTTCATTACTTGGCCTTTTTAACACTGCTTATAACAAAAGCTATTTTGAAGCTACTAAAAATTCATAAATGAACTTCTTTTTAGTCACAGCACAAATCGCTGTATGTAAATAAGTAATTTAGCCCCAAAAACTTGCCTAAATGTAAAATCTTTCAATATTGTATACCTACACATACATTTATTTTGAATAAATGTTATGTATTCATGTTGTAGGAATAATAATAATAAGTTATTCGTAATACTTAGTGGTTTTAAATAGCTAAGAAGTCTTTTTCTTATAAATGATATGGTAATAATTTGACTTTCAAGGCTTACTCTTGTTTTATTTGCTGTTACTTAATGATTCATGTTTTTAAGTAATTTTCCTCAACGGATTTGTCGAAAAGAAATGCTTGGTTCGTAATACCAAGAGGTTATTTATTACATTTTAATTGATTTGCGTTGCATTTTGCGGATGTGAGTGTTAATTTCTCTGCTACTAGTAAAACAATTTTATAGCCGTTTTAGATAGATATCTTTATATGTATTTGACGCCATAAAATATACATGTTTATATTGAAACAACAATTTCACTTGTTACTTTAGTCATTCGGAACCTGAGCGTTTTAGCAAGTGGTTTTAAAGTATTAACATTAAACTAAGCGGATTTTGTCTCGTATACATACCACCTTACACCTAGTATTGATTCGGATTTATTTGGAAGGCAATTTGTTGAATAATACAGAAAATATTAATGCTAAGGTGTAGTTACCGAGAAATAATTCGATATATATCAAGGCTAATCGATATGTAACGAGAGATTAAGAACTTTATAAAATCATCAAATGTGCGAAGCTATTGACTATGTAGGTTAATGGCTAAAGCATGACGTAGTTGCTCAAAAACAAAATCCCTTTAATGTCAAAAATAATAGTATATCAAAACACTTTATTATCAAAGTGATATTTCCAGTCATACCTAATATGTAAATCTAAGGAGACGTAGAGGACGTTAGTTGAGATCTTATTATTGAGTCACTTTATTTTGATGAAAATGTTAATGCGTCTCAAATTCGCAGATGAGATCGTATATCATCGATATACAAGACCGATAACCTGGGAATGGCAAAACATGTCCAAAATAAGTTCTTGGACCGAATTTGTGAATTCCAATCGGTATCAGTGCGTTCACCTTTAAACCGGCCGGAGGCAGGCTCCAAACTTAGGGTTCAATATCCTCTATAAATGTCCACTTTAGAATCGTTTGTGCGTTTTCATTATTTTTTGTTTGTCTCCGATAATTGTTTATTTTACCAAGCAAGTTTAAACTATATACTACGTGACAAATAAAATAATACTTATATAGTAATTTGAGTAATTACGGAAAAACGATGTTTAAAGTAGTCCCGAGACGTTAGCCGCGCTCTTAAGTGCAATCAGTGAAAGCGTAAATGAGGAGGTATTAATGGTATTCATGTCCAAAATATATTTTGTGTCACTTTCGCTAAATGCTGACACAAATATGGCATTGTTGTTACATTGTACTAGTTATGTGTAATGACTTGTCCCACTTGATTAAGTACTTGTATATGCGCTTATTATTATGGTTTTTACGTTCTGAATTAAATAAATTTAATTGAAATGAAGGAAATCTTTATTTATTATCAACTAGCTTCTGCTTATGACTCTGTTTTAAGGAAAATTTATTAATATTAAGTTCACAACTACTGCAACATGACCTTCCCTTTATATGAGACTAATTACTCTCTTTCTTTGAGTTGTCCCTTTTATTTATAAGGTAGAGCTCATAGTGGGTTAATCGAGTTAATTAAATAAAACTAAACTAGGTTTTTAACTTGTAAATTTAAAAAAATCCTAAAAGTAGTTAAAATATTTTTAAATATTATTGTTTAAATGCAACTTGGTCCCACTATAGAATAGCTACCAATTACAGTTTCACTATTCTTTATACTTACAGTATAGATTTGATGTTATTTAGTATTTTTACTTTTTGTAATAGGTATAGCTATGTATATTAATATTAGCTTTTACACCCGGCATCACTCGTGTAGTTTATGTTTAAAAGCTCCGCTTTTAAGGTAAATACCGCGATGTTAGATATTTATTAATCTGTAACCTTCCTCGATAAATATAATGCAAAAGAAATTTATTAAATAGGACTGGTATTTCCAGAGATAGCCCATTGAAAAGTGAATTAAGTAATATCGTAGACTATCTCGAAATAAGAAAACGTAATTAATAAAATAACTAACAAAATGTTAAATCAGATACAAAAAAGTAGTATATTCAATATAACGCATTTAATTATGTTTGTGTATTTTTTCAGATTTATGTGGTTCATGATAAAAGTAACGTTTGGAGAGCATAATCGGTGTAACGCCACGCAACGACCGGAGACTCGATTTGTTATTCGAGCTATCCCTAATAAATTCAGCCTTAGCAATTTTGACAATGACATCGCCTTGCTTCGTCTCAATGAAAAAGTCCTCATGAGCGTCGCTATAAAACCCATATGCTTGCCTACTGACCGCAGTAAGTATTAAGTAGTCATACTAATATTATTTCTTAAATTTACGCGGTGCCATTTTTCTATTTCTTCTAAATTATTATGTAATTTTGTAGGTAGACACTGTCACAACTATATAATAGATTGTGAGACGTCTAAAACGTTAACCTTTCTCGTGACACTGTATTTAGTAAAGCATTCGAAATGTCGGGAACAAAAATGCTACTAATACTATAAATGCGAAAGTTTGTTTTTGAGAACGTACCTATGTCTCAATGTCTGGATGTATAGATGTTTGTAAGTCTTTCACGTAGAAACTACGGAATTGATTTTGTTGAAACTCTACTTAATATAGCTTCTACATCAGAATAACACATAGGCTACTTTTTATCCCGGAAAAATGTAAAATTCCCGTGGGATAGATTTAAGAACGCGACATAATTTGGTAAGATAGTTTCATTTAAAATGCATAACTTTGAGAGTAAGGGAAAGAGTGAATTTGTTTTTTATTTCTCCATACTGTAACGGGCCAACGGATTTAAGTGAAAATGGGAATGTAGATAGGTTATCCTTGGTTACATACGTTTATTTTTTTACGAGCGGAGTCGCAGGTAAATATTAGTTAAAATACTCGTATATTTAAACATTATAATCACTAAATAATTCATTAAGTCTAGAATGAAATCCACGGTTATTCAGCGATATTATTTTCTCTTTACACTATCAACTTCTATTGTCTATAAGTCTGTAAGAGACATACACACACGCACATATTATGTATCGGAAATACGGAATAGAATACTAAATAACCGTTTTTTAACCAAAATATATGTATATGTAATATAGTCACAAATGTGATGAATATTAAATACATATATAATAAAAATATTTTTTACCAGTTAACAAACTAATTATTACAAGTACCACTATTACCGTTATTAATTTGATTATTATTCTGAATAGATGATAATATGAGAGAAAAAGTGATTAATTTTGTACTTAATGGTTGACCAAAATTAATGTATACGCATAACTTGTTAATAATATCGTATTTCTATAAAAAATGACACTAATAATTTGCCTATGCGCCTTAATAATAATAATATATTAACAACAGGAATAATAGCAAAACTTTTACATAATAGCCCTAAGCTTCATAAGAAGTATGGTAAACTTACTCTACTCGTATATAAATACGCAAAAACTGTAATTTAAAGTATTTGTCATAAAATAGGAAATTTGTGCAGGATGATAACAAAAGATTAGATTTAGAATTAGACTTACAGGCTCTCCTCTCAAGTATTAATTTAGAGATGATTATTTGGTGCCGGCCCCTTATCGCCATTTGTTTACCAAATTTTAGCGGAACATTCACTTAAGTTCTATTTATGAATAATAATAATATAGGCAAGCTTATAAGTAAAGTCTTATTTAAAATTCATTTTAAAGTATAATTATAATCTAAACTAGAAAAACTGCATGTTACGTACAACGCATTTTAATCTTTTTCTCAAAAAGGCAACAAAAAATCTTAAGTGTTTAAGCACTAAACATATTAAAAAAATGCCAGTTTTCAAGTTGATATAATATGTAATTATAAGTCAGCACACAGTTAAACTGAATACTCAGTTCAGACTGACTGACTGACTGACTAACTGGTACTAGTTTCTGCTATCGGAAGATAAAATTCTCCTTATTTTCTATACCTACATATATGACGGTCTAATTGGTCTAGTAGCTATCATGTATTTCTATAGATCTAAAAAAAAATCTAAAGTAGTTACTTCTATAGTAGTATAGAAAAATTGAATCTATAGATCGTGAGGTCCTGGGTTCAAGTTCCAGGCCTAAATAGTTACTGGATTTTTCTGTTACGAAATCTTCAGTTGCAGCTCGGAGTTGGGAAGTCACTGTTAAAAATATCTCTCGTATTTCGCTGATCTCAGTGAGGTTGGCTGCCGTAAACCAAATCGATTAAGAGTTAAATATACAATAGGGACAAAATGCGTTGAGTCTAAATGACTTAATAATTTGATTATACATAAATTTATTTAAAAATATTTTACAATACATTCTTATTCTTCACTAATGCTTGCACATGTACCTACAGTTTGGTGTAATATTGAAATTAATGTTGTTATCAGAGAACTTATATGTCGGGGCAAAGGCAGTTGCATCAGGTTGGGGCACTCTTACCGAAGAGGGTAAGGTTTCTTGTACACTACAAGAGGTAGAAGTCCCTGTTATGAGCAATGAGGAATGTAGAAACACGAAGTATTCATCGAATATGATTACTGATAATATGCTGTGTGCTGGGTACCCTAAGATGGGACAAAAAGATTCTTGCCAGGTAATTTTTCAGTATTTTCAGTAAAATTCGTTATTCATATTTTCTGATTATATAAACTATTATTTTGTACAGTTTGCTTAATTTTAATATTCAATGAATATCTAGTATAAAATTAATTATTATATTTAATATTTTTTTCTTCTTTTACGTTCAAAAAATAACACACATACATACATATTTATTTACTGTATTATTCTTTTTTAGAACTTATAGATTATTTATTAGAATGTATAAAAAAATGTATATAAAATGCTTATAGCAACTATAGAGTCGATAATTGCTATTATTGAGTCAAGTCACATTCCTATGTAAATCAAATTACACACATTGTCACAGAATACGTAATTTCAAATAATCGGGAGAACATTAATTACAGGGTGACAGCGGCGGGCCGCTCATCACTGAGAGAAAGCTCGACAAGCGCTACGAGCTAATAGGTAATACATATTGATGTTTGCAAATCCTATGTATACTGCCCATTGCACTTAAAACACCTTTCACTCGCCTATACAGTATACAACGGATGGATCTATGTTTTAAAGATAAATTTATGACTGATTGCTTCCTAGATTTATAAAAGAAATATATGGCATGAAATGCTAATATCTGCTTGTATATTGCTAGTATATCGTATTAACAGTATTTTATCCTATGCTATAAACACATATTAAAGATGGTGAAATATATATACATAGGTATTAGGATGGCAATGGATTAATTATAATCTTCACAATAAATGCAAAATGTGTTTGCTTGTCCTCCTTACACTCAAAGACAGAGCGAACAACTGACTTGTTATTTTTTCATATGATACAATACTTGGCAGAAAGTAGATAGTATTATATGCAAAGTAGATAGGTAGTAAGTAGGTATGTTAAACGACCTGCTGTAGAATTAATATATTGTTATTTGGCTAAATCATTGTTCTTAAAGATTAGGTGAGTCGAGTTGGCAAAATTGTGCGAAAACTTGTAAAAGACATTTTATCGTCTAGATATTAGGTACTTTTTACTTATTTTTTATGTTCATTAATTGTTATTAATACATTTTGTAATTTCTAGGCGTGGTTTCATGGGGTAATGGATGCGCTAGAGTGGGCTACCCAGGAGTGTACGCGAGGGTCACCAACTTCCTGGATTGGATAATCGATAACACAAAAGACTCGTGTTACTGCAGAGAATAATCTTTTGCTCATTATATTGGAAGTATTTTTTTATATGTTTGGGAAAAGTAACCATATAGTAAATATTATAAACAGATATTTTTTTATTTAATATCTACACAAAATATGTTTGAAAGAATATTTAATTATAAATATTAGTTGGGTTTTATCAGTGCTATAACATTACTTCTATACAAGTTAGACAAAAACACCCTTTTGTATAAAAATATAAATTAATAAATATTATCTGCAATATAATGACATGCAATTAGTTAATTAACTTTAGTTACCGGCACTCATTTATCAAATCTAAACTGTTTCTAATATTACTTCGCATTTGGACGTGAATTTATCATAAATACATAAATATTATTAGCAAGTCATTGAACTCGTGTAAATAATCAAATGCGTAATACTATTGATTTAGTGATATTATTCTAGAGGATGACTACTTTGGACAGCTTATATAAATGAAAAAACAGCTACGTAACAATATTCTTAAGTTAAAAACAAATATCTTTTCAAATTGTACCAAAAAAATATATAAATAGGATGACTATAAGATATTTATTTCATTTTGGATTATTAATATTTATTAGTCAAGGAATATACGTAATAATGCCATAATAATTAAGCTTAGATTTAAGTGCGACCGTGAAATGTAAAATTATATAAATAAAGTACCTCATTTATTGTTTTATTTCCATTCTAAAGGTTGTTCTTGATTGAATTCAAGTTTTATTGCAAATTGCAATATTTTGGGAGTCAAATGATTATTAGCATGCCATAATAAGAAGATAAGTTTAAGTCGCCATCAAAAAGTTATAATAAGTTTTATGGTTATATAATAGAAGTTGTTTGAGGTTTTTAGCATGCAAATTAAGTCCAGTTGGGACATTTTTAATAACTTAGTTCATGTTAAATATTTACTTTATATTAAACAAGTAGATTTTTATAAGGAGTAGTTAAAGTTACCTGGCTTCTTACTTATGTCTATATGCATGTTTTAACTGCTAAGTCTAGGAAATAGATATTTTATTTTGGGTTATAAAACTGTTAACCTTGGAACATAAATGATAAAAGTTATATATATATATATATATATATATATTATATATATATATTTAATATACAAACAAAAGTAAGAATGCACCACGTACTATATACTTATTTGTTTTAGATTTTCATTCATTCAAAATTAGATTTCAGGCTGCTAGTTGAACATTTTTTTTATAAAACTGGATAATATTTTTATTAAATATATTTATTGTATTAAAAATATTAAAATTCAAGGGAATTGGATCTCCGCGGAATACTTTACTTGATGATTAGGAAGTTATATGAGATTATTTTTGTGTGCACAGTTTTCTTTTCGAAATTATTGGAGAGGCCATGAAATAAAGTTCATGAGTTCGTTTTATTTTTAGTACCTAATATTGGTTAAAAATATTTTATAATTAACTAATTTAAACATACTAAAAAAAGTTTTGGTAGTGATAAATGTCTATTATAATATCTAAATATAGCTTCTACAAATCAAAAAAGAGCAGGATTTAATTCATTGTTGTTTTGGTTCAGGAACGATATATCTAATAAAAACTAGTAAATAGCAAATTTTAAAATAAATTAAAGCGTATATGTTAATAAATTTTACGCAGTTAGGTTTTACGTATTTTATATTATACTTTTCACCTTAATGACCCATGACCATCTGGCTTTCAATGTCAACGCGGAATTTTCCAATTGCGATTGTGTTGTTTTGTGAATACCAAAAATCATTTAATGATAATAATTACTAGTTACGACCATCATATATTAAGTTTAAAAATTATAGGGGTTTTTTCGTCAAAATTATATTAGTACCTTATGACCTTTCTCAATAAATAGACTGAAATAAGGCAAAAAAAGATTTCCTCAAAGTGGACCTCAAAGTAGTGTAGTTCCAGAAATTAGCACCTGTAAACAAACAAACTCTTCAGCTTTATATATATTAATATAAAATTGATGAAATTTATAAGCTGTCTAACACCACGATGAAGTTTTAGAAGCGGAGTAGGTAATAATAAATAAAAGAAATAAGTGAGCATAGCTTAAAAAATCAAACAAATGAGAGTCTGACTCGCACGCCGAGGGTTCCGTAGCATGAAACATTGAAATAAGTTAAATAAGCTAATATTATAAAAAAAATCTGAAGTAACTATAAATTTTTAGTTTTAAGATTTTTACAATGTCAATGCAAAGTACCCTACAGGTTTTGATTCCCTTGGGAGTGTCAAAACATGCGACATAAACAGCCTTATCTCCTGACTGACGTTGACTTAGAATGTTGATTTTTTCACAGCTCCAAGGGATTGTAGATCTGAAAATTTGATATTAATTTTAGTTTGATACCTTCATGCGTTTCTGAGAAAAAGGATCTTGACAGACAGACAGATAGACGGACGGTAATCCTATAAGAGTTCCTTTTTTCCTTTTGAAGTACGGAACCCTAAAACTATATAAATATTATTAAGAATGGAAACAAAGTTTTTCCTTTACATATGTTATTACTAATTGAATAATTGATGTTTTAACTAATTGGTGATTTGAAAGAATTTTCATTACACTGATATTGATTCCACCTTTTATTGATAATAAATTTATTCTATTACAAAGAGGAGTAATTTGTTTGAACAAATATAGATAATAATCTCTGAATCCACTGAAACGATTCTAAAAACTGTAAAAGCGATATCTTTCTGGGTATTAGATATCAATATCTAATATTATAAATGTGAAAGTGTTTTTGTTTGTTTATTTGTTTGTCCTTCTTTCACGTTAGAACAGAGTGACGGATTGGTGTGATTTTGTGTGTGGAGATAATTGGACGGTTGGACAGTAACATAGGTTACTTTTTACCGCGGGAGATCATCTCATTCTCACGGGAAAACATGATAAAATGCTACTCATTTTTTTTTAATCAAAATTATTAAAACTTTAAACTTGAAACTTGGTATTAATGCTCTTCAATACAATTAAATAAATACGTGTTTTAGAATTTTTTGAAAGTCATCCTTTAAGAGGGTAAAGTAGGGGATGAATTTTTGTATGAAACGTACCATTTTAGAGATTTTTTTGTATTTTTAGCGCGAGCGAAGAAGCGGGTTCTGCTAGTATTTATATTTCCTTTTTTATACAGTTGATTGGTAACATATATACTTCTTGATTGTGTTTTCGTATAAGCATAAACGGTACAATAGATTTTTGTGCTTAAAAAGGATACTCATAACTTTACTATCGGATAACTAAACTTGTGATCAAGTTTTACACTAATGGGCTAAACGACATATCTATACAGATAATACAATTATAACTGATTGCTGTCTGTATATGGAAGATATTTGAGAAAAAGTCTTATTGGGGGTGTTTATTAACGTAATAGAACCCAAAAGAATGATTTCTGCAATTTTTATCAGTTTGTTTGTGCGCGCTAATCTCAGAAATGGCTTAACCGATTTGGGTGCGGTTTTCACTAATGTGTTGCTTCACTTAACATTTAGTATTTGTTTTATTCCAATCGGTTCAAAAAAAAGTTGTACCAATTTAAAGAATCACCTAGGGATGAATCCGTAATCCGGAAGCCAGGGTGAGTCGCTAGTCCACAATAAAAGCATACAGAAAGAAAATCACATAATGGATTCAGTAGATGGTGTTCTGATAATAAAGATTCATATTCATGTGTTAAATAATGCTAATTACTATATTTTACAATAAAAATCTATAAAATAAGAATTACTCATATCCATAATGATTACAGAATACACTTAATCAATAATTAATTAATTAAATGCTTTATTTGCCATTACTTCTCCAGTAAAAATGTCTATTATGTATCATTACTATTAAAATTGACATAAAATTATATAAAAAAAGAGCAAAAACAAAAAAGTTATATGTAAAATTTATCTTTATTTAATATGCAAAAGTAAAATTAACAAATTAGGCAGTAAAAAGGCAATAAAATTATCGGCAGTGTATATCAATATTAACAGTTTTAAAGTACACACTAGGTACTACGTACTTGTATGTCATTAACATGTTACAGTGCATTGAATATCTTAATTTTCTCTCGTCTATGACAAAGTCCATAAGATTCAAATTAAGATTTAATTTAGAGGTCCGCGAGGTCATCGATCTCTGAGGTCATTGCCAAATAACATGTTCGAACATACAGCCATCTATTGGCGCTTTTAGACAGTGTTTAAAAGCTCCTTTCGCACTAATATTACGATCTCATTAGTTTTTCTTAAAAAAGAGACATAAATTACTGCACATACAGTTCGCAGATTAGATTCGACGGGTTATAGCTGCAATATATTTTGGATTTAAGTAACGTGCTTCATTTTAGGATGGCCGAAATTCATAAGAGCGTTGAAATCTAAGGCATGAGTTAGTGTTTCGAATACTTTGTGTACTGAGCGCGCCCAAGTGTTCCATCACTCATGTATCTGGAGAATAATAAATAAAATATTTTATTCGAAAGATAACGCAATGCTTGTACGATTGTTTTGTTTTGTTTTGTGCGTGACTGTCAGTGCTGGGGATACATCGAGTAAGGTAAATTTTTGTTTTTTGCTCTACATTATTGCTTTTTTGTTGTCGTTTATTGAGAATTCTTCATAATATTTATAAAATTTTTATTTGTTTATTATTTTAATTTTAATGATATTCTAATGATATAAGCAACTTAAGAAAATAGAGTCACTGAAATATTTAATGTATAATTTGGAATAATTGACCTTTAAATATTATTCTAGTAATATTTAATATTATAATAATGCACATTTTTAATATTTATATTTTTTTACATTTGTAGACTTTGATTAGAGTAAGTGATGAATATTATGCTTATGGACAACATCCAGGTATTCAGACGCCGCCATGTAGAGATTGCAGTAAGTATAATATATAATAATAAATAATAAAGTGGGTACTATATTTTAAGTCATGTAATTAGAAAATTTTATCATTATTTTGAAAAATAAATGTGAAAACATGCTAATTTGCCTCATTCGTTAACATTTATATTAATTATAAATATTAATTAATTTAAATGCTTGTGTATACTAATATTAAAGAGGTAAAGTTTCTAAGTTTGTGAGGATGTGGGGGGTAATCTCTGGGTCTGCTGAACCGATTTATATGAAATTTGGTAAGAAGATAGTTTGAGACCCTGGGAAGGACAAAGGATAGCTTTTATCCCGGAAATCATCCCTTAAGGGTTGAAAATGGGGATGAAAGTTTGTGTGGGGTATAATATTAATTAATATAGAGATTTTTTATTTACTTTAGCTTAGTCAATATTAGATTAGATCTCTATAAAGTATGTGTAGGTCTCAATGTTTAACGGCATCTACACAAATTTAGCAATAATGAAACTTTTTTGACCGGAGATAAAATATATCCCATTGATCGTTATAAAACAGGATTCACAAATGCATATTGATAAGTTCAGATTTCTTAGGTTTTACGTCATCAAAATATTTGTACAAGTCGAAAATATCTTTAAAATATTATAAATATGTACAAAATATAGAGACTCACATATGATGAATTTTATATTACACGCTGGCTCGACAGACGTAGCCCAGTTCAAATTATTAACTTTTCCGATTTTCCTAATTTTCCGGACAAATGTTCCCATAAAAGCTTATTACTTATTTTTATTCTTTAATGGCTCAGAGTTGCGTTAACAGACGCATTTGATTTGACGCATCTGATTCTGCCAGTGTCACGTCGTATTGTGAGGACGACACGAGTGAGTTTAAGCGGTAATTTAGAAATTTAGCAGTTTTAACGTGGTATTAAAACTAATATATAATATAAATAATCGCTATTAAGAACACTTTTCTGAAATAAACCTATAAATAAACCTATAAAAAAACCTATAAATAAATATGTATAAAGAATTAATATTTTATATTATATATAAAATAACAGCTATATTTTTATAATCTATCCAGGCTGTGGAGAACGCAACGAAGAGCCTAGAGTGGTAGGCGGTACTGAATCTCAAGTGAACGCATTTCCATGGATAGCTCGTCTAATCTACATGAACTCCTTCGGCTGTGGAGCATCATTAATTAATGACAGATATGTTATTTCAGCTGCACATTGCGTTAAAGGGTAATATAGATAATTTGAAAAGTTATTTATTTTCATCAAGCATTTGTTTATGGTAGTTCAACAGTCGATTACGGCTTAAGCTTTGGCAGAGTCTATTGTTTCATGTGTTTTCTTATGTATATAAAGACAGTTTCGTAAGTGATGGGTGATGAATATTTTAAAAACTTGAAAAAGTCTAAGACTAGAAATAACGTCATAAGTCACTCTTGCTTGCTACTGAATTGAAAAGTATTTTTTTATAAAAATAATACATATATACGAATATAAGAGGTCTTAAAGCCATGAATAGCATCATCGATTTAAGCCGTCAGGATTGCAGAGCTGGGCTTACCTTGCGCCTATTTAAATTTTAAATCTCATAAAATTGTCCTAGTAACCGTAATTTATGATAGATTCCGCAAGCAACTAACTGCTGCACGTCTCCTATACAAACATTAGAACAGGACTTATTTGGTAAGCAAATAGATTATATGTATATTCAAAACTATTTTTTTAATTATGGCTAGCCTTAAACAAAATTTATTAAGTGTAAGTAATTTAATTGCTTAGATATTTTATTTAATATAAAATATTTTTGTCTCGTTAGTAGATACCTAATGGGTGATGATGGTAACACCCTCCTCGCCGAGAATTTTTACATTAGTTTTATTATTCAAATTGTGTTTCGTAGTATGCCTATGACACTTGAAGTTATTTTTGTGGCCGAACACGTTGCACTGAAAATATCCTTTATCTCAAAAATTACTTAATGTATTTTTTTTAATATTTTTTATTGAAAGTATAAATTTTGAATGCCCTACTATTTCACTAGTCGTCGAGTAAAGTGACCGTGACATACGGGCAGACGGACATAAAAAAATTACGGATTTTTCATTAATGCTATAAAACCTTCAAAATCAAACTTTTACTCGGTAACTGCGTAAAAGCGGCATCGACATATTAATAAAAAGGCAATTTTGCATTAATAATATTAATAAGAATTAGCGTTTACAATAAATTCGAATTTGACTAACTAATAGAACACTATCGTTGTAACATTTGAAAATTTGAACGTCTTTCGTTTAAAAATCATTTACAACTTACGAGTATTCAGTACAATTCATTATCTTTGAACTCGTTAAAATTTACACTATTTGCTGTTATTAAACAATAAAATGTAGTATTTGTCTTTTGTTTCTCACTGAAAGTACCTTGTTTGGTGCAAACAGGAAAGTCGCGGGAGTAAATAAATTTGGAAGGCATTCAGCCATGCATCGTTTTTAAAGCAAATTAAAAATAAACAAGCGCCTCCAAGAAGCTTATCTCATCCTTTTAATGTTTCATTTTTGGGGACCGTAGCACTTAATTTATTAAAAGGCGCTAAAGAAATGTAATTTGAGTACTAAACATATCAAGATAGGATATAAAATTTATATCTAAAGATTAAATTGTTTTTCATACTATAATATTGTAGGATTTGATTTTTGATTTGACAACACGTTTGGCTCAGTTTGTAGTGACCCTACTTGCTGTGTCAACGGTCGCCGGTTCGAATCCCGCTGGGAGCATTCATTTCTGTGATGAGCACGAATTTTTGTACTCTAGTCTTGGCTGTTTATATTTATATTATGTATGCATTTAAAGTTATATATGTGTAGTGTATCAACTATCTGGTATCCATAACACAAGCCTCGTAGCTTACCATCGAATTAGATGGTGCTGTGTTAATGTCCCAATATATGTATTTATTTATTTATGATTTTTTGTCACAGTATTGGTCATCACTCACTGTTTATAAAAAACCAAAATGAATGTTTGTATGTTTTTCCTGTATGCGTTCCTAAACCATTGATCCGATTGTGTTGAAACTCTGGAGGGTTATTGTGTTTACGTCTTTAAAGATTCCGGGGCGCAAACACATTTTTCTTTGGACGCATATCTTTTATGCCATCCGAGCGAAGCAAGGGTAGGTTGCTAGTCTATACATATAATAAAACTGTAGAGGTCGAATGTCTGTACATAGAAAAAAAAATTTGCTAACACCCGAGTCCGGGGGATGTCAGAAGAGAAATAGAACAAATCCAGATTATTTTCAATTTTTTTGTTTCTCTGTCTGTTCGTAAGGGCTAATCTCCGAAACTGTTGGACCGATTTAAATGAAATTTTGCATGGTGATACCTTATATCCCATTCAACATTTTAGGTACTTTCTATCCCGGAAAATAAAGAGTTCCCGTGGGAAAGTTAAAGAACTATAGTAAATTATACAGCTTAGTACACAAAAACTACTTACTGGATTTTAATGAAACTTTACAATAATATAGTACATACATCAAAATAACAAATAAGCTACTTTTTATCCCGGAAAAATGTACAGTTCCCGTGGGATAAATTTGTTTTCGTTTGTCTAGTGGCGAACCCGAGCGAAGCGAGGGTGAGCCGCTAGTTAGTAATAAAATCTACGCACCATTACAATTTTAATTATATTTGTGTAGATTAATACTACGAACGTACACTACGTGGTACAATGTATCTTTTTTTCTGTAAAATAGAGTAAAACCATTTATTATTTCATAAATATATACTTATTACCTTTTAAATTTCTATAAAATAATCATATAGAGTAAGGAATGTTTTGAAATACAATAAAGGCTTATAGAAATAAATCAGATGGTCAATATTTCTTTCAGTTTTATGTGGTTTATGTTCCGAGTGAAATTCGGTGAGCATAACCGGTGCGAGGTCCAACGTATGCCCGAAACTCGATATTTGGTGAAAATGTACGTGCATAATTTCACATTAACTGAATTAACAAATGATATCTCATTGCTACAGTTAAATGAACCTATGGACTATTCATATGCGATAAGACCTGTGTGTTTACCTAAGGATTGTAAGTTACTATAACATTTTTATATATATATATATACATTACATTTTCTTATATTTCAAAATATGTTTCTTAATTATTACTTTCAAAACGATGACCGATTTCAAAAAGGAGGACGAATTTAATTCAGTTGTATGATCATTTGAGTGTTTGCTTCTCGATAAATTCGTCAAATATCCTAAGAGTGGAATAATTATTTTCAAGTGATTTTGTAGTAATAATTATTTGTATTTTGCATCGAACCCAACTAATTTCTGCTACTTATACTAAACATAATTCATTGTATTTAAATGTACAGTAGGTACGTTTATCTAATTTAAATATAATCCATATGGTAATTTTTTGCTTCACCACTTACAAAACAATAAAGCAAACATACCTTTTTTGAAAGACATTTGATATTGTTATAAATGATTAAAGTACATATGAATAAATATGCATTTAAAATGGTATCAAATTTGACTAAATTAAAGATTTATATCATAAACATGTCAATGTGAATTTATTGGGTATAAAATTAAGGATCACTACTTTGCAGAGAGTCGTAAAAATATCCCTTGCTTTGTATTGCAATCAAAGGACATTGGCATATTTTTATTAGATCTAAAACGAGCCAAGCATATTTCATTCTCATTTAATAAAATATAAAGTTAAAAATGTGTTTATATATTTGTTTATATTCAGACATCGTTGTTTATATTGGTTTGAAATATCATGTAGATAATATTGTGTTTCTTTAAAAATATTCAATTTTATCAGTTTTTTTTTATTATTTTGCCGAAGGCCACGGGTTCAACTCCCGCACACGATCAATATTTATTTTGACCAATAATTATTAATCTGGCCTAGCTGTGTTGTTTCCTAATTTCAATAGAAAACAAGAGAACAATTTGTGACTAGGTTATCTCTATCTAGAGTGCACAATAGTCCCAGTGAGTTTCCATCGCCAGTAATTCTAAGGTAAAGAAGATGAGACGTTTTTTTATCATTAGCAGGTAATGGTAGCAGCTTAAATAATGTTCAGCAAGTGCTTATAAAAATATATATTAAAGTTTTTTCACTTTAACAAAGCAAAGAAGGAGATGAATAAAAGTTATTGAATATCAATTTGAATGTTATAAACTTTTTATTTGCAGCTCAAAACTTATACGTTGGGTCAACAGCAACTGTGGCGGGGTGGGGGGCCACTGCGGAGACTGGCAACTGGTCTTGCACTTTGATGGAGGCACAACTACCAGTTCTTAGCAATGAGCAATGTCAGAACACGAAATATAATAAAACGAAGATCAAAGATGTGATGATGTGCGCTGGTTATCCCGCAACAGCTCATAAGGATGGTTGTACGGTATGTTTAGTATTTTCTAAACTAAATTCGATTATAATTTACATAGTGTCTCCGTACTGTATTTTGTACTCTTTCAAAATATAATACAGATGAATTCGTACACAGAATGTAACTTTCAAAAATTCATATCTATAGAGTTATAGAGCAAGTTTTAGGGAAATAGAGGAAAAGTTTTATTATGAAGTGAACGATTTTAAAACAGTTCTACTTCGTGTATACTTTTTTATGTATTATTTAATGTTAAACAAATCAAATACGTCGAATATAAAAAGGCAGAATTTTAGTTTGTTTCTTGATAATGTAGTAATGAAAACAACTGATTCAATAGTTTTTAGGGCACGTAAAAAGGGAGCCGAACTTGTTTTATTATCGATTTTTTTTTCAGGGCGACAGCGGTGGACCTTTGATAGTTGAAAATGCAGAGCATGCTTATGAATTAGTCGGTACGCACTTCTTGTATTAAGAAAAATAAATTTAAAATACTGATATATTTATAATAATATATTTTAATCATTACGATTGCTTACTTAAAACCAGAACAAACGTGTATGCAAATATTTGTTTTATGGCTATGACAGAAATTTTGCGATTTCCAAATATCTATCATCCATGAATTAATTTAATTGCAATTTATCGTGTCTTCTGCCACTAAAAGTCAAGAAAGTCCTCTGTTTTTGTTGAATCCCAAAAATGTATTTGAAATTGTTTATTTTATACTTTTACAGGTATTGTATCGTGGGGTTATGGATGTGCTCGGAGGGGATATCCAGGTGTTTACACGAGGATGACAAAATATATCGATTGGATTTTAGAAATCACAAGAGATGCCTGTTACTGTGACGATTAGTAGTAAAAATTAAATATTGGTCAACATTCCCTTACCTCCTCGCCTCGCTTTTAAATTGTATTTTATAACCCTATATGTATTTTGTATTATTAAGAAAAAAGAAAATTTCAAATAAAGAAAATAATTATAATTTTTAAATATTTTGATGAAAAACTCTCTCTCTACTAAATTATTTTTTTAAAATAAGTATATTCCTACATAAATAGGATTATTTGCTAGACCAAAACCTGTGTCACCGTAATTAGTAAGAAGTTCGATTTTTCATGTTAATTTTAAGGTTGAGCAGGAAAAATCTGGCCGTTATGTGCATCACTAATATTAATATAATAACAGAATAGTGAGAATTATATATTATATTTTATTATAATGTTGTAATGTTTAATATATTTTATTAATTTAAATAAATTTAAACATAAATAAAACAGTGCAGGTCAAAAAGCTAGTTTTCGAACTAATAATAGAAGCAGGCTAAACCGCATGGATGCCGCGGGAGCAACGCACTCATTCCCGTTGCAGACTCTTCGTATTTGCTTGCATTTTGTCTAAGAGACGACTCGACTATCTGATTTACAAATAATTGTCCTGTAATTATATTGTATTTTTTAATTTTTTAATGTTTATTTCGTTAGTGTTTCGAATGGAGAAAACAATGTGTAAGTTATTTTTAGTGCTTACCTTTTTGTGCATTGGCTCCGTAATATTAACAGTAAGTACATAATATATTAATAAAATTACTTATCGTATAAAAGTATATTATAAAATAAATTCTCTTTTCTTCATTGGAATATTATGAAGAAACAATGAATTATTTATTTTACATTTCTTTTACAATTTAATTTTCTGAATTAAAAGTTGTGGAATTTATTCCAAAACTCTAAAAACTTTTATAATAATTAGATTAAAAATAGCCCTGTGAAAGCCAAGTATCAGCTTTTAAAATATACATAAGTTCGTAAAGTAAGGAAAGGCTTTGAAGTCTATAATTATCAGTAAACGAGATGTTTATACCTGTCTGTTGTTAAAATGAAGGTTAACGCTGAAGACGTAGCAAATGCTACAGAAGAAATAGTTTCATCCACTACTGAAAATGTTACAGAAAAATTGAACGAGGAGAATAATAAATGCAACTGTCGTAAGTAGCGTTGGGTTAATTTTTATTTTGACATTATTAAGAACTAGCGTTAGTAAAGATTTCTCAGAGATGAGATATTTTCCTGCAGTTAAAAGTATCCTATATGTTGACCCGGATAGCCTTCTATCATTATTACAAATTTCATCAAAATCTGTCCAGTGGTTTTCTCGTGATGCATTCCCAGACAAACAAAAACACAGGCAGACAAAAATTCTAAAATTGTCTAGATAATAATGATTATTTTAATAACATTTTACAAAAAATATATTTAATGTTCAGATTCGACTCAGAAGTTTATTATGTGTATAGATTAATCTTACAACAGTAACTTAAAGCCCGAATTCGATGACCTATTTATAGGATTTTACTATCATTGATGTAGTTAGTAAGTATAATCATTTTCCCTTATCTAAAACTTTTTACATCTCATAGATATTATGAGATATCCTTTAGATTTCCAAAAAAAGCCCTATTTTATCATTTATGTGATTTTCTTTAATGATCCAATTTTTTTCTTAGTTCTTGAAATATATTTTACAAAAGACAAAAAGTCTACAGTTATAAGATAAAAAAAATTGGACTATACAGTGTGTAACATGAATGATCGATCAAAGCCGTAGGTAGAGAGTTATTTATTATAAAAATAAATTATATATATTATATATATATATATATATATATATATATATATATATCATGGCACGAACCCTAATTTAAAACCCAAATATCTTTGGAACAACTAAAAATCGCTGAATACACATAGGGGTTAAATCGATATGTATTGAGGTTCTCGACCCCCTTGCCAGCTTTGATCTATCGACTGATGTTACACACTATATGTATGAAAGAGTCAGTTTAATTGTGTTATTTTTACATTTTGTAATATATTATGATTTTGTGAAAAATATATAAATATGGATAAATGTAAAAAAACAACCTATTAATTATTGTCTTGATAGAAAAATTTCGTTTTTTAATACAAAACCATTACATAAATACAACAATTAACTTATCGAGTTAAAAGATTTATCGCGCATTCGGCCTTGTGTGTACTCAGAACTTAATATTTTATACTTAAAACAGATAACTTAAACTTACAGATACTTCTGTATTTAAAAAAATATGTATAATCTCAGAGGAGTTGTTTCTTTTATTAATTTAAATTTATTGAATGCAAAAAAATAACAGTATTCATATGATTATTATCGGACGAATAGACTAAACGCGTTGACTTAAATGTTTGAGAATTTTTTGACAGCTCGAAAGGATTGTAGACCTGAGTATTTGATATTATTTCAATTTGATACCTACACGCATTTCTGAGAAAAGAGGTCTTGACAGAAAGATAGATAGATAAACAGACAAACAAACAGTCAGACAGACAGACTGACAACGAAGTGAACCTACAAGGTTTCCTTTCTTCCTTTTCAAGTACGGAACACTAATAACAATTTAAATGTTTCTAATTTTAATTGTTAGGTTGTGGGGAACGTAATGAAGCAACACGTATCGTTGGTGGCGTAGAGACAGCAGTGAACGAGTTCCCATGGGTGGCGAGGCTAAATTACTTTAACAAGTTCTATTGCGCCGGAATGCTTATCAATGATAGATACGTATTGACTGCTGCTCATTGCGTCAAAGGGTATATTTTACCAATATTGTTAACCTAATTATATAATTTTATATGAAATAATATGCGTGCGTACGTGCATTTTCACAGAATGAAGCTGCTTCCAATGCCGGATCTCGTATCTCTGATATTTTCATATTTAAATCATTTCTAATATGATTAACACTTGTCTTGCGGTAAAGAAAAACATTGGGAGGAAACTTGTATGTCTGAGAGAACCTAGCAAATTTTCAAAAAAGCAATGTTTTAGACTTAAGGCTTAGGCTGTTTGCCAGTGAGCAATTGAAATAAATTAGGATTTTTACTAAGCACTTGGAATTACTTAATGCTGTTATATTATGTAAATTTTGTAACACAATAAGCATTATGTGTTTTATTAATCATTCAATATTTCTAGATTGATGTGGTTCATGATGAAGGTGACATTGGGAGACCATAACCGATGCAACAAAACGCAAAGACCTGAGGTCCGTTACGTGGTTGACTTGGTGGCGCACAACTTTACCTACTTAACATTCAGAGATGATATAGCCGTTCTAAAGTTAAATGACAGGGTCAATATATCGAACACGATTAAACCAGTTTGTTTACCGCATGACGATGGTTAGTATAATTTTATTCATAAAAAATTAAATACATTTATATGCATGCGTAATATTGGATGCATAAAAATGTTTTTTTCGCCTCTAATCAATGTTATATTATTTTAATCGTAATCTTTTAAATTAAAAATTTCTTATCTGTGGGTTTAATTATTTTTAAATATTTTTAGCTCATTTATATACGGGAGTTAAAGCCATAGCAGTAGGTTGGGGTTCAGTTGGTGAACAAATGAGTCATTCCTGTAATCTACTTGATGTAGAACTACCAGTCCTTAGTAATGAAGTATGTAGAAACACTAAGTATGACTCGTCCATGATAACGGACGGGATGCTTTGCGCTGGTTACCCTGAACAAGGAAAGAAGGACACTTGTCAGGTTATTTTTGTATATTATATTTTTCTCGGCTGATATATTCAAACGATATTCTTTTGCTTTTACTGTTTTGAGTTTAATCCTTTCTTAGATTTACGCGAATATTTGACATTTTAAATAAAACTATGTTTTCGGATTATTACGCTGATTTATTTAGATTTTTGGTTCCGGACGTTTCGAATGCTTTGCAGCAGTCAGTCTCTCTCGTGACCATGATTGCTGTAAAGTATTCAAAACGTCGGGAACCAAAAATCAAAATAAATCCGCGAAATAGTCCGAAAAGATAGTTTTGTTTCTAAATGTTTTAAGTTTAGTTTTGAGCTATTTTAATAGCTTTACAAAGTACAGTTACATGGCTTCTTTATATAAAGAAACTAGCTAAACAGTTTTTGGAGAAGTGAAATGTAAAATAATAATACATATTTCTCATAGGCAAAGATTTTTGATCTTACACTAATTTCCTTTACATTGTTCAGTAAAAAATAAGTAGTTATGTAATTTTACAGCAATTTAATAATTATCATTAAATTATTATAGAGTATTATTTCTATAATTTAATGTCTTGTTCTAGGGAGACAGTGGTGGGCCTTTAACTGCCGAAAGAAGTGACAAGCGCTATGAAGTACTGGGTAATATAATTAACTGTTTATTTTATTTATAATTAAAAACAGGGAACTTGTAAATCCTGTTCCTGCTCCATTTTCTACAATTCTTCTAGAAATAAGTAAAATTAAAGATGGAGGTAAAAGTCAAAATCTTATATTATTTATACGTGGAAAAGCTATATCTGGGGCTCCTAATATTAATGGAATTAATCAATTACCAAATCCTCCAATTATAATTGGTATAACCTTTACAGGAATAGTTTCATGGGGCATTGGATGTGGGAGGAAAGGGTATCCGGGCGTTTACACAAGAGTTACAAAATATTTAGACTGGATCAAGGCTTACACACGTCACGGCTGTTTTTGTTCGAACTGATTGTCTTCATTAGCATTATATTCTAATTAGTTGTCTTCACCCGTATATTTTAAATAACAATCTAAGTGAAATGTCGTAATATAATATATCCATATATTAACTTCATCGAGATTATTTTAAATTAAAGAACCCGCATCTTCTGTACATTTTTTTTTTCAAAATTGGGGTTTAAAAACCTCCATACAACATTTTATGTTGCTATTTTCTGCTTGTCAGTTGTACGATGTTCGTATTTAATATATTTGTGTTATTGTATTTTATACATGCAGTAAGTATACTTTCTTTTATAAAACAACTAGAGCCCTTTTTTCCTTTTGTGCTTATCTTTTCTAATTTTGCAGGTATCGAGTGACAGTACATCAAATTTATTTGGTTTTTACACGAGGTTACGGAAACTTTGTCTCTGTCGTAAGTAACTTCATTCTCTTTTGTTTAAATTTCCTCATTGTAGGCCAATTTGCGTTTTAATTCTTTAAATTGTTATTTAAATATTATTGTACATATCTTAAAACAAATACAAGACATTTTCTAGGTTGTGGAATGCTCCAAAACGATGTGCCTGACATGCCATGGTTAGCAACCATTAATACAGGCAAAACTATTATACGAGGAACTTTGATATCTGACCGACATGTGATTACTGCTGCATCTCCTTTATTAAGGTAATATTTGTAATGAATGAAGTTATTTCAAAATTTCAAATTCTATCCTTCGTAAACTTTTTAACATTTCACAAAAAAAATCGTTTATAAAATAAATATAATAGTTTAATATAAATATTATATTATCTACTAATAAAATAAATAATATTTTATGTTATATCTATCTATACTTATTATAAAAATAAGTCCCCCGGCCGCGTCTTTCTGTCCTCCTGTCTGTCCTCCTGTCTGTCTGTACGCGATAAACTCGAAAACTACTGAACGGATTTTTATACGGTTTTCAACAATAGAAAGAGTAATTCTTGAGGAAGGTTTAGGTATATAATTTATTATGCTTTTATGTAAATTAGCTGAAATACGGCGACAAATGTTGAAGAGGTCGCAAAAAATCTCGCCAAATGGGAACTTTCCACGCGAACGCCGCGTAAACTAGCAAAGATACAGTTAAGTAATGTACTAGAGAATTCAAAATCTATAAAAATGCTACAAAAAAGTCCGCGATAGCATATCTCTATCTCTTACGGTTGACTTACAATAACCACTTTTATGTTAACATTTTTAATTAAAAACATTACGTTATTTTCAAAGTTATTTTCTTTAGTTCGGTATTAATCCTTATCCAAATGAATATTTTAGTTAGCTTAGTCATTTAATGCAGATTAAAATTGCTCTTTACACTAAATCAATCAGATGAATAGTTTTTGAGATATCGTTGTTAGAAGTAATTAGTAGCGAAACATTTTTAATGCTTGGCGAGCATTGAGATGCCTACGGCGAGTCCATCCCCTCTGCCCCGCATCGCTCGACCGCCTGCTCAAGCTATATAAACCGGGCGATGTAGCGCGCGATCCTAGGATACTTTTTACCGCGGGAAAATATCTTATTTCTGAGGAAAAATACAAAAACTGCAATGTAAGAGTATACTAATATGTAACACCTAAGAATTTAGTTTTTGGTCATCTGAACGCGGGCGGAGCCGCGGGCAATGCTAGTTAATTAATATAACATAAAATACTATTAGCTTTAGAAGTCTCCATGACACTATTTCTCAAAAATCGGGTATCGGACAAAGCCGTTTGACACTACTCTTTTTGGGTCACCTGTAAATCAAAGTAATTTACTTTTGTTTTGTTTATCTATTTACTTTAAATAACTGGTTTTGTAAATATACGTAAAATTTTATATATACCCCGATAAAATCATAAAATCAATAGCGACCTCGTTTGAATTAAAAGATAAAGAGTGGGATTTCAAACTATGGCTCGTACAGCTTGTTACATAATACGTTCAGCAAAGTTCGGTTTCAGGAATAAAGTTTTATAAACTATTTATGATTGTACTTGCGTTTTAAAAAATTTAAATTTATTTATAATACAAACTAGCGGCTCACCCTCGCTTCGCTCGGGTTCGCCTCTAGAAAATCACAGACAGATCTATCCCACGGGAACCGTTCATTTTTCCGGGATGAAAAGTAACTTGTTGTTAGATCGGCAATATATCAGCATGCCAAATTTTACTAAATTATTTGCATAAGTTGTTGTGTACTAAGCTGTATAGGTTATTATAGATTTTTAACTATTCCACGGGAACTCTTTAATTTTCAGGGATGAAAAGTATCTAAGATGTTGCCCGGGGATATGAGGTACCACCATGCAAAATTTCATTTAAATCGGTCCAATACATTCGGAGATTAGCCCGTACAAACAGACAGACAAACAGGCAGAGAAACAAAAAATTAGAAAAAAATCTAGATTAGTTCTATTTGTCTTCTTACATCCCCCTGGCTCGGTTTTTAGCAATTTTTTTTCTATGTACAGACCATGAACGAAGTGGTTAATTCGTTCATGGTACAGACATTCGACCTCTACAGTTTTATTATAGTATAGATAATTATAGCGATATATTTAGTTATAAAATTTATAATTTATGCTACTTTTAAATGTACTTAATAGAAAAAATGGCTGTGGTAGCCCAGTGATAACGCGCTCGATTGGGGAACCGAGTGAAGCGGGTTCAAATCCCGGGTCTCGCACCTCTGATATTTTCATGTGCGAATCATTTCCAAAATGATCACCACTTGTCTTACGGTGAAGGAAAACATCGTGAGGAAACCTGCATGTCTGAGAAAACCTAGTTTTCGAAAGACATGTGAAGTCCGCCAACCCGCATTTGGCCAGCGTGGTGGACTATGGCCTGATCCCCTCGTATTGAAGGGAGGCCCATGCCCAGCAGTGGGCGTTAAAAAAAGCGCTGAATACATACTAGTACATACAATAGAAAAATTAAAATTATTTTAACATAAATTTAAATTTTTATGCATAATAACAATTTTAACAAAATGAAATTAATAAATAAGTAAAAAGCGACAAGATATAAAACAAGATAATAAATAAAAGTTTGAATAGTATTAAATTATGAAGCTATTTTATATTACAAATAACATTTTATTTTATTAGGAAATCACCAATTGACGTCATAGTAAATTTGGGTGCCTTCGAATTATGCAAAGGCGAGAACGCTTTGAATATTAGTGTTGAAGCCATTTCGATACATCCAGGTTATTATTCGACTGGCAAATTTAATGACTTAGCGTTACTGAAGCTAAGTAATAACGTTATGTTTAACAAACTTGTATCACCTATCTGTATGCCTGTATACGGTAAGTACTCAATAATACTCTACTGCTAGACCAATATAAGATTTTTTAACCAACTTATTAAAAAGGAGGAGAATTCTATTCGGTTAAGTGTTTTTGTGTATGGATGTATGTTACGCGATATCTTCGCTAGTTAGTTAGATTCAGGACACAAATCAAGCCAAATTTATTTTTATATACTAATAATAACTTTATGTATAATAAACGAACTGTAATTAAAGTTCATACATTGTCATATTATATAAAGGCTTCTTTAACATTGTCGGCTGGCACCGTCTTCGAAAATATCTGATTTGGTATCTATAGTAAATGATCTTTAGTTATTTATTACTATTTAAAAGTATGGAATTCGTTTTTTTTAAAGATTTTATTAGAAATTCAGAAATAATTTTCTGATATCACACACATAACAAACTTATATTAAACAATAACTTTATAATGAAAATCTTTAAAATTAAACTTTATATATCTAGATAATGTGGGAGCAGATCAAATAGCTTGGACTTCAACATGGATGAGGAATAAGACGGAATATTGTTTAAGTCAAATAACGACGGTCCCTATAATTCCATCTCGGTCTTGCGCTAGAAATTCCGTATATCCGCCTGAGATAATAATATCTGATAAGGGCTGCCTTGGACCCGCGCGGAGCAAAAGCATCGTTTGTGAGGTGAAAGAACTTGCTTTATTATACCATTTACAAGTGACTTTGTATCCTAAGGTTCTTTTTGCGACTTAATACAAAAACATCAACTCTACATTATTATAATGTAATATGTATAGAAATATAATGCAATATACATAATATACCTTTTCATAAACGATTATTCCACCTTTTCAAATTTTATTACTATTATAACACATACACACACACGCACGCAAACGTACAGACAGTCACACAGTGCACACAGTCACGCGCACACAGACACGCACATAGCAAGTATACATTGTTTCTTAACACATTAACAACTTTCTAAACATAAATTATCTTAAGTATCACAATTTAAAAAAAACATTAAAACATAATTAAACGTTAAACTTACGAGTTTTTACCTGGTTTAAATAATGGTTGATGATTGATTTAAACAATTTTTATTTACTTTCGTTCTGTTTAACTATTTATTTTAAATAACTGATTTTCCAAATATAAGTTAAATTTTCTTTTAAGGAGGACATTGGGAGTCCCGTTATGACCCGTTGGTCCGCTGGCTCACCGTTTAGATTAATAGGAGTTGTCACTTTTGCATCTTGTAAAGACGAAGTGTCTCCGTTATTCACCAAAATAGTTGATAATTTGATGTGGATTCAAGAGAACATTCGAAACGATTGTCAATGTTTTTAAAGAAATATATAATATATATACATATATATACAATTTGTTACAGTAAGAAAATAAAAATCGTTTTTTAAGTCAATATGAATATTTTATTTAAAGTAAATGCAAAGATCCGATTCCAATAAAGGATAGAAATGTTAAGCTAAGCTGTGGGATAATTTCTTTTGAGCAAATTAATTTGAATGACATCATTTTCATGGTCCAAAGGATTGCTTTTTTCTCCTAGTACAATATTAGGTGATTTATAAGTCACGTTGTAGGATGGATTCAATGGATGTAATATTCCTATAGCAGTGACAGCTTTCTTGGCCTCGTCGTTGCCTAGACGGTAGTGAGTTCCATCGCCAGATTTCAGAATATGTCTTACAACCTAAAATATATTTTTAATTTTGATTTAATCTTGTTACGTTTTTAAGTATTGAATTTAAGTGATTTAAATAAATATTTTGAAAATAGTTTTTAATAAAAGCTTCTTAGTAAAGTTAAAATAGATCAAATTATTTTAAGTTTATTAGAAGTAAATTACCATTTCTGAAGCAGCGCTCTTCAAGTCATAAGCTAAGCCGAGTTTTTCAAATAATCTAATAATGGATCCCGATATATTAAAATGCATCGACATTTCTGCTGCATTGTAGTCCCAAGGAAATGTATGGTGATAATTGTGCCAGCCTTCACCCAAAGATATGAATGACACGAACCAAGATTCCACAGGTTGCAATTTCCTAATAAAAATAAATTTTTACAAAGGTTAATGTGATGTAATGTAATGTGATTTGGGGAGAAAGCCACTTTAAGTCTAAATTTGCGATTTCTAACATAGTGTAATGGATATTTGAGAGTTAAGCGCTGAGCAAAACAAATCTGAGGTCTATTTTTTCTTTTTTAATGTACAATTACAAAAATAAAAATCTGTGATTTAAATCAAATTATGAGTTTTAGTGCAATTGATCCTTTTCTAAAACCAGATAAAATCTTACGTAAGAAGGGGGAGGGGAGTCCGAGAAATCTCATGTGCTCTTAGATGGTTAGGTCGAAAATGGCCAATATGGTCCTTATGTAATTAATGAATGGCTTGTTACGTATTTACCAATAAAATAGAATCTAATCACTTGGACAGTTACTGTAGAGCATTATACCAAGTTTCAAATAATTCTGATCATAAATATTTTTTTGGTTTGTACTATAACGTATTTTCCTGTGGGAATGAGATAATCTCCCGCGGTTAAAAGTAACCTATGTCACTCTCCACACAAAAAATATTATCAATCCGTCACTGTGTTTCGACGTAAAAGAAGGGCAAACAAAAAAGCAAACACACTTTCACATTTATAATATTAGTATGGATTGCGGTCGTGTGTTGGTCGCTAACGACCGTAGTCGCTAAATGTTTTTACGATAGCTATATATTTGACATCAATTATTATACTGAAATAAATACAAAGTTTTTCTTACCTATTGTAGGGTCTTGTCCCATATAAATGAGCAGCGCTATTAACTAGCCATGTTCCATTTAATTGAATTACATAGCGCAAAACGTAACACACTAAAAAGCAGTTTTTAAATGATTCTCCCATAAAAAAGTACGGCACACCGATGGGGATAAGTATCGCTACTAGGAAATATAAATAATAAAAGTACCTGAAATTAATATGAAGTAATAAATATAGGTATAGTCCATATAAATCCTTAAATTTTATTTAAATAACATTTTTAAATATAGGTACTTGGGCAACTAGGCTGCGTTATACCATAAACAATTAGTTAATGTTAGAATAAAACAAGTATATGAAATGTACTCACTTTTTTTGAAACATGACCATCCAGTCAGATTCCAAGTCACTCATATCGATACGTTTTCCAAGAGCCTTTACATATGGATGCTTTCTGCACATTAACCAACCTATGTGGCTAAAGAAGAATCCTCTTTTGGAATTGTGAGGGTCGGCGTCTGTGTCTGAGTAACGATGGTGGAGGCGATGGTCGCGACACCAAATATAAACGGAATTCTGTCAAAAATGTTAAATCTACTTAGAAATATCTTTATAAATGATGTGATATTTGATGCTTAAACTATATTACCATATATCAAAATCCAAAGATACTCATAAACATTCGCGCTTATGATATTCGTAGGATTTTTAATCTAGAAATTTGCAATTGTAATATATAATTATATTAAATAATAAATAATATCTAATAAAAATACTAATGATGTATACCTGTCCGGATATTGTCTGACAAATTAATAAAATAGCTTTTAGTAGTGGAGTCGCCTTAAAAGTCTTGTGTGCAAAAAGCCTGTGAGCACCGATTGTTACTCCTTCGGTACTAATATATAGCACGATAAAAGCTGCAGAAAAGATCAATGTTAGAAATAACAATATCATTTTTTTAGGTTATTTTCTCATTATAATATAATTAATTAGTAATAGCTGAGTAAAAATGAGATTACTAAAATAATATTCTAAGAGGTTAATATTAGATCTAACTCTTAACTCTCCATAAGGTGGATAAACAAATACAGTATATAATATTCAAACAAAACTTACCCCATAATGCACTTTGGTAAGAGATTCCTCCACTTATTAAAATAAAAAATCCCCATACTGCCATAGCGTGTAAAAGTAAAAATCCAATTACATTTTTCCACACAACTTCATGTTTGTACAAATAATCCGTTCCTATATGTTTCGTCATTATATGATCAATTTCATTTTTAATATCTTTCATATTATTTTGAATTTCACTCTGACATATATCCAAAGTTTTGTTATTATCATGAGACATTGTTAGACGTTCTCGTCAACTTGCGATGTATAAATAAATAAACTACTTTATATATACCACATCTTTTGTAAGTGTTTTGTGTCCTTACCGTATTGTTTCTCAGTATATGTACATTGTACATGGATATATTGGGCAATGCAATCGTGTAGACATTATTGTTTGTTATTTAGGTGGTTCTATTTCGAAATTTGATAGTGACGTCAAATATTATAATTTAATTTTAAAGTAACGTCATCATTACATGTAATAAAATTGTAACTGCACCAAATCTGTGCATTTAATATTTTTTTGGAAAATTATATTATATACTGGAAAATTATATTGTATATAGATTTATAGTTTTCAGAATTTTTGTCTGTTTATTTATTTGTCTGTAACCGTTTCACAGAAAAATCCACTTGAGGGATTTTGATGAAATTTGGTCAAAATATAGGATACGCGGAAAAATATCTCTACAACTAAAAAAATATTCTGGAACTTTTTCTTCTTTTGAAAATAATTTCGGAAAAGATTACTAACAAGCGCTAACGCATTCCTGTTTCGCGATAAATAAATATTAAGACAAGTTATTATTATGTAATTTAAATAATCTGCTAAATATAAATTAACCAGTAGAGTTTATCGCCTAAAACTAAACAAACAAACAAAACAGAAGTATAGATATACTATAAATGTTATTGTTAAAACAAAAAGTGTAATATTACTAAATTAAATATGAAATTTACAGAGGAACCTTTACAGCATTGTCAATCACCGCCTTTATTTGGCAATCACGCGGTGCGCAATGAAATTGGTATATGTATTGGTATCATCAGTGACGACACGTTTGGCTCAGTTTGTAGTGACAAAAAAATTTCATCCCTCAGATATTTATAACTCGTTTAGTGCAATAAAGAATATAATAATATTTGTATTAGAAATGAGAGCCATCCCTATTTTTATTTACTTTTTGTGATTTGATACAGAATTGTCAAGCGGTTCACTCGAGAACCTACCAAATTTCAGCAATTTGAAAGGTAAAAAGGAAGAGGATTTATAAAAATAAATAGTGAATATCAGATTTAAGATCAAACGTCACAAGTACAGCCAAAGAAGAGACTGTACGATTGCGATTATTTTAAACTATTCAAATAAGGGGCCCTCTTACCATCATAATAAGCTTTTATTAGAATCTTTCGAATGTTCAAATAAAAAAAAGGCGTCTGAAATGAATCAATTTAATTTTTATATGTAACTTTTAGACTCCTTAAAAAAAGTTTTACAATTGTTTTTTACAATGTTTTTAAAAATTGTGTTTAAATAGGCCGGGTGCTAAAATATTTACTAGTTACTTTAAATAAATAGTTATTTAAACTTCGTTCTAGTATACTATGGATACGGGACGTACCACGCTTATGAAAAACACTCGATTTTAGCGTTTACATATTTATTTAATTCTTATTCTTTTTATATAAATGGGAGTAAGCTACTTTTATTCTGCCATTCATGTACCTACTTGCATCATTAACTTTACATGTAATTAAGTAGTATTAATCATTAAAAAAAACTTTGATTTTTTTTAAAATTTTTAGGATCGGCGTTGGAGTAGACTTCTATGAAGATTTAGGACTATCTGCTAGTTTAATTTATCATATAAATTTATGATTTTTTAGGCCGTCTTTTTTTGGGTTCTTCTTAGGAACTTCCAATATTTTTTTTAACTTCTGGTAATGCAGTTTAGTACTATTAGCTTACCCTCATTAACAAATTAATAATCATAAGGTGTCTGCCGAGCAGGCAGCAACTTTTTTTATCGGTGTTGGTTCCATCGTCAATCTGGGCATGCGAAATGTTCCTGCGACCAATAAGACAAGTTTTGTTTCAGTCGATAGTATTTGTATGTCTAGTCAAGGCGTCACTACATAACTACCATGAAATGCGTATGTACGTACATATGTGAAAAAGCAAGAAACTGTGGATATTGAATAAAGAAATGCTACGGCTATCTATACTAATAAAATAATGAGGTAAAGTTTGTGAGTTTGTGACGTTGTAGTGGGTAATCTCTGGATCTACTGAACCGATTTAGATGAAATTTGGTGGGAGGATGAAAGTTTGTATGGGGAAGCAAGGTAGTGACGAACCCGAGCGAAGCGAGTATGAGTCGTTAGTCAGAAATAATACAAAAAAGTAAGAATTATAAAAGAGCAGTAAGAGAGAGTAAGTCAAAATCTTATACCAATTCATATTCAATTTAATAAAAAAAAACTGTTTATGATTTCTTTTCGAGACGAACGAATAAAATATCTTTATAATCAGCGACATGCTCTCGTTTGGCTCATGTGCGTCCCTAGTTGTCTAACAGCAACCTATGTGTAACAACATCATAGGTTATAATTTATCTTTGTCCTCATCTAAATCCGTCACTCAGCAGTCTGATCATCAGTTATGTAATGATAATTATAGAACTACGATAAAAAAATTTAACGCAAAAGATATTTACAATATTCGAATAATCTTACCAGAGATTATTTATGACTAAACTGTAGATCATGGGATAAATAATTATTACTCTAGCTAGATATTATTTATAATACTTGCCAACCAACTTTAAGTCAACACGACTTAAATATTAAAAAGTGTGTTAGATCTGTTTAGATTTTTGCAAATATCTCAAAAATTAATTGAGATTTTTCAAATCTAAAAAAGGATTAAAAAAGAGATTTTTTTTAAAAAACAGTCTCAACTCTCGGAACTGTAAGCTCCAAATTTTTTTATTTCTTAAATTTTATAATATTTAATATGTTAAAATGACTTTTATCGATAAATTGTCCGAAGTTGACGTGGCTCCCTCTGGGAATATTATTAGTGGCATCCCTCTGGGAATATTATAAGTATTGGTCCTACAAAATTACAATCATAATTGGTAAAGAACAAAATTACAATTGAAATATAAAATATTATAATGTCTATAAAATAAAGCTCTATCCCGAGAAAATTCTTTATTTTTCCGATTAACAGCCAAATTTTTTAATTTTTTAGTGGATATACAAATACAGATGCATTTGCATTTTGTTGTGCATTCTTTATATTCCTTACTAGCGGCTCACCCTCGCTTCGCTCGGGTTCGCCGCTAGACAAACAAAACAAATCTACCTCACGGGAACCCTATATTTTTCCGGGATAAAATGTAGCCTATTTATTATACTGATCTATGAACTGTATTATTGTAAGGTTTCATTAAAATTCAATAGATAGTTTTTGTGTACTAAGCTGTATAAGTTACTAAAGTTTTTATTTATCCCACTGGAACGCTTTAATTTTTCGGGATGAAAGTAATCTTAAATGCTGACTGGGGATATAATGTACCACCATGAAAAATTTCATTTAAATCATCAACAGTTTCCAAGATTAGCCCGTACAAACAGGCAAACAAAAAAAATTGAAAAAATCTGAATTTGTTCTATTTCTCTTCTTACACCCCCCTGACTCCGTGTTTTTAGCATTATTTTCTATGTACAGACATTCGACCTCTACAGTTTTATTATATGTATAGATAATCCTTTATCGCTCTTCTAGTGTGGCTTGTATAAGCTTAGGGCATATTGTTCTCTTATAGCACATCAGAACGGAATAAAAATCAAATTTTAATTAATATTTTTACAATTTATTTAAAATGAACACAACAAAACTACATATATTATATACATTATACAAACATATATACAAAACTATCTTATAGCAGATCTAAAGTAAATTAAAATCATTCTTTTGATTCAAAGGAAGCACAGTGTTACGTGGCTTATAAGTCATGTTGTAAGTTGGATTCAATGGGTGTAGTATTCCTATTGCACTGATAGCTTTCCTGGCCTCGTCGTTGCCTAGACGGTAGTGAGTTCCATCACCAGATTGTAAAATACGTCTCGAAACCTGTAAGTATAATAAGATATATATATATATATATAATATAAGATGAGACTTATTTTTAAGTAACGAATTTACATAATTTTAATAGTCTTTCTTGCATATCCTACTAATATAATGCCTTAATGCGAAAGTAAGTCTGTCTAACTGTTTGCTTGTTACGTTACTTTTTTACGCCTAAGCAACTGATGAATTTTGGGATAGAGATAGGTTAGATCTTAGTGAAAGATATACGTAGGTTACCTTAGAATCTTTAGAAAATGAAACTATAAAAATAAAAGAGGTGTATAGGGGATGAACTTTTGTATGGAGAACTCATCATTTCTCAATTTATATTTGTGCCAAATGTAGTAAATGGTAAGAAATAAAAAGGGTTTCAGAGTTTTGAAAAATCCTTCCTGAAGGCGATACGATAGGGAATGTTTTCAACTTTTTTTTCTACTGACCGCGCCGTCCTTATTAAGGCTATTGTTTATATGAAAGTTCTATGTTTTTCTACTAGAGACATAAAGATAAGTTATACTGCAGTAAAGAGAACTTGATGATATATTCGTGGAGCGCTTTTGTATTAAAAACATGAAAACATTGGATTTCAGTTACAGTGAATAAAATTTAATAATTCAAGGTGGAATGTATATAAAAAGTTTACCTATTAAAAAAATGCGATCTTGATTTGAAAAAATAATCGATAGTTGCAATACTTCAAATACATAGTACGAGTATAATACATACTAGCCTGTAGAATATTTTTGTGTATCAAAATAAAGATAACGTACATATAATTTTAAATGTAGGTACATAATTATATATTTTTAATCGGGAAAAAGAAGGAAAATATTTTTGAAGTGAAACTTCTTCAGAATAGTTGTGATTTGAAGCTCGATGAAATGAAAATGCGACACTAAAAAGAGACAAACACGTAAATACATTATTATTAAGCCGTCGAGAGAATATATTGCATGTTGCCATGGTAACCGTTATTATTGCCTGACAAATATATAATATTATATTTTTTCCGTACATGATATTTTATAAATATATGATTGTGTAATATCACGCATCCATTTTATTTACGTATTAAACGTAACTTGCACGTACGTACTCGTTTTTAGTAAATGTCATATACATTGTGTTTTCTCATGTGAATTAATTTCTATTCTTAATGAGAAATAAAGATTTTCTAACCAGAGAAGAAAATTTATAATAAAATATTTGTTTATTTAAACTATTTCCAATTTTGTCTATATAATTTGACAAACAAACCAACGAACGAACAAACAAACAAACTTTCACATTTATAGTATTAGTATGGATACGTAAAGAAATATATCACGTAAAACTACTAAATATTGGTCTTTGACCAGTCGACGCGGGATATACGTCTGTAGATAGTTATAGACTTTTTATTTCTTGAATTCCATTCACTTTTCCACATTTTTTTTTATTTACTTTGATTAATATTTAAAAGAAATCGAACACGTACACGAAAAACACAGACGTTACACTTTTTTTATTCATTTGTTTTTTTTATTTACATTTAATTTATAAGCGAAAAACCTAATTTATATTCAGGTCTCTGAAGAACAAAAGAAACATTTGCGTACGCCCAGCAAAGTGGCCGGGTGACAACATAAAGCGAGCACATCAAGTCAAGTGAGTGTGTGTCGAAATATTATAAATACAAGAGGCACTTTAACTAGTACGAGACATTAATAAAAGCGTACATTATTAACAAAATATTTTTGGTTGGGTTTAATACCGATTCAGATGAAGCACTCTTCAAGTCGTAAGCTAGTCCTATTTTCTCCAAAAATCTGATGACATAGGCGGATATATTAAATGGCATAGTCCTTTCCGCAGTCTTGTAGTCCCAGGGGTAGACGTGATGATAATTATGAAAACCTTCACCCAAAGTTAGGACTGACAAGAGCCAAGACTCCACAGGTAGTATTTTCCTAATAAAAAGAGTTAAGTGATAGAGTCATTCCATATGAAAACGTTTGAAAAAAAATGTGCTGGCCTGTTTATATTTTGAGATCTAACTTTGAGGGATTGTTCCTTAAGATCCCAAAGAACAAAATTTATTGTATATTTTATTTTTATATGCGCCCGTTTTCGCCTATCCGAACTTAGACTTTCAAGAAATGTCATTTTTATGTTTTTTTTTAATATTATTTTAGCTGTAAAAATTTAACTATTCCATTTTAGCTGTAAAAATTTTACTATTCAAGATATCTATACTTTAGAGACGGAATTTTATAGGGGATAGCTAATATTTTTTATGTGGCCGATAAAAAATTGCTTAGTGCTGTAAATACTTGTTTTTTTTTTTCAATTTTTGCGTTTTTTATCTGACTGGACTGGACTTTAAGCGTCTGGACTGTTTGATGTACGCAACTGATTTTACTCAGAAATTAAGTGTACATATCATAGAAGAAATATACTCAAAAATCAACCCAAGCAGTCCTCTCTTTATATACAAAATCTTTGCTTGAAATTTTTAAACTTCTAAAAATCCAGTTATCCTATACATATAATAAAATCGTAAGTAAGCCGAATCTGTACATTAGATATTTTTTGGAAAATCTTATTGAAATAAACATTATTATCGATACAGAGGCCGAATCTATAGTTTTTAGAATTTTTGTCTGTCTGTCTGTTACCGCATCACAGAAAAACCACTGGAGGGATTTTTATGAGGTCTGGTATGGTGATAGCTGGTTATTCGGCTCAACATATAGGATACTTTTTACCGCGGGAAAATATTTCATTTCTGAGAAAAAATACAAAAACTGCAATGTAAGAGTAAACTAATATGTAAAACCTAAGAATTTGGTTTTAGGTCATCTAAACGCGGGCGGAGCCGCGGGCAATGCTAGTTCATGTTATAAAATCAACGTGTTGACTCCGAGATAAAAATGTGAAATTGACAGGATATTCAGTTCTCACCTTTTACTTCAAACGCCTGCAAAGTTTGTTCAGTTATTTTCATGCTTAGTACCTTTATAGAAGGTTTTTTTGAAGTAATAAATTATCTTATCCTTTTATGTTACAATTCAGTAATTTTATTTATAATTGATAAATCTTCCTAATTTAATCTTATAAGGTTTTATCAGTAATGTTTCATTATTTTATATTACAGAAAGTAGGTTAAATTAATATAAAATCGAAAATTAAAATAGTAAGTAAAGTAAGAAAGTATAGGTTAAATTAATTTAAATTGTAATAATTATAATTATAACAGCCAAAGTTAAATAATATTCCATTTTCAATTATAAAACTTATTAAAATTATAAAGTGTTTAAAATTAAAATTAACAAATATTGTAAGGTACTTTGATGCCATTTTTGATTTTTTTGAATTCATTCTGTTATTTTGTGGGTAGGCTGTCTCTAACAACTATGTACATAATTCCTTTGAGATATCTTAAACCTTACTCTCTTCCGTGACCATGATTACTGTAAAGCATTCGAAACGTCCAACCAAACAAGAACCAAAAATCAAAATAAATCCGCGAAAAAATCCGAAAAGATAGTTTTATATAAAATAGAGACTCACCCTCGTTCCGCTCGGGTTCGTCCCTACTTACGTTTTAACGTTTAGTATACCTACTCGTATATTTCTCAGAGATGAAATATTTTCCTGCAATAAAAAGTATTTTATATGTTGACCTGGATAACCAGCTATCATCATACTAAATTTCATCAAAATCCCTCCAGAGGGTTTTCCGTGATGCAGTAACGTGAACGTGAAGTAGACAGACAGACAGACTAAAATTCTTTACTATAGATTTGGCCTCCGTATCGATAATAATGTCTATTTCAATAAGATTTTCCAAAAAAATATGTAATGTACAGATTCGGCTTAGTTAGAATTTTATTATATGTATAGATGTCATATATTCGCGTAAATCTAAGAAAGTATTATAATAAAATATAATTAAAAAATACTTTTAGACACTAATTTCGATCATAATGCAATAATTGACATTATTTTATCAAAGCTAATAAAAATCATACTTATCATAAGGTCTTGTCCCATATAAGTGTCCAACGCTATTAACCAGTCCTGTTATATGTAATTCAAATGCGTATCGTAAACTGTAGCACACTAAGAAAGAGTTTTTAAATGACTCTCCCATAAGAAAATATGGAACACCAATGGGCATAAGTACACCCAATATGAGGTATAAATACATATAGTACCTGAAATTAAAGATAAATATTTGTAAGGTTTATAAAGAGGTTCCTTTCTTTATGTTTTAGCTATTTTATAAAAATAACACTCTTAATTTTCTTAGAGTAGAATAGTCAATTCTGTTAAAAGCTGACAATCGGTCTTAACCTCAATAGATATATACGAGTATAACAATTTATAGGGATGGGCAAATTCAAATAGACAAATGAGACTAATATCTGGTTGGGTCGCACGTAGGATAAGTAGATAATAGTATAAAAGTTATTGTATTGTAATATTGTAAACAAATATTATTTTAAAAGAGCACCTGTTGAGTTTCTCAACGGCTCTTCTCACCAGAACTGCCTCCCGAGTCGGTGGTAGATTCCTCACAGCCTTACATACTGACATTTAATTTAAATTTTAACAATGTAAAAAGTGACGATTCAGAAGTGCTTGTTAAAGTCTATTTGAACAAAGTATAATTTTATTTTAGATTCCGAGAAAGTTTGGAGATTGTGCAAATATTCTTAAGGTATATATAAATTATACCTACTTTTTTTGAAACATCACCATCCAATCAGATTCCAAGTCGCTTATATCAATTCGTTTTCCAAGAGCCTTGACATACGGATGCTTTTTGTACATCACCCAACCAATGTGGCTAAAGAATAATCCTCTTTTCGAATTGTGAGGGTCGGCGTCTGTGTCTGAGTAACGATGATGGAGTCGATGGTCGCGACACCAAGCGTAAAGGGAATTCTGTTAATAATATTAGCTTATTTAAGAAAATTATATTATACTAGTATCTTACCCTTGTTTCGCTCGGGTGCGTCCCTAGGTATGTTTTAAATTGATATGAATAGTTATTGCGAGTGTACCTTACGAGAAATACTTATGCTATTGCAGATTTTTCAGTAGGTCTTCTTAAAACCTATAATTTTCTAGTCGATTGTTTAGACATGTAAATTTCTAAAAACGCCTCTATAGAACCAGTTAGTTTTCCCGTGAAAATGAAAGATTTTCCTGAAGTAAAAAGTATTCTAAATGTTGAATAACCCGAGTAATAAGTTATCAATACAGAAAATTTAGTTGAAATCGATTTCGCTAAGTTACTATTTTAATATATGTATACATAGATAAAACAGGCAACTAAATGACTATAAAGTAATATATACGTATGTATCTTATATTTTTCTGATAATAATCACTTAATAATATAGAAACTTAATTTAATAATAGTGGACTTAAAATATTTATAAACGACTCAGATAATAATTATGTAATTATATAAAGTATATACTTGTCCTGGTATGGATTGACATAATATTATAATAGCTTTCAGCAGTGGAGTCGCTTTAAAGGATCTGTGTGTATAAAATCTGTGAGCTCCGATTGTCACTCCTTCGACGCAGATGAAAAACACGAACATAGCTGCAACACGAAACTTATAAATAATTATTTACATTTTCATCGTTATTTGAGGTATCAATTTATATAATGGTTTTTAATAACATCAAGTTAGTAAGCTGATATATTCATATTAAAGCTTGCTTGCTTACTCCATAAGGCTGTTTTGTATGAGATTCCTCCATTTATTAAAATAAACAATCCCCATACTGCCAAAACGTGTAAAAGTAAAATAGAAATTGCATTTCGCCACACTATTTCATGTTTGTACGAATAATCAGTTCCTATACTTTCGATTTTTATTAAATCTTTTGTATCTATAATATCACTTATATTATTTTGAACTTCACTTTCGTTTATCGGTGGATTTGATTTATAATGAGGAGCCATTGTTATTCTATCCTATCCACTACCGATGAATAACTAACGCTTTTAAATCAAAATACATCTTTTATTATGTTATTTTTTTCACCATGCTGTTTTTAATAATTATTATTCTTGTTGTATACAATTAAATGGACTTAAATTTGAAATGTAAAATAATGTAAAATTTATCTACATAGTGAAATCGTGTAGAGATCGTTGGTACGTTTGATTATCCATACTAATTAAATAAATGTAAAAGTGTGTTTGTTTGTTTGTTTGTTGGTTCGTTTGTTCATTCATTCGTTTGTCCGTCCGTCCGTTCGTTCGTTTGTTTATCCTTCTCTCAGTCAAAACAGAGCGACGCATTAGCGTGATTTTTTGTGTAGAGATAGTTGGAGGGCTAAAATAATTAAATACATTAGTAGCGGCTCACCCTCGCTTCCTACGTCTTCGTCTTTAGAAAAAGAAAAACAAATCAAAACAAATCTGTCCCACAGGAACCGTACATTTTTTCGGAATAAAAAGTAACCTTGCTATTCCAGATTATAATCTATCTCTGTGATCAAATCAACTCAAATTTCATTTAGATCCATTTACCCGTTCTGGCGTATTTGAGTAACAAACATCCGAACATTTATCTACACTTTCACATTTATAATATTAAGTAAGATTAGTAAGATATAAGGTTTTTTCACTAATATATAAAGATCTCATTGGGTAGAACATATTGTCGCGTAGTGGACAGTGTGTAACATCTTTCATCAACTTCTATACATACAATAAAATTCTAACTGAGTCGAATCTGTACATCAAATATTTTTTGGAAAATCAAACAGTCATTATTATCGATACAGAGGCCGAATCCATAGTTTTTAAATTGTCGTCTGTCTGTCTGTTTGCCTATCTGTCTGGGAAAGAATCACGAGAAAACCACTAGACAGCTTTTGATGAGGTATGATGATAGCCGGTTATCCGGGTCAACATACCGGGTACTTCTTACTGCGGGAAAATATCTCATCTCTGAGAAATATATACTAAGCGTTAAAACGTAGCTAGGGACGAAACCGAGCGGTGCGAGGGTGAGTCGCTAGTAGTCATAAAATAGAGAAAAATGAGGAATTATTCAATTTTCTTCAGTTTTTGTAATGTTTTCTACTTAATAACTAATAAAATAAATAACTTTTTATAAACTTCATTAAGTACATTTAAAAAGGCCTCCAGAAAGTTTTAGATTTTCAGCACAACTATTTGAAAATTTATGTTGATTTTTATATATACAGAGCAATAAGAAAAATTATTAATTAGTAATGGGGCAACTTTTTGAAAAATCTATGAAAAAACTTCTATCCCACGGAACTTGACTCATTAAAGTGTGACCCATGAGAAGTCGTAAATACTATAGAGAGCAGAGGTAAGGAGAACTATTCACAAAGATAGTTCTCCTTACGTCTATCCTCCATAACAGATACATATACTTTACTTTAGTGTTAACCTTTTTTTTTTCTTTTTTAACGTTGGGAAATGCATTTACACACGACGTGTGGGACTCACCGGCGTAATACAGCCAGTACTACCCACTAAAACCCAACAAAACCTTCCCCCGTCTTAATGGGGCGTCGCAGGATCGCTTACGCATTCAACTACGACGCCCCGACGGCAGGTCTGCCGAAGCAGACCACCACAACCATGGGGTTGCTCCAAGGTCCACAATGCTATCAGAGAAGTACCAGGAGCAACCCGCATGGTACACTGCCCCTCGAAGAGGGCCACCTCCCACCGCCCACCGAAGTGGGCAACCTCCCTGTGCGTTTCTTAGCTTCGCGCCCGGTTGGATTGCCGGGCACTACTGAGCCCCCCATCACGACAAGGTGAACGCACGTTGGGGGGGATTTTAGTGTTAACAAATTATGTAGTAAGTAAAAACAACACACTACATATTTAGGTAGACCATTGAAGCACGAGTTGGACTCGCACTTGCCTGATTTTTATTTAAATATTTACAAACATTAGCATTATTTACAAGCATTAGCATTATTTACAAGCATTAGCATTATTTGCTAAACATTAGCAAAAATTTACAAACATTTTCATTTGACAATTGTTTCGATCAGCCAAATATCTATGTATACAATTATACATATAATAAGAATGTAAGATCGCTGTGTCTGTAACTTGTTTACTCGTATATCGCAAAGAAATAGTTTAGGGGACTGAGAATAAGAAATAAAAGAAATTTCTGTTATAATAAACTAGCGACTCACCCTCGCTTCGCTTGGTTTCGTCCCTAGGTACGTTTTGTCGGATTATAGACTATGTACATAACTATATCCGTCTGTCTGTCGAGCCAATCGTCGAGCCATGCGTCGAGCATTCCGTCGAGCCACTCTTCGAGCCGCCGTTTTTTTAGTACCTCTAAAATAGGCGTCCTGGTAAATATTGAGATTTTTTTTGATCACTGGTTCAAAAATATCGAATTTTCAAATAAAACCGCTCTATTTTTGGTTTATTTGCTTATAACTTTCTTAATAATGGTCAAAGTTATTTTTTTTTGTTTTTGGATTACCTTTACATGAAAAAATTAAAAAAATATATATTTAGAATGTTTTAATCGAGACTTTTGAATGTTATGTTTTCAATCGTGTTTTTAAAGCTGTATGTATCCTTCGATTTTTTGAAAATTTTCTATATTGAACTTCTATCCATTATGCAACTTTTAAGCCCATTTCGGTGGGCCTTCCATAATTACTATTTTATTCGATTTTTAAAAACGATTTTTTTTAATTCGAAATAAATTTGTAACCGGACCGGGCTTAGATGTTGCATGATGCAAAGAAGTTTAAAAATTAAATTAGATAAATTAAAAAAAAATCGAATGATATACACAGTTTTAAAAACACGATTGAAAAGTTAAAATTCTAAAATCTCGATTAAAAACTTTTTAAATATAATTTTATATCTTTTTTTGTAAAGTTCATCTAAATACAAAAAAATTGAAAAAAGAAACTTGAATTTCGACCATTATTAAGAATATTATATGTAAAAGCCAAAAAGAGCGGTTTTGAACAAGTGATCATAAAAAATCTCAAAATTTACCAGGAAGCCTCTTTTGAGAGGTCCTAAAAATACCAAAATATTAAGATTTTTTTTTTTAATTTGTTCGTTTTGGCGTGGAATGCACCATAAATTATATTGTATACCACTCATCCCTCATTCTCACCGTCCCTCCGTCTCAAACTCACCCTCGCTTCGCTCTGGTTCGTCCCTGGCTTGATTTCCCATACAAACTTTCATCCCCATTTTCACCCCTTTTTGATGATTTCTGGCACAAAAAGTATCCTATGTCCTTCCCTCAAACTATCTTCTTACCTTTCATCGAAATCGGTTCAGTAGATCCAGAGATTACCCTCGAAAACGTCACAAACTCACAAAGTCAAAACCTCACAAACTCACAAACTTTACCTCTTTATAATATTAGTATTAGATACATAAAAGATTCATTGAGCAACCATTTTAAATAAATAAAAAAAACCGTACTAAGCGTAGAAGTGTGTAGTGTAGTGTGAATGTGTCATCTTTAATTATGTGTTCGTAAATGTATGTAAATATATGGGCTAACTCGATCAGGTATTGTACGATGTATTGTTTAATCATCAATTTTCAGACTCATTCATAGTTCTATGTCAGTAAAGTTTCAGTTAGTGGGTAGGTACACGTTTTAGTTCGGTCTTTGGAAGACTGTAAATGTCAAGTCTGCTGTTAATGTAAAGATATTATGTTGCTTGACAGCTGTATCGCATTTTAAACCGATATCCAAAAAGGAGGAGGTTCTCAATTCATCGGAATATTTTTTTTAATGTATGTGCACCGATTATTCGAAGACGCCTGAACCGATTTGGATTTTTTTTTGTTTCAAAGGGTATACTTTTTAGGTGGTCCCATATAAATTTTATCTAAATCGGTCGAGCGGTTTTTAAAAAAATCAACAATAAATATATTTTTTAATAAATTGTTTAATCGCATATGTTATTAAAAAACTTTCTTCTTACAAATGAAATGCTTATTACGTCTACACTAAAAATGGAAAATTAAAAAATAACCAACTTCCAGGCACTAAAATGTAAAAAAATAACTAAACGGAGGTTTTCATTTAGAATAGATACCTAATCAGATATTTTCGAAGTCGGTGCCAGTCTGCAATATTTTAAGATATAAATATCTAATAGGTAAATATGAATTTTACGTATCGAAACATATTAGATTTGCTTTGCATCGGCTGACACCGACTTCGAAAATATCTGATTAGGTATTTATTTATTTTTTATTAAAAATAGGCTCACTCTTGACCTTCATCTTAGCTTAAATGTATAGATAAGGTCTATGATGTAGCGAGTTTGCCCAGGAGAAGCCTGTTGACACGCACCTTAAAAAGTTTCAAGTTGTACGCTCTCGGAAAAACAGACGCAGGCAGGGCATTCCATTTCTTGGCTGTGCGCAATATAAAAGATGATGAATAGCGCTTAGTGCGAGTGGTCGGAATGTCAACCAAGAAAGGATGGTATCCTGCAGTACGTCTGGTGTTCCGATAGAAGATTGGCGATGGCGGTATGAGACTGTGGAGCTCGTGGGCACACTCCCCGAAGTACAGTCTGTAGAAAACCGACAGACAAGCAACTTGGCGACGGTGTGCTAAGCTGTGAAGCTTAGTTTTCACAAGCTTTTCGTCGCCGATTAGCTTTTTAGCTCTGCGTTCCACCGAGTCAAAAGCGCAAGTTGGTATTTTGCAGAGCCATCCCAAAGGTGACTGCAATACACCATGCATGATCGGACTTGAGCTTTGTATAAAGTGAGAAGCTGTCCAGGCGTGAAGTATCGCTTAACCTTGTTTAGGATACCCAGTTTTTTGGCCTATCTATTCTAAATGAAAACCTCCGTTTATTTATTTTTTACATTTTAGTGCCTGGAAGTCGGTTTTTTTAAGTATTTATCTGAAATTTGGTTTTACTGGTAGGGATATGGCAAACGGTCTTACACTTACGTTTTTGGATCAGACAAGGAATAAAAGGTAAGTGACGGTGTAGTGTGGCTCACGGTATCCATTAATGTAATAGGTATGTTAGTAATAAACAGAACTTAAAACATAAATATTGTTTCATTTAATAACATCATTCTGTCAGTCGGCGCGTGTGCGACTCTGCTCGCCGCGTGTATCGGCTGGCCGCCGATGATAGTAATAAACTCATAATAAAGATACGACTTAATAAAACATTATGACACATTACCGGATTGAGGAAATTAATTAAAAAGTCGTAGAACCATCAAAAAGTTTTGGAATAATTTTTAATACATATTTAGAAAATAAAGTAAAAAAGCATAAGAAATACAAAATCATAAGGCAAGAAGGCAGCTAAGGAAGACTCAAGACGATAAAAGAGGATGAGAGACATTACTTTTTTTACTGCGGATAATAAGAATGTTGGTTGAGAAGATCTAAATTGAAGTGCGCAGTCTTATTTACATAGGAATTTTAATATTATCAAGAAATATACACAATTTTCAAAAATTCGTAACCACCGTGGAGCAAAACAAATAAGAAGGTAGGTAGGTATATTTTATCAAAACATAAAAGTATCGAGAATTTAATCGAAATTTAATCGAGAGGCCAGTTTTAGGAGGACTAAATTTTTTGTGTTTTTATTTAAAAGTAAACCAGAAATATGTTATTTCCAAGGAAAACACACGAAAACAAAATATAGAGACTATAATGTGAAAAACACGTTTCATGTAAATTTGTAATTTCATAAAATTAAAAATGTAATAACATAGTCATCAATTAAATTAATAAAGGTACATCTTTCACCAATTTTTGCTAACTCATTTTGTTCATTTTATAGCTAGAAACACTGTTAATAGAAATTTTATATTCATATTCTTATTATTTTAGGGTTATTATTTTAACTTTATAATGTGTCTAATTGAAAAGTGTGAATACACTTTTGTAACTTTGTAATTTATATTTTACTATTGTAAGTATTTTATGTATTATTTAAGAATTCAGCTAAATGTAGTATATTTTGTTATACATATTGCACATCAAATTCTAAACAATGTTGACGTGATCTTTTGCATATAAGGCAACGGAAATTATAATCTATACATACAATAAAATTGTAACTTAGCCGAATCTGTACATTAAATATTTTTTGGAAAATCTTATTGAAATACATTATTATCGATACAGAGGCCGAATCTATAGTTTTTAGATTTTTTGTCTGTCTGTTACCGCATCACAGAAAAACCACTGGAGGGATTTTGATGAAATTTGGTATGGTGATGGCTGTTTATCTGAGTCAGCATATAGGATACTTTTTACCGCGGGACAATGTCTCATTTCTGAGTAAAAATACAAAATCTGCAATGTAAGAGTATACTAATACCTATGTAAAACCTAAGAATTTAGTTTTTGGTCATCTGAACGCGGGCGGAGCCGCGGGAAATGCTAGTAGTGAAATAATATGATTATAAATAAGGTTTACGATTACAGAATGATGCAATAATATCACTGTTGTCTCCTGATGTCCCTTAAAAATCTGTTTTATACTTTCTCATTTACTTCATCTACGATAAGAATCCTTTGTTTCAATTAATAAAAAAAAGAAAGGCTTGATAAAATAAAAACTTAATAAAAACCGACTTCAAAAAAAGCACTAAAAATAAAAGATAACTAATTAGTAGTTTTCATTTACTATAGATTCCTAATCAGATACGTTCGAAGTCGGTGTGCTTTAATTTGTATCAGCTGGCACCGACTTCGAAAATATTTGATTAGGTAAATGAAATAAATAAATTAATAATAAATATGTTGGGATATTAACACACCACCATCACCATCTAGTTCCATGGTAAGCTACGAGCCCTGTTTTATGGATACCAGATAGTTGATAAACTATACATATAACTTTAAATACATACATGTTATGAAAATAAACACCCATGTCTAGAGTACAAATATTCGTTCTCATCACACAAATGAATGCCACCAGTGGGACTTAAGCCTGCGACCGCTGGCACAGCAAGTAGGGTCACTACAAACTGAGCCAAACGTTTCGTCATCTACTAACTACCAATCAGTTATTTTTTACTTTTTAGTGCTTTTTTTGAAGTTGTTTTTTTTTTCAAGTTTTTTATTTCACTTTTTAGTGTAGATATAGTAGCAGCAAAGTAAGAAGAAAGTATTTTAATATAATTGCATGTACAAAAAAAAATCATGTCTGTCCTATTCCCTGTTTAGGAATTTCCTCGCCGGAAGTCAAGCCTGGGTGCATCAGCCATGTCATGATGGAATTTAGTACAGACTATTAAGGGTAAATCCATTTACAAAATTTTGTGTCTGTACTATTCACCGTTGAGGAGTTCTCTCGCGGGAAATCAACCCTGGGTGCAGCAGCCATGTACTACCATCACCACTACTACCAGACTATTGCGTTGACGGACGGACGGACGGATGGATGGATAGATGGATAAAATATTTTTATAACCAGCGACTTGCTCTCGCTTAGCTCAGGTGCGTCCCTAGTTGCCTAACGGTAACCTATGTGTTTATACGACATCATAATTGGTCATAATTTAGCTTTGTACTAAATTTCATCTAAATGTGTCAGTCAGAAGTGTGATAAATAAACTTATAACACACTAGCATTGCCCGCGGCTCCGCCCGCGTTCAGATACCAAAAACCAATTTCTTAGGTTTTACATATTAGTATACTCTTACATTGCAGTTTTTGTATTTTTTCTCAGAAATGAGATATTTTCTCGCGGTAAAAAGTATGCTATGTGTTGACCCGGATAACCAGCGATCACCATACCAAATTTCATCAAAATCCCACTGGTGGTTTTTCTGTGATGCGGTAACAGATAGACAGACAAAAATTCTAAAAACTATAGATTCGGCCTCTGTATCGATAATAATGTATATTTAAATAAGATTTTCCAAAAAATATTTAATGTACAGATTCGGCTTAATTACAATTTTATTATATGTATAGGTAACGTTATGTAATGATTATTATACAACTACGATAAAAGATCTAGCGCAAAAAATATTAAGAATATTCGGATAATCTTTACCAGAGATTATTTATAATGATTAAACTGTAGATCATGGGATACATTATTACTCTAGCTAGATATTATTTATAATACTTGCCAACCAACTTTAAGTCAACACGGCTTAAATATTAAAAATTGTGTTAGGTCTGCCGCCCCGCTCTAACTTCAGAAGTGTAGATCAAGCTATTGAGATAATGGAGCTTCCAAAATACTCTCAACGAAAATTGCTTTAAAAGTTTAGTTTAAAAAACTTAAAATAACAAAGATTATAATAACATTGAGAAGTTTTAGACATACGGGAGGGATATATTCCGTTCCAAAAAAATAACTTTGTTTCTTATAGTTTTGTACGATCTGTGGTAACATTGAAATGTAAACTATGAAATGAACATCGTAGATGGGTAAATACTGTATTTTACAGAAATTATTATGCTAAGGAAATCTCAGTGTGCAAATCAGACTCGTACTGCTGATTGCTAATGCTACTGAATTAACACCTCCAGGTAAATTTCTAAGAAATCTATTGTTAACTGTAACGCCGGCGTGTCCGCGGTCGTGGAGGGATTAATAAAAATACATATACATATAATTCGTACAGTTACTGAATAACAGGTTCAGCCTTTAGCTACTGATTAATTATTATCACAGTCTATTAAATTCAAATCTAAAATAAATTGAAAAATAATTAAAAGCATCTGGGCAATCGAGGTTCGCTTGGCGTATTTCAAAAAATATATAAATATTGCGTTTTCAGAAAAGACAACTACACATATATGTAGATAAAATTAAAAAGCAAAATCTTATTTAAATATAAAACTTGATCCAAGTCGTTATAGAGCCCTTACTGAGATACATAAAATAAATGTGCAAGAATTGATCATTTAATATTATAAGATGCATTGTTCATGCAGTTACTGGATTAATAGATTCAGCGAAGATTCAATACCACACTCTATAGTGTACAAATTTAGTTACTATGAAACGGAAATGTTCTAATATATTCATTATAAAAAAAATGTTTTAAATTACAACATAGCTAATAAAAAGTACTTATGATGTAAATTACGTAAAACACTAAAACCAAACGAGCAGTTTTCGACAAAGTAAAAAAAATCTCTTATAATTTCTATAGGAAAAGCTTTATCTCGAGGTAACGTTTTACTTTTTCCGATTAATAGCCAAACTTTTTAATAATTTAGCGGATATAAAAATACACGTATACAAAAAATAGTGCCTCCTCATTTGTATGTACTAATTAGCAGCATTGCTGTGGTCTTTATATTCCTTATAATCCTTCATCACTCTTTTAGTGTGGCTTGTATACGTTTGGAGCATATTGTTCTCTTGATAGCACATCAGAAAGAAATAAAAATCTCACTTTAATTAAAATTTTTACAATTTATTTAAAATCAACACAACAAAACTAATTCTAGATAGATACAATAGAAAATATTTTATAACAGATCTAAAGTAAATTAAAAGGCAAGTCGTCATTCACCTTTGAACACAGTAATAGGTGGCTTATAGCTCATGCTGTAGGTTGGATTCAATAGATGTAGTATTTTTTTAGCAGCGACAGATTCCCTGGCCTCGTCGTTGTCTAGACTGTAGTGAGTTCCATCACCAGATTGCGAAATACGTTTCGATACCTAGAAGTTATATTATTAGGTACATATTAAAGATGATACTTATTTTCAAGTAACGAATTTGCATAATTTAAATAGTCTTGCATACATCCCTACTAATATGATGCTTTAAAGATTTTCTACTTTTGAAAGAAAATTTTAATAAAATTGGTTTTGAACTAAATTTATGTAAATGTGAATTTTTTTCACGGACAATATTTCTATAGAAAAGATTTCTTTTTTAATAAATAAATAAAAATAAATATTCTTCGTTTAAGCCTCTGTATATTCAACGACAATTTTATAGGTAATATATATACGCAAACAGCACGAGCAGAGTAAAATTCGGAAGAAAAGGAGACCCTATCAATTATAGAATGGGGAGTAAGACAATGTGACCCTTTGTCCCCAAGACTTTTTATGACCGTTCTTGAAGATATATTTCGCAACATAGATTGATCTCAAAAAGCCATTAGAAATGGTGATCGCTATCTAAGTCACCTAAAATTTGTAGATGATATTTTTTTGCTAGCCGAAACATGCAAAGATCTGGAGACTATGATAAGACTACTTTATGTGCAAAGTAGTGGAGTAGGCCTAGAAGTGAATGCAGATAAAACCAAAATAATGAATAATAGCCTCAAAAAGCTAATAATACTAAAAGGAAATTCTATAGAATATGTGGAGAATAATATTTGTTTAGGGAAATAAGTATCATACAGTTAGCTTAACAATGAAGAAGTAATAATAAGAAGAGGAGCAAATAACACGGAAGAAATTTTGGTCATTAAAAAAATCTCAAGGGCGACTACAGTTTACATATTAATAAAATTGTTATGAACACTTGCATCTTGCCATGTTTATAGTATGACTGTCAAACTTGGGTCTTTACTAAAAAAGTCAAACAGAAAACCACGAACATTCAAAGCAATGGACATGAAATGCCATGAAAAACAGAAATGTGTAAGCTCAAGAAATGTGTAAGCTCGTCAAATCAAACAAAATAAGCCCAAACTCAAAATATCTACTATTAGCCGTTGAAGAGTTCCACCTATCCACCTTCTGGCCTTACGTCAGATCAGGTCAATGATACAGAGACACTGCACTATCAACAGAAATAGACACACTTGCAAAGTTTCAAGACAATATGACAATTAGAAGTAGTTTAAATTCATTAATAGCTATTTTTCCACCCTTAGGGGTGGAATTTTTTTTGACAATTAAATGGAGCCAATCTGGAAGTATATACTTTCAAACAAAATAAAAATTGTCTAAATCGGTTAATAAATGACGGAGTTCTGAGGTAACAAACATAAAAAACCATACAGCCGAATTGGGAACCTCCTCCTTTTTGAAGAAGTCGGTTAAAAAGGGGTCCATATCTCAATAGAAAACTAATCATACTAACAATTAGAATATATAAATAAAATCAACTAACATCACTAAAATAGATGATTTATTTACTATTTACTTTAAGCATGAGATGTTTGTTACTATTATTATTATTTTTTAATACCGATTCAGATGAAGCACTCTTCAAGTCGTAAGCTAATCCTATTTTCTCCAAAAATCTGATGACATAGGCGGATATATTAAATGGCATAGTCCTTTCCGCAGTCTTGTAGTCCCAGGGGTAGACGTGATGATAATTATGAAAACCTTCACCCAAAGTTAGGACTGACAAGAGCCAAGACTCCACAGGTAGTATTTTCCTAGTAAAAAGAGTTCAGTGATAGTACGTTTAAAATAATAAAATATAATTAAAAAATACTTTTAGTCACTAATTTTAATCATACTGCAATAATTAAAATTATTATATAAAAGCTAAAAATATAATAAAATCATACTTATCATAAGGTCTTGTCCCATAGAAATGTCCAACGCTATTAATTAGCCCTGTTATATGTATTTCATATGCGTATCGTAAATTGTAACACACTAAGAAAGAGTTTTTAAATGACTCTCCCATAAGAAAATATGGAACACCAATGGGCATAAGTACACCCATTATGAGGTAGAAATAAATATAGTACCTGAAATTAAAGATAAATATTTATGTAAGGTTTAGAAAGAGGTTCCTTTTTTATGTTTTAGCTATTTTAGAAAAATATCTTTCTTAATATTTTTTTTATAAGAATAGTCAGTTGTGTTAAAAGCAGACAATCGGTTTTAACTGATCCTTATAGGGAGTTCAAATAGATAAATGCAACAATTTTTAGAGTATAATATTTTAAGATTTCGAAAAGATACGGTGACGGTGAAAATATGCTTTAGTATTTGACATATACCTACTTTTTTTGAAACATCACCATCCAATCAAATTCCAAGTCGTTTACATCAGTTCGTTTTCCAAGAGCCTTGATATACGGATGCTTTTTGTACATTAACCAACTAATTTGGCTAAAGAATAATCCTCTGTTTGAATTGTGAGGGTCAGCGTCTGTGTCTGAGTAACGATGGTGAAGGCGATGGTCGCGACACCAAGTGTAAACGGATTTCTGTTATTGATATTAGCTTATTTAAGAAAATTATGTTATATAAGACAGGCGACTAAATTACTATTAAGTAATATAATATATGTATCACATATACATATAAATATAATACACATTAGATCAGGACATACAAAATATAATACTGTCGTGTAGTGAAGTGAATAGTTAAAATTTGCACGTCTGGAGCATTCTTTATACATCCTAAGAGAGCGTCAACACAAGACAATTAACAGACAAGGACAGTTAATCGTAAAAGAGAGAAACAAAACTTTTTTCAGAAAGGAATCGTAATTACAGTGCTAGTTTAGAATATGTACCTAAACAGATATTTTTGAAGTAGGTATCAGTCGACAATATTTTAAGATATGAATATCTAACAGGTACTTATGATTTGGTATGAACTCTAATTATAGTTAAAATATTATACATCAATTTGTGATGTATTTTAGGTATCAAAATATATTTGTTTTCAATATTATGTTTTTTTTTCTGGTACAAAAATAATCAAATAAAAAAAAGATTCCGAGACTTGAGAGCCTCCTCGTTTTTGGAAGTCGGTTAAAAATAGGAATAAATGTTTAATAATAAAAGACGCAAAAGAAATAGAAAGAGTGTTACAACTATCACATAATACTATACAAACAGACAAAGAAATCACACAAGCAATTATCAAGAAGCAGAAAGATAAGTGGAGAAATAAACAATTACATGGATACTTTCCTAAAGCAATTTTGGAATTTGACCAAGCTTATATAGAAATGGAAAATTCATTTGGTCAAATGGATAAAGACACAATAAACATTATCCTCCATAGAATTAGCAATATTCGCCATACAGGAACAGGTAACAGCCGTAATAACATTACTTATCAGCATCAGCGAGACATTTTAAAGGTAGACATGGACGGTAAATGTCGTACGTGTGCCAGCAAAGACGAAACGATACAACGGATTATATCGCGATGCGAAAAGTTAGCGAGCACCTACTATGTCAAGCGACAGAACAGCCTGGTTCAGTACGTGCATTGGCGTCTGGCAAACAAACACAACATGAAAATGTCACGTTTTTGATGGAAATAGATACTAACACACACACACAGATGGGAAATACCTATAGAGACTGACATTACCGTAACGCATAATAGGCCAAATTTGATATATGTAGACAAAACCAACAACATCACCTTTTTAATAGACATAGCAGTACCTTCAGACTACAATATAGGAGTTATAGATATAGAGAAACGAGTATCGGAAAACTGAAATGGAACTATAATAATAAAGAAACTTAATAATAGTGGGCTTAAATTATTTATAAACGTCTCGATCTCAGGTATTAATTATGTAATTATTATTTCATTTGTATTATCTACTTGTCCTGATATGGAGTGACATAATATTATAATTGCTTTCAGCAGTGGAGTCGCTTTGAAGGATCTGTGTGAATAATATCTATGACCGCCAACCGTCACTCCTTCGATGCTGATGAAATACAGGAACATAGCTGCAAGACGTAAATTATAAATTACATTTTAATAGTTATTTGAGGTATCAATTTACAGAATAGTGAGAAACAAATTATGAGCTGATATATTGGTATTAAAGCTTACTTACTCCATAAGGCTGTTTTGTATGAGATTCCTCCGCTTATTAAAATAAACAATCCCCATACTGCCAAAACATGTAAAAGTAAAATAAAAATTGCATGTCCCCACACAATTTCATGTTTGTACGAATAATCAGTTCCTATACTTTCGATTTTTATTAAATCTTTTGTATCTATAATATCACTTATATTACTTTGAACTACTGTTTCGTTTATCACTGGATTCGATTTATTACGAGGAGCCATTGTATTTCTAGCCTATCCACTACCGACCGATGAATGACTAACGCTTTCAAAAAATACATCTTTTATTATGTTATTTTTTTGTTACCATTGTGTTATTTGAATAAAGTTCGTTTTTTTTACCACTATTCTTCGTTGTTGTTGTTGTTGTATAATGACTTATTAGGTGGACTTAAATTTAAAATAATGTAAAATCTTTCCACATAGTTAAACCCTGTAGAGGTCATTGGTACATTTGTTTATCCATTGTTTGTCTGTTTCTTCGTTCTTTTGTTTGTCCTTCTTTCACGTCGAAACAGAGTGACGGATTTGGGTAATTTTCTGTGTGTACATAGTTTGAGGACTTAAGAGTAATATTGGCTACTTTTTACTGGCTCGAGATTATCTTATTGTCACGTGAATACACGTTATAATACAACGTATCATACCTATGTATATATATAATATATAATCTATCTATTCTATACTAACCGTTAATATAATGTATATATGTATATTAATTTATTTATTTATTTATTTCTTGGTAATCTTACAGCGTTATAAAACTGTTGATATACAGTTAGAGCACAAAGTTATTAATAAATATGGCCAAGATTAGATTACTCTATTAGATATAATAGTGTATGTATTAGACAACAGAGTACTCATATATTGATAAAGGAAAAAAAAAGTCTGAATAAATTAAATTGATCATACTAATAATATGCACATTAAACATAATGTGTTTACATGTATGTGCGGGTGTGTACGTATGTGTGTGTGTGTGTGTGTGTGTGTGTGTGTGTGCGTGCGTGCGTGCGTGCGTGCGTGCGTGCGTGCGTGCGTGCGTGCGTGCGTGCGTGCGTGCGTGCGTGCGTGCGTGCGTGCGTGCGTGAGTGCGTGCGTGCGTGCGTGCGTGCGTGCGTGCGTGCGTGCGTGCGTGCGTGCGTGCGTGCGTGCGTGCGTGCGTGCGTGCGTGCGTGCGTGCGTGCGTGCGTGCGTGTGTGTGTGTGTGTATTTGTGAGTATATGTGTGTATCTGTGTTATGTGTAACTGTACGGGTCTATGGTAGTCACGGACATATATATATATACATATATATATATATATATATATATATATATACATATGTAGAGTTAGGTGCAAAACTGTTCCAAGGAAGTGTTATATTGTTCAGATACGTGATATAATTATTGTTTTCAACCGAATTCAAAAAGGAGGAGGTTCTCAATTCGACTGTATTTTTTTGACTATTATGGATTAAGACTGTCATGAAGTTATACTTCACTATTAGTACAATAATTAAGTATTAGAGAGGTTATCTCTATCTACAAAGATTGTGGCTAAATAATAATATTTTAGTGGGACAGTTTTGCAACGATTAGTACTCGTACATGTAGAATATTCCGATTGAATACTGAGCCATTTGCTTAAGTTTTGACTCTAGAACGCTTATGTAAGATAAAATTTTAATTGTCATTTGTTTTATTCTGTAAAATTGAAATATGCGCGAAAATGAAACCATTTAGGAAGTATATTTTTTAATTTAATACTAGAAAGTTAAAAGAAGAGATTTCTATTAGAAAAATTGCACAATTATTAGAAGTAAGCAAGAGTGCTGTGCAGAGAATAAGGCAAAAGTTTAGAGGTGAGCTAGATAAGGATGTTGGAGGAAGACCAAAGAAACTGAATTCTACAGATATTCGACGAGTGATCAGATACCTGACTACAGGAGAAGCAATTTCGGCTTCAAATGCACCAGCACTACTTTGTAGTGATAGTGGCAAAAAACAGTTTTTAAGTGAACAGTGCAATGAGCCCTATATTCGTCTGGTTTCAGAGCTATAGAGAAAAAAAGAAGCTTTTACTATCGAACAAAAATATTAAAGCACGCCCGAGTTTGTCAAGAAGTATCATGGCATATCAATGACAGACAATGGAATTGGAAGAGACAAGGAGAAAAGATATTCAAGGATTAAAGATTTCATACAAAGTGTGAAGTTTGAAGGGGGAAATGTCAAAGTATGACTGTTTTTAGGACTAGATCTGTACGAAAAATTGACGGCCTTATGAAAAAACAAATATAGTTTAATATATTGCAAACAAATTTTATAGTAACTACAGAAAATATGACGATACCTGAGAATGAAGTAATTGCCAACACAATAACGACCCCAAGCATACTGTAAAAAATTGTTAAAGATTGGTTAGATAGGCAAGAATTTCAAGTGCTACAGTGGCTTACACAGAGTCCAGACCTTATTAAAAATTTGTGGTCATACTTAAAAAGAGCTATGCTAAACAATTATAATTCACCACCATCATCATTAGTCATTATTCTATGAGATCGAATAAAAGAATAGTATGAAAAAATTCGTCGTTGCCTAGATATGTTACTTTATATTTATAGATAGACTAGCAGAATCCGCTGCTTCCCTCGCGCAAATACTACAAAAAAACTCTAAAAAGGTAGGGTTCATAAAAACTTTCAAGTCCTATTTTACCCCTTTATGGGATGAATTTCGAAAAATGCTAATTATTTATGCATGTATTTATTTAATTGTATCGTAGAGCATTAACAGCTCCAGGTAATTTTCTAAAAAAATAATTAAATTTCTAAGTAATCTATTGTTAACTGTAACGCCGGCGTTCCGCGGTCGTGGAGGGATTAATAGGCCAAGTTTCAAGTAATTCTGATCATAAATATATTTTTCGGTTGTGTTATAGCGTGTTTTCCCGTGGGAAGTGAGTAGATGATCTCCCGCTGTAAAAAGTAGCCTATGTCACTCTCCAGCCCTTCAACTATCTTCACACAAAAATCACGCCAATCCATCATGTTGTCGGACTAATTTATCTAGAACCATAGCATCATTTTAAAAAATGCTTTCGAATAGGCCGGGTGCTAAAATATTTACTAGTTACTTTAAATAAATAGTTATTTAAACTTCGTTCTAGTAAACTATGGATACGGGATGTACCACGCTGTTTTTCATAATGAAAAACACTCACATAATGAAAACAATTATTTTTTAATATAAATGGGAGTAAGCAACTTTTATACTATCATTTGGGCACAATGCTAAAAATATATTTTTGATCACAGTCATGTTACACACTGTACATGCATGATTAACTACATGTAATTAAGTAATATTAATATTATATATTAATCATTAAAAAACAGATTTTTAAATTGTTTTAGGATTGGCATTGGAGAGTACATTGTAGTAGAATTCTATGCAGAATTAGGACTATCTCCTAGTTTAATTTATCATATTTTATCATTTTTAGGTCGTTATTTTATAGGTTCTTCCAATAATTTTTTAACTTCTGGCAATGCATTCTAGCACTCTTAGCTTACCCTTTTTGACAAATTAATCATCATAAGATCTGCTGAGATTCCGTCGTCGATCTGGACATGCGAAATGTTCCTGCGGTGCCCCAATAAGATAGGTTGTGTTTTAGTATATAGTATTGGTATGTCTAGTTAGCGAGCCATCACATAACCACCATGAAAAACGTATATATGTACGAGTATGTTAAAAAGCAAGAAACTGAGGACATTGAATAAAGAAATTCTACTGCTATCAGAAATAATACAAAAAAGTGAGAATTCTAAAAAAGCAGTAAGAAAGAGTAAGTCAAAATCTTATACTAATTCATCTATACGGATAAATAACATTGAAGTGCTTGTTTTTAATGTCAAAATAACAGCTTTTTACTAAATGCATATGGAATTATGAATAATAACAAAAACAATGATACAAATAATGATAAAAACACAATTTTTAAATTTTTTGTCTGTCTGTCTGTTTGTTCCAGCTAATCTCCGAAACGGCTGGGCCGATTTTGACAGGACTTTCATTGGCAGATAGTTGATGTTGATGTAAAAGAATTAGGGTTCCGCTCAAAAAAATTTAAATGTACTAGGGACGAACCCGATCGAAGTGAGGGCGAGTCGCTAGTATCAAATATAATTAAAAAAAATAATATCGACTGTTTATGATTTGTTTCGAGACGAACGAATAAAATATTTTTTTATCCAGCGACTTGCTTGCTTTGCTTTCTCGCTTAGCTCAGGTGCGTCCCTAGTTGCCTAACAGTAACCTTTGTGTTACTCCATCATCATAGGTCATAATTTATCTTTGTACTCGTCTTAATCCGTCACTCAGCAGTCTGATAAGTAACTATAACACATATAGTTAAAAAATTTATCTCTAACGCTGGCTAAACCTTAAGAGATACATCAAAACACAATAGAAAAATCAGCAATAGCATAAGTCTTTCTCCTAAGATACACTCGCAATAATTATTTATATCTATATTTATAATGTACCTAGGAACGCACCTGAGCGAAGCGTGGGTAAGTCAGTATATGTTATGTAGAAACGGAGTTATTCTTGGAAAAAAAAATAAATATAGCTGTAAAAGGAATGTACTATACCTACTAGAAGTAGCATCATTTTCATAGGATAACCCTTAAAAAAACATTAGCGCAAGATTTCAAAAGGTAAACTTTTTAGTTATTCAAATCCAAAATAAATTAAAAAAAAAGAAAAATAATTAATAAGCATTTTGGCGACCGAAGTTCGCTCGGCATTTTTCGAAAAACATATGAATATTGCGTTTTTTTCAGTAAAGTAACACACACCTATATAATATAATCCAGAATATAATCTATCTCTGTGCCAAATTTCATCTAGATCCGTTCCGCCGTTCTAGCGTGAAACAAACATCCATACTCACAAACATTTATAATATTAATACGGACTTAAAAAGCAAAATCTTATTAAAATCAAAATTTAATCCAAATCGTTAGAGCCCTTTCACACACACACACAGAGTACACAAAATAAATATGCAAGAATTGCTCATTTAATATTATATGATACGTTGTTCATGCAATTGCTAGATTAATAGATTCAGCTAAAACCAAATACTACATTCGATAGTGTGCAAATTTAGTTACTATGAACCGGAACTGTTCTAATATATTCATTATATTTATTGTTTTAAATTACAACATGGCTAATGAAAGGTAATTGTGCTGATATATTAGGTATAACCAAACGAACAGTTTCCAACAAAGTAAAAAAAATCTTTTATAATTTCTATAAGGAAAAGCTCTCTCGAGGAAACTCTTTACTTTTTCCGATTAATAGCCAAACCTTTTAACAGTTTAGCAGATATACAAATACAGACATACAAAAATAGTGCCTGCTCATTTGTACTAATTTGCAGCATTGCTGTGTTCTTTATATTGCTTGCTTCTTTATGTGGTTTGTATAAATTTGAAGCGTATTTTACTCTTTTGATAGCACATTAGAAAGAAATAAAAATCTAATTTTAATTATTATTTGTAAAATTTATTTAAAATTAACACAACAAAACTAATTTTAAATACATACATGTATACAAAACTATATTATAATAGGTCTAAAGTAAATTAAAAGGCAAGGCGTCATTCTCGTGATTTAAAGGAAACCCTTTACCTTTAAGTACAGTGTTAGGTGGCTTACAGCTCATGTTGTAGGTTGGATTCAATGGGTGTAGCATTCCTATAGCAGTGATAGCTTTCTTGGCCTCGTCGTTGCCTAGACGGTAGTGAGTTCCATCACCAGATTGCAAAATACGTTTCGATACCTAGAAGTTATATGGGTATATATTAAAGATGATACTTGTTTTTAAGTAACGAATTTGCATAATTTAAATAGTTATGTACACACCCCTAATAATATAATACGTAAGTACGTAATAATAATTTATATTAAAATTTGTTTGCTTGTTACGTTTTCGTGCCTAAACCATTGAATCAATTTTGATGAATTTTGGGATAGAGATAGATCTTAGTGAAGGATAGTAGGTTACCTTAGAATCTCCAGAAAATGAAAGTTTAGAAAATAAAGGAGGTGAAATTGTGGATGAATGTAGTCTAAAAAAATATATTCGTACGTTTGAAAAGAAATAAAAAGGGTTTCAGAGTTTTTGAAAAATACTTCCCGAAGACGTTACACAATAGGGAATGATTTTAACTTTTGTCGTGCGAGAGGCACTTTTATTAGTAGGAGGTATTAATAAAAGTGTTTATTAATTCAACGTTATATAACGAAATATTTTACTTAATACCGTTTCAGATGAAACACTCTTCAAGTCGTAAGCTAATCCTATTTTCTCTAAAAATCTGATGACGTAGGCGGATGTATTCAATTGCATACTCCATTCCGCAGTCTTGTAGTCCCAGGGATAGACGTGATGATAATTGTGAAAACCTTCACCCAAAGTTAGAATTGAAACGAACCATGACTCCACTGGTTGAATTTTCCTGGTAAAAAAAGTGATGATAAAATTTATATATATATATAAAACAAACTCGGGTTCGTTACAACACTTATAACTCGAAAACTACTGGGCCGATTTTTATGATCTTTTTTTTGTTGGATTTGTCTTCACTCCGAATAGCAGGATAACTATTAAAATCGTAAAATTTCACGAAAAAAAATTGTAAAAAAAAAACTATTCCATATTAAGCGACACTAGGACGAACCTGAGTGAAGCGAGTGAAAGAGTCGCTAGTTAAAATAATAAAATATAATTATAAAAGTACTTTTAGACACTAATTTTATTCATATACAGTAATTGAAATTATTTTATCCAAGCTAATAGAATATAATAATGTCTATATAATATAATTAATAGATAATGTAACAAAAATCTTACTTGTCATAAGGTCTTGTCCCATAGAGATGTGCAGCGCTATTAACTAGCCCTGCTGCATTTATTTCATATACATATCGTAAAATATAGCATATTAAAAAAGACTTTTTAACGATTCTTCCATATAAAAATATGGCACACCAATAGGCATAAGTACACCCATTATGAGGTATAAATAAATATAGAATCTGAAATTAAAGACAAATTTAGTAGGTGCTAGAGAGCGGTTCCTGTCTTTATGTTTTAGTTATTTTTTTAACAAAAATATCACTCTTCAATTATTAATCCGACTGCGGCGAAGCCTAAACGAGGGTTATGTATTTGACCCGTATGCAACGTAAGTGTTATAAGCTATATGGAGTACCTATTAAAAATCGAAATGACCGATATAATATCAAAATAGAGTATCAAAATGAAAGTTTTTAAGAGGTGAAAACAAAAATATTTTTTTTTATTAAATAAATTAATGTTAAATTATATTAAACTCCAAATAATTAACTGGCCGCTAAAAACCTGTAAATAAAAAAGTATATAAAAAAAACGATTATATAAAAAGCGAACTAAAAATATGGGAACAAGTCTTTGTAGGAACATAGAATTATGCAGTCGGACACATACATACGTAGCAAGACTCGCAGCAAGTATACTTAGCTAAAATATGTATGTATGTCTACCACTGCATAATTCTATGTTACTACATCAACTTATTCCCACATTTTCAGCTTGCTTTTTACCCAGTCGGTCTTTTGATTTTTATAATTATTTTTTGAAGTTCTACTTCTTAGTTCTTTTGGCTCGTTAGGGGAAAAAATGATGACAGTATTTTTTTTACAATGCGAAAGATTTAGACTACGGTATGAAGTTAGTCGTTAAATCTTCCTTTAGTAGGTATAGTATCAGGTTTATATTCAAATTATTTATTACAGTATTTCTATATATAATAATAAAATACAAATTATTACAAGCTTTTATTTAGTTTCACCCGTCCCAGTGTTTGTCTGATTTTTTTTTTTTTTTTTAACGTTGGGAAATGCATTTACGCACGACGTGTGGGACTGACCGGCGTAATACAGCCAGTACTACCCACTAAAACCCAACAAAACCTTCCCCCGTCTTAATGAGGCGTCGCAGGATCGCTTACGCATTCAACTACGACGCCCCGACGGCAGGTCTGCCAAAGCAGACCACCACAACCATGGGGTTGCTCCAAGGTCCACTTTGCTATCAGAGAAGTACCAGGAGCAACCCGCCACCTCCCACCGCCCACCGAAGTGGGCAACCTCCCTGTGCGTTTCTTAGCTTCGCGCCCGGTTGGATGCCGGGCACTACTGAGCCCCCCCACCACGACAAGGTGAACGCACGTTGGGGGGGAGTGTTTGTCTGTAATCAAATATTGCAAGTTAAAGACCCACTACAAATTGTCCGATTGACCCAAAATTTGGCACACACATTTGGTTTTCGTGACTGCACGAGTACCTAAATGCCGTCGTTTTTAATTCAATATGGCGGACGTTACAAAATGGCGATTTATTATTTCCATGTGATCCTTATGATATGGGCATCAAATGAAAGGGCCTGACGAGCGAAACATATTAAGCAAAATATGTCATTTTGTACATCCAATATGGAGGACTTCCAAAGATAGCTGACTATGTTTTTTTATTCGCCCTCATGATACGTATATCAAATGAAAGGGTTTACTGATATACTGACTACGAAATAACTAAAAAATAGAATAAAAAAAACAAAAAAAAACGAAAAAAACAAGCATTTATGTAAATCCTCAAAAAAAAACGAAGAAGTATATTAATTTCTTACGTAGGTACCAAAGTACTTACACACACTTTTTTTAAGAGTAGAATAGGTTAGTTGTGTTAAAAGCTGACAATCGGTTTTAACCAATAATTTGAAAAAAGGCTGGCGAGTGCAAATAGACATGTAGATAATTTTTATAGTATATTTTTTTTTAGATTTTGATAAAATACGGAGACGGTTTAAATATTTTTTTAATAATTGAGATATACCTACTTTTTTTGAAACATCACCATCCAATCAGACTCCAAGTCGCTTATATCAATTCGTTTTCCAAAAGTCTTGATATACGGACCTTTTGCACATCAACCAACCAATTTGGCTAAAGAAGAATCCTCTTTTCGAATTGTGAGGGTCGGCATCTGTGTCTGAGTAACGATGGTGTAGACGATGATCGCGACACCAAGTGTATAGGGATTTCTGTTAAAAACGTTAGCTTATTTAAAAAAATGTTATATAAGAAAAGCGACTCACTTATTATTGAATAATATATACGTATAATATATTTTTGCAAGTGAAAATATTATCTTTATTCGTTAATTCGTTATTTTACTTGTAATAATAATGACTTCTTTACATTATGTTTATATATATAATTCTTGTGTGAGTGTGTATGTCACTGAACTTCTCTCAAACGACTGGACCGATTTTGATGAAATTTTTTGTGTGTGTTCAAGGGGATCTGAGAATGGTTTAGATTCACAATTTGAATAATAATTTTCATCAAAATGGTCCAGAATGTTTTAGCTTATTAAAAAAAGTTTGAAATTTTCAAATTAAAGACGTGTAGACAGGACAACGTCTGTCGGGTCAGCTAGTATATTATAAAACAAAGTCCTCCACCGCGCCTGTCAACCAAACAGATTTTCGTACGGTTTTCACCAATGGATGAAGTGATTTATGAGGAAGGTTTAGGTGTATAATTCATTAAGGTTTTGTATAAATTAGCTGAAATATGACGATGATTGTTGAAGTTTTCGGTAAAACTCATGCCAACTGGGGAGCTTTACTGACGTGCGCCGCCCGAACTATTGAAGGCAGAACCACGAAATGTTGTGATAAATAGAAAAACATAAAAATTAAAAAATATAATCAAAATTATTTTAACATAAAAAATACAATAAAAATTATTTGTTTTGTTTTATACAAATGATTTTATACAATATAAATTATTAGCAACTAGTGACGCACTCGAGCCAAGCGAGGGTAAGTCTCTAATAATAATATAAATGACATGGAAGATATTTGAGAAAAACCGTTATTATAGGTCTTTATTAGTGCAATAAAATTCAAAACAATGATTTTTAGATTTTTTGTCTGTTTGTCTTTGCGCTTGTGCGCGCTAATCTCAGCAACGGCTTAACCGGTGTGGTTTTCACAAATGTACTGTGGTAAGCTTCACCTAATGTCATGTAGTATTTATTTTATCTCAATAGGTTGATAAATAAAGTTATGTCAATTTAAATCATGAATGATAATGAAATGAATCATCACAAATCAGTCGCTGGTACTAAATTATAAATATCATATCAAATATTAATTATGTAATAATATATCTACTTGTCCTGATATGGTGTGGCCATGAACGAATTAGAGACTCGTTCATGGGTGTGGCATAATATTAAAATAGCTCGCAGCAGTGGAGTCGCTTTAAAGGATCTGTGTGTAAAATATCTGTGAGATCCGACCGTCACCCCTTCGGCGCTGAAAAAAAACACGAACAGAGCTGCAAGGAAACGTAAATTATAAATGATATTTTTATAGTTATTTCAGGTATGAATTGTTATAATGGACTCTTATTACATCAGAATAAAGGTGTAGGTACTTACTCCATAAGGCTAATTTGTATGAGATTCCTTCGTTTATTAAAATAAACAATCCCCATACTGCCAAAACGTGTAAAAGTAGAAGTAGAATAGGAATTGCATATTCCCACACAATTTCATGTTTGTACGAATAATCAGTTCCTATACTTTCGATTTTTATTAAATCTTTTTTATCTATAATATCACTTATATCACTTTGAATTTCAGTTTCGCTTATCACTCGATTTGATTTATTATGAGGGGCCATTGTTATTCTATACTGTAAACGAATGATGAATAACTAACCAAACGAGAAGTAAAAGAAACGCTTTTTAAAAAGAAAATTTCTTTTATATTGTTTCTTTTTGCTTATTCCATGTACCTACTTAAATTATTTTAAATTTAAAGTTATGTTAAATCTGTACATTTACATTGTAAAATTGTATAAAGGTTGTTGGCACATTTAATTATTTTATACTAGCTGCTCACCCTCGCTTCGCTCGGGTTCGCCTCTAGAAAAACACAAATAGAGATCTATTAGTTCCCACGGGAACTGTTTATTTCTCCGGGATGAAAAGTAACCTGTTGTTTGACCGGCAATATAAGGTATCAGAATGTTAAATTTTACTAAATTAGGTGCATAAGTTGTTGTGTAATAGGCTGTATAAGTTATTATAGTTTTTTAACTATCCCACGGGAACTATTTAATTTTCCGGGATAAAAAGTATCTAAGATGTTGCCCGGGGATATAAGGTACCACCATGCAAAATTTCATTTAAATCGCTCCAATAGATTCGGAGATTAGCCCGTACAAACAGACAAACAGACAGAGAAACAAAAAATTTGAAAAAAATCTGGTTTTGTTCTATTTGTCTTCTTACATCCCCCTGACTCGGTTTTTAGCTTTTATTTTGCTATGTACAGACATTCGACCTCTACTCTTTTATTATAGTATAGAAGATAGGTATTAGGTATGTTTTTGAAAATTATTTTGTTAAGTCTAGATATACTTGAATAAGTATGTACTTAATTACATTTATATAATTAAAGTTTTATTTTAAGGTACAAGAATAGGGTGCATCTCGTGATAAGTGATGAAATCATCAAGGTGGTGCATGATGAAATCAGCAAGCAAATGGATTGCTTGTATCAAATGTCACACAAACAATTCATTTGCTAGTCTCTGTAAATCGGATTTGCTGACAAAAGATTTAATGTTCTCATAGATATACTTATCTATATTTTCTTTGTATCAAATAAACTCCGAAACTACCGAACCGATTTAAATGAAATTCGGTAAGACGATAGTTTGAGACCCAGGGAAGGACATAGGATAGTTTTTTTTCTCCGGAAATTCCCTTAAAGGGGTGAAAATGGGGATGAAAGTTTGTATGGGGAAGCAACCTAGGGACGAACCCAAGCGAAGCGGGGGTGACTCACTAGTGTATTGTACATTACATTTTTTTTTAATTTCCTTACGAACAAGCATTATTGTTTATATAGATTATAGATCACAAAACGCAATTTTTTTGAATGGCTGTCTGAAAATAGCCCAGTTATTTTGTTCACACTTCACGCAAAAAGTAGTAGCCGGATTGTAAAGAAATTTTGTACAATAATAGTTTGCGTAACTTTGTAGGTTTGTACCCCAGCAATATATATAATACAATTTATTCCGGAAAGGTTACCAAGGGAGAGTAAGAAGTAAATAGGTCAGGTAAAATAGTAATGTCTTGAATTTAGCGAAATTTTCTTCTTCAGAATTTTTGAATTTTGATAAAAATTAGTAGGTACTTACAGGTTAATTCTACATTTTGTATGATTTTTATTCCAGACATAAAAAGGGATCCCACGGTAATCGGTTTTCGATACAAAATGGTATGCTGTTTACTAAGTTGTGAAATTATAATTAGTTTACTTTTTACCCCAGAAATTGAAAACATTCCTCCCGGGATAGGCAAAGAAAATTTTATTGAAATCTTTTGTAAATCTAGAAACTTTTGCATTGATTTTAATACAAACTTGTAAGATTAATTACTATTTTCAACCGACTTCAAAAAGGAGGAGGTTCTCAATTCGACTGTATTTTTTTTTTTTAATGTTTGTTACCTCAGAACTTCGTCATTTATTAACCGATTTGGACAATTTTTTTTGTTTGAAAGGGTATACTTCCAGATTGGTCCCATTTAAATTTAAAAAAAAAAATACCACCCCTAAGGGTGGAAAAATAGCTAATAATGAATTTAACCTACTTCTAATTGTCATATTGACTTGAAACTTTGCAAGTGTTTCTATTTCCGTTGATAGTACAGAGGTTCGGTATTGTTGACCTGATCTGATGGTAAGGCCAGAAGGTGGATAGGTGGAACTCTTCAACGATAAATAGTAGATACTTCGAGTTTGGGCTTATTTTGTTTGGTTTGACAAGCCTAACACTTTAGAATTCTTACTTTGCTACTACTGTCTACACTAAAAAGGGAAAAATAAAAACTTTTTAACAAAAAAATAAAAACCGACTTCAAACAAAAGCACTAAAAAGTAAAAAATAACTGATTGGTAGTTTTCATTTACTATACATACCTAATCAAATATTTTCGAAGTCGGTGTGCTTTGCTTTGTATGGGCTGGCACCGATTTCGAAAATATTTGATTAGGTATGTATTTAATAGGTAGGCTTTAATTACTTAGCCAAAGCACACCGACTTCGAAAATATTTGATTAGGTATGTATAGTAAATGAAAACTACCAATCAGTTATTTTTTACTTTTTAGTGCTTTTGTTTGAAGTCGGTTTTTATTTTTTTGTTAAAAAGTTTTTATTAGTTATCAAGTCATTATACCTCAATCTATCTAAATCGTAATATTGTCAATAATAGGAAGCTTTTGGTGAGTGGCGACATCACGGACTTACCTAAATCTCCAAGGTAAGGTGTATATATATGTGTCCATAATAACGGGGAAACACACTCATTAACTCTCTGGCGTTGGTAAAACACACATCTTGACACCCTTAGCTGATTAAACCGATGCTGTTCTTTGTGAGGACCCGTCTAAAGGGAGAAGAGTCATCATCAACCAAATCTTCAGCATGAGACTGTTGAGAAGGTGAGCAGACCGTCTGGTAATCTCATACAATAGTCTAGTTATTATCGTTTTTATTCATAAGTGATTAAAAGAGATGGGGGTATGAGTAAAAACGGTTTATTAAACATTGTAAGAATCATTTTTAAACTCATTTAATATTGTTGATGTAAACTTTAGAAAAGGGACTGTCAAATAATCAATCAATATTCCAAATGGCTTCTGAGTGAACTAATTGAAAAAATTAAAAAAATAGAAAAGTTGTAAGTTTAGAATTTCATTCAATAAGTATATAATTTAATGAAATTCTAAACTTACAACTCTTCTAGAAAACTTATCTGGAGGAGTCTTTAAGGTAATAATTTTACATCATAAATAGTATATTCATATTCATAACAAAATTATTTGGCTAAAAAATGACGTATCGTAATTGTAAATTCTTATTGCATTAACATTTTTGCGTTACAATTCAATTATTATATTCTCACCGACCATGAAATTTATCAGAAAATTAATTCGTTTCACACAAATGCACGGGTGCATTGATATTTAAAATCCACTTGAATTTAATTAAAAATTCTCGAATGTTTATTGCTATCAAAATATTTTTTGCGTTGTTGATCACCATGTTTTTCCTCTTACGCCATATTTCGATATTACGTACTCCTATAAAATGAAACGAATTGGCATTTTCGTCTGTTTGATGATTCATTTTGTAAGTTTTATATTGCTTTAAATAATAATCTTCTTTGGGTATCCAATAATTTGTATAATTGAAATTTGTTTTTTTTTTGTTTTTAAGGCACATCCAAACAAACCTAATGAAACTTGTGGTAAGATAAAGTATGTTTTGATGTAGCATGTTTTAACGTTGTGGAAAGTTTTAAAGTGTTTTTATACTAGGTAGGTACTAACTATAACTTACTTAAAAAGACGGAAGAAGACTTTTAATATGATTTTTAAAGGGCTGTTCATTTAGTTTATGTAACCTTAGACGTAGAGGTAGTTGAGAGATTAAGGAAATGAATTTGTCTGTAATTCCTCAAGTTAATAATATGTTAATGATCAAGAATATCTTTATTAAAATATTATGCTCATGTGTTTTGTTTATATACTTATGTAAATAAATTATATGCAAAGCTTTATTATGATTCGGCACGATAAATATAACATAACGAAATAAATATATATGTATTTATTTATAAAAATTAGAATGTGGAATTGCGGGAAAGAATCGTCGTATCGTGGGTGGGAATACAGTTCAACCCCATCAGTATCCATGGCTAGTGGCTCTGATGCTGGGATCGAAATTACATTGCGGAGGAGCAATTATTACTGACATGCATGTACTCACTGCTGGACATTGCATCACATTTGGGTGCGTCCGTTGTTTTGTATACCTATGTATTTATTACTAATAAATAAATAATAAATAAATATATTTTGAGGCAACATTGTGAAGACGATTGATATATTAACTTCAAGCTATCCTAACACCATGTTTACACTCACTTTTCTTTTTTCCTACTTTTATATTATCATAAAACTAGTGACCAACGTCGTTACTTCTACTTAATATCAAATTAAATTTTAAACACAATATAGATACTGATAAAATTAGGGCAATTATCGATGATCACATTACAACTTACATTTGTTATTATCATTATCGTAGAGTTCATTATCGAGACCTATCAGTACACGTTGGGATGCACGATCGTCTTGAATCGTCACATAGTGTTCTTCGACTGTCCAATGGAGTTAAACATCCAAAATTCACATCAAATGCTGTACGTGATATTAATGACATAGCAGTATTGACCCTTGAGAAGAAACTGAAGTTCTCTGACAAAGTTCGTTCTATTTGCTTACCCGCTGAAGGTAAAAGTATTCAGATTTCAGCAATATCTGAAATTACCGCCTAAAGATACCTATACCAGAAATATTTTTTTGTTTAAAATTAACTGTTGTGAAATTATATTATTTTAATTTATGTGTAGCTTTAGGGTTTTCATAAGAAGAAACTATAATTTTTTTGTAGATATGGATTTCCGAGATATACCCCTAACAGTAGCTGGTTGGGGGAAAACCAGACAAGGTGCACTAACCTCTTCTCGTTACTTATTAGAAACGAGAGTAAAAATAGTTTCTAGTCATATATGTACCAAATCTTCCATATATAAAGATAACCTTGTTCCGGATACAATGATGTGTGCATATAGCTTAGGAAAGGATGCTTGTCAGGTAATTTTAATTTTTAATAGGCATCTAATATTTCCTACGCATACGTACATACACGAACACATAAACATTTTCACAAGCATACATAAATACAGAACTAACACAACAATAGATAAACAAACTACGAGTCAGAGAAAACCAGGTTGCCGAACTTTAAGTTCTCTACCCACAATTTACATGCCATATGATATGGACAGACAGTCGTCGTAAGTCGTGACAAACTTTAAGCCTAAATTTCTTTAAGTACAACAAACTTGTTGGCTTCTTTATTTTTTTTAGAACAAGTTATTTCAGTGTTAGTGTTTGTTAATTTTAGGGTGATAGCGGTGGGCCAATATTTTCATCACATTATAAAACTCAACACAAGAAATGGTATCAAGTTGGTGAGCTACTATCATATATTTTAAAATTTTCTTTTATTTAATATCTTATTTTATACTTATTTATTACTATCCTTTTTAACTAATTTTTCTATAACTAATTCTTTTTATTATTAATAGATTTTACTTAACTGCAAATCTATTTTATTTCTTATCCTTACATAAGATATTTCAAACCAATGAAACTACGAGTATTTTTCACTTTTATTATTCTAGTCAACATGTTTCAATTGTTTCTTTTTAATAAAAAAAGCAATCTAAATATTACGTTAAATAAATATGTATTCTATCCTTATTAGTTTTTACTTAAAACTCATACGTAGGACTATCGTTGAGGTCTTGAGGTGAAAATTGGTTTAAAATTATTGACATATCAAACAACACATACAAATAAAATCAAAATTTTATATCACCCTATCAAAGAAAACAATGGGATAATAGAATATTTTTAATTTCATTTAAGAAGAAAAAAGTTAAAAAAATCCTTAACTTATTTGAGATATAATTTTAATTGATCAGCTACGAATCACGATTATTAGTTTTTAACTTATTAAAATCGGTTGCATGACACAACTAACAAAATTAAAAATTGTTTACCTATATTTAATTTTCTAAGCAGACTGTATGATTTTTTATATAAATATTTACTAACCATATTATATATCTTAGGTATGTATCATAGTTAGGTATTATCACTTACATTTACTTTATAAGTACAAAAAAACTCGTAAAATGGTAGGTTTCACATATTGACAAATTTTCATCCCCTATTTTACCCACTTATGAGATAAATTTTGAAAAATGCTACGAGTAAAACACATATCCATGTAATTGTAGTGAAGAACATTAATACCAAATTCCAAGTAATTCTAATTATAAATACTTTTTGGGTTGCATTATAACGTGTTCTCCCGTGGGAATAAGAGAATTCAACTCTAACTCCAAACTCCAACTACCTTTGTACAAAAAATCACGCCAATCTGTAAATAAACAAACACACTTTCACATTTATACTATTAGTATATAGATATCTATTAGATCAATCATAATTTTTGAATAGCTATCTTTTATAGGTATTGTTTCGTGGGGGATCGATTGCGCCATGCCAGATTACCCGGGTATGTTTGGTAGATATATAAATATACTTATATTCTGTGATAACATAAGTATACATTAATAAAGATTCATATTTAGCATTTACATTGTATTATAATTACAGGAGTGTACACAATTGTGTCCAAATACATACCTTGGATAAAGCAACAAACAAAAGATGGATTATCCTGCGCCTAAGTGCATTTAAAAAATAATTTTATTTTTAATATGTGGTATAATTTGAAGTGCATAAAACTGTACTAATAGTATTGTTCATATTTATTTCCTATTAGTTTTTGATGGTGGCTACGCTCGCATAGTAAAAGAGGCGCAAATAAAAAATCGCCTATGCAATCGTCCCTATAATGCAATCTCCGACTAGATATGTCCTTGCCTAATTTCATCGAAATCAGCTAGAGCTCAAGCGTTAAAAAGTAACAAGCAGATATACTGAGCTTATTATTATTATTCCCTCAACAACCGCGGACTCGCAGGCGTTACAGTTAACAATAGATTTCTTATAAATTTAATTAATTTCTTAAAAATTTACCTGGAGGTATAATCAGTATATGGTCTATAATTTTGTAATTTGAAGAACTATATTTTTCAATAACGTAGATTTCTGTAAAGTTATAACTTTATAGCTCGAAGCGTCACATATAATACAAAATACGCATAAAAATACAATGAAATCACTTACACGAACTATAAATTGATTTTCTATACAGATTTTATTTGAAAATTTCTAAGTGTACTTACGTATAATACGTAATACAGTCATGCACCTGTTAAAGATTGAACACGTAGGTACTTTTCCCGATACACACCACTAAATAGTGTGATTTATTATGATTTATTTAACCATATAATGTTTGATAATGAGTTAAAATGAGTGATTTATGTCTCCGATAAATATAATAAAAACGTTTGTTGTGTTGTTACAAGGACATAAACGTGAAAATAGCGTAAACAATTGGTATGGTTTAAAGCGCAACCGATAAATTAAAAGCAAGTATCGGTACTCCAGTCGCGGAAACAGTGCAGTGCTAAGTGCTTTAAGAATAGTATTGTAAATATACCATGTGGCAATTTTTTTTTATTGCTGTTGGTAGTTTAACTCAGGTTTGTAAGATTTCATATTATCATGTTAGCGCATTCCATGCAATAATTTGAAAAGAAATGCAATTTTATTTGTAGATGCAGACTGTCTGGGGATCGAAATGTCGTAAGTTTGTTTGTAATTGAGGAGCGTCGGAACAAAAGCCGATTACAAATCACATTTATGTTTTTTTGTGGAAAAATGTAAAAATATGGTCAAGTTCATGGTTTTCTAATTTAGAGTTAAACGAAATCTATCAATTTACTGGTGTTAGCATCACCGTTTGGAAAACTAAATTCTCTAAAAAATAATAATATTAATTTTTATTCTAATTCGGATTTAGATCGGGTTTATTATTTTTCGACCAGGTTACACTAACCATAGAGCAAGATATGTACGAGAACAACCAGTTGGCATCATAAAAAAAATGTCAAATGCGATTTATTTATACCTATTTTTAGATTTTATTTTGCATTTTGGTGATTTTGGTTCTTTTAATATGCGGTTTTGGAGGACATTAATTTATTCTGCATTGTTATATACAAAGCAATGCAGTAGTAAAAGTAGTTATTAGATTTAGTCACCAATCGTTTAGATATATGTGATAATTATTTTTATTATTATATTTATCGAATCGAATTAATAATTATATTTTAACCTTACAAAATAAGAAACATTACACTAATGATAGAATACAAGTATATTCAAACCTGTTTTTGATTTCGTCTACGATGAACTACTAAGAAGTACATGGAATACAAAATTTAGTTGTAGCAAAATATGTACTGTTAAATAAATTTCAATTTATTCTAATAATCTTAAAAAAAATTATACATATATTTTATTAGAATGTGGCAAGCCGTCCGAGGATATTGTATCGATGAGGATAGTGGGCGGGCGTAGAGCTGAGCCTCATTCGTTTCCGTGGACGGTGGCTATTTTGAAGGGAAATCACGTGCACTGCGGCTCTGCGCTCATCACAGACAGGCACTTGCTAAGTGCTGGGCACTGTTTCAAATGGTATACGTACTCAATTAGACTTATTAGTAGCTTAATTAATATAACTAGCGACGCCAATGGCTTCTTCTGCGTATACTTATGTGTATTTTTATTTTGTTCTTAATTTAACTAGATGAATTAAGTGAGTCATATAATATAAAAATTCTTAAGTTACACAATGGCATAGTTTTTGGTTACAATTATATCATTTGATTATAAATAATCATATCTTCTATCTACATTAGGTTTTTTTAATAGCAATACTAGACAAGTAAAGGCAACTTAAAGTCTAAGACCCAATGTAAGATTATCTTTCACCTATCTGTTACTTTATTTCTTTGACATGCATCTAAAAATATATTATTTTGGTAACAGGGATGATTTTAAAACAATGAACGTCTTATTGGGTCTTGATACATTAGACGATCAAGAAAACGTTGAGAAGAGGAGAATATCAAACGTAATCATTCATGAAGGCTTTAGGTCAACGGCAGTTCGAGATGAAAACGATATTGCTATAGCAACATTAAATTATCCTGTAAAATTCAGTGATGTGATAATACCTATTTGCTTGCCACAGCCAGGTAATTTAAACTTTTAAAAATGATTGAAACTTTCTTTATTAAAAAAGTACCTGTGCGACCGAGCTTGGCTCGCTTTTCTTGGCCAAAAGTACAATTTTCTTTTTCTTTTAACAAACTAAAAATTTGAAAAAATACAAAAAAAAACAAAAGTAAAAGCTTTTTATCCAACCGGGATTTGAACCTGGACACCTATGATTGTCAATCTTGCACCTTGGCCGCTTGATCATGATGCTTATGCCCGAGCGTGCGAAATTATCGACCATATTTTGCGTGGTATAATGCGAAAGAAAACCGCATGAAAACTCGAAAACACGGATTTTCCCAGAGGTAAGACTAATCTAACTCGATTTTTCGCCTCAGAAAGTCCCCATATACCAAATTTCAGCGAAATCGTTAGAGCGATTTCCGAGATCGCCAGTATAAATAAATAAATATACAAGAATTGCTCGTTTAAAGGTATTAGATGTATGTTTTTTCTGTCACTACTATGCCTGTCTACGAAATTGAATACCAAGTCGGCTTTTATAAATCGCGCAGCGCAGAATAAATATAATTATTGTTTATAAATCTATTCCACACATCATAGATGCTTGGCATCCCACAAATGTACGTCCGTCTCGTTCGTTTTTACCTCGCACGTGCAAAATATTAAATGATCTTCCTCCTGAGGATTTCCCTGACCGCTCTAATATGGGCCTCTTTAAGAGTCGTTTGTGTCTTTAGGTATTGGCCAGCACTCATTAAGCATTTTCTGTATTTTGCCTTAGTTATGCTATTATGTGTTTGAGGGAGTACACTGCTAGCTTAATCACAAGTTAGCAGTGTTCTAATATTCTGCCATTCTATAAGAGCATCAAATTTTTGCTTTTGGCTCTAAATTAGCAATAATAGTCCAGTTATATAAGGTCTGCAATCAAAATTTGGCACTCAACTTTGCATTTTTGGTATAATGTAGTCTTAATGATGCAATTACAACGTGTAAAGGTATCTTGTCTGCAACCGCCGGCAAGGGTAGGAAAAATTGTCTAAAGTGTTTTTTCGCAATAACTCGATAACGGTAAAAATTAGACAAAAAAGTCTTAGTAAAAATAAGTAGAACTTAAAATTTTACATAAAAAAAGTTTCATTACTTTTTTTTCTCCGGTCAAAAGTAACCGAGTTAGAGAGGTTTTAAGTTTACGGGATGACCGTAAATTTTAAAAAATCGTAGGTAGTAGAAAAATAAGCGTTTTTTCCTTAAATTGCTTAAAAACCTCTACTCTTTAATTTTAGAGACTCAATACAACGGCGTAGGATTTGAAAAAAAAAAATACTTGTATAAATACATACCTGCCGAAATATACCAATTAAAAAGGTTTTTTTTTTCAATCGTAAAATTTAGTATATTTTACGAGGAATCTAAAAATGGCAAAAAATAAATTATTCATTAATTTTTAAAATTTCAACTTGAAAATTCAAAATTGTTATATATTTTTTTTAACAATAAAAAGAAAAAATCTGTATCTCCGAAATTAAAGATAAGATTTTTTAACGCAATTTAAAAAATAAAAAATTAAAATTCTCTTATTTTTCTTCTACTACCTACGAGTTTTTAAAATTTACGTTCATCCCTTAAACTTAAAATCTCCCTAACTCGGTTAATTGTGACCGGAGGAAAAAGTCATAAGACCTTTTTTATGTAAAATTTTAAGCCCTACATATTTTTACTAAAACGTTTTTGTCTTATTTTTACCATTTTCGAGTAATTGCGAAAATACACTTTTGACAATTTTTTTTCTATCCTTGCCGGGGGTTGCAAACACGAAAACCTTTACACATTGATTTTGCAGCATTAAACCTACATTATATCAAAAAAGTGAATCTTCTTTGTCTATTTATTTATATTTACTTAATAACAACTTATAATATTACAGGACAAACTTTCGGTGGGACAATGGGAACTATAGTAGGATGGGGGCGACTTGGAGTCGATAAATCTACATCTAAGTCGCTAATGAAAGCAAGCCTTAAAATACTCAATGACGAGAGTTGTATGAGGTCTAAGTTGTCATCTCATTTAAAGCCGATGATGATGTGTGCATACTCTCAAGGAAAGGATGGTTGCCAGGTAGGTACCTTTTATTTTAGAGAAATTACGCATATTACCTATACACATACAGGTGGTTATGTGGGACTCAGCTAGAAAAGCCAGTACTACCCACTAAAACACAACAAAACTTTTCCCCGTCTTAATGGGGCGTCACAGGATCGCTTACGCACTCAACCACGACGCCCCGATGGTAGGTCTTCCGAAGCATACCACAACAACCACGGGGTTGCTCCACAGTCTACTCTGCTATCAGAGAAGTACCAGGAGCAACCCGCACGGTACACCGCCCACCAATGTGGGCCACCTCCCTGTGTGTTTCTTGGCTTCGCGCGCGGCTGAACGCACGTTAAGGGGGTGCCAGGTAAGTATCTATGAATTCACATGTGAACACTAATTAAGTCTGAATCCAATTCAAATTCCATTAAATTTTACACAGCTAATTTATTAAAATATTCTCGGTGACGTACTCTATACATGAGGTGTTTTCGCAATTGAATTCTTAAACTAAAATGCTAGTATAGTAGTAGGTATGTAACAGAAAACTAAACGCGGGTTCCAATTACTTTATAACTATTAAAATTATATTTATTTTTCCTATTTTATTACAAAATACTTATTAACTATCAGATGCAGTTCGTTCGAATATTTGGTAAACAAAGTACCTACCCACCTACTTATTTTATAGAATTTTACCTCTCTACCTATAGTTAGATATAGGTATTAAGAGCAACTCGACATCATGAAAATATAATAAACAGTCTTATTATTTATTTATTACCTATGTTTAATTTTAGGGAGACAGTGGGGGACCACTTGTTGTATTTGAAAATGATGGAAAATATGTCCAAGCAGGTAAATGAGTATTTCATATTCCCAGACGAATTATACCTACTTATAATTGTGAAAGATTATATTATTACCATTTACAAATATTTATATTTTTGTAGCTAATTTAAACAACTAAGTAATTCCAATTATTTTTTAGGTGTGGTTTCGTGGGGCATTGGTTGCGCGGATCCTAGATACCCAGGTTATTATCGTTTTTAAGTAAATTAAATTAGTCAAGAACTGTTTAATTTTTATTTATACTTATTATTTTATTTTTTATTTTTAGGCGTATACACTAAAGTCAGTCAATACGTCAACTGGATTAAAGAACACACGGCAGATGGGTACACTTGTGATTAACATTATGTACATTGTGATAAAATAAAATTCTAAAACATATTTTTTATTTATTTATTATAACTATCCATAACTTATTTATATAATATTTTTTTTCATAGCTGTGCTTATAATTATATATATAACTTTAAATACACACATATAAAAAATATAAACATCCATAATTGGAGGACAAATATTCGCGCTCATCACACAAAGAAAATTATTCCCCCAGCGGGACTCAAAGCTGCAACCGCTGGCACAGCAAGTAGGGTCACTACAAACTGAGCCAAATGTGTCGTCCATAATAATATTATAAAATTAGGTTTATCACGGTAATGTAATGCATATATTATATTACCGTGGTTTTATCTTCGCGGCGACCTTGCTACAAAAATTATGCATACCTATAGATCTAGGTAGGTAATTAACCAATTTTGCATGCAGCTTCTATTTATTTCTATTATAACATTAAATGTGTACCTACTGAGCGATACCATTGCATTTAAAATTGAACAATTGTAGTTTATCCACAAACGTTACTCGACAAAATTGAAAGCGAATATGAATGCATGTAGTACTTACCTACACGTGTAGACGGTGTTAGGTGGAAATTTCTTAAATTAGTTTTAATTTTCAATGTTTCTCGTAGAACCAATTCGATTCGTCTCAAAACTAATTGATTTATAAAAAATCATTCTCTAAAATACCAATACCTACCTACTTATTTGAGAAAAATACTAACCAGAAGCAATTTTGTCCCATATTAAATAGTATTAAGTTCGTTGTATATTAGAGATGTACCGACTACGACTTAGGCCGACTAACCGACTAGCCGACTAGTCGGCTGTAAAGAGGCCGACTAGTCGGACGACTAGTCGACCAAGCCGATTATTGTTTCGAGGGATTTCCCTGATGCTCGTTTACCGCTCATTCGCGCTCAAGTCGCAGCCGCCGCCCGCGAACGTGTCAGAATCTGTTTTGTTTATTTCGCATTGTTTCTTGAATTTTGCTGTTGTGCGGGTCAGAGCGGTGTTTTTGTGTAAAAAATATTTTTTGTAAAGTTAATAGTGTTATTGTTCATTTAAGTGTAAAAGTTTAATTAAAATTTATTAATTAATTAAAAAAGAAAATATTAATAAATTAAAAAGAAAGTCTCGTATATAGATTTTTTTTGAACAATTGGACAATGATTCCCGCAAAGTCAAGTGTAACCAATGCCAAATGATAATTTCTCGTTTCTAGTGACGGGCATGGGAATACAGCTAATACTACAAGTATGAACAACCATATTAAATACTGACATCCAAGCCTGATATATCAGTTAAGTTCTTCGATAAAATGTTCGACCACAGACGATTTCTCGCAGTCGCAAATCCAAGCAGAACTACCTTCAACAGTACCTATTCCGTCAACTTCAATTCAAAATTCAAAATTCAAAATATTTTATTCAGCATTAAATTATTACCATTTTTTACTGAACGTCATGAATCCACTGCCAGTTCGGATAGAAGAAGCCTCAGAGACTTGAGAAAAACTGGCTAAAGAAACTCAGCGGGACTAATATTAACTTGTTTTTTTTTTAAAGTAAAATTATAATTTACAATATTTTTATCAAGTTGAAGTAGCCTGGAGGCGATCATTTCATTCCTAAGGTGTGCCATCTTCTATAAAATCATTTATTGTATAATAGCCTTTAGCACACAAATGTTCTTTAACATTTTTTTTGAATTTGGCGATAGAGGCCTTTTGAACATTTTCTGGGATCCTGTTGTACAAGCGTATACATTGTCCATAAAAAGAATTACTGCCTCTGTGTAGACGAGTCACAGGCATTACAAGTTTGTGTTTGCTCCTAGTATTAATGTTATGCATGTCACACTTCTTGGAAAATTCGTGTATATTTTTACGGACATACATAAAATTTTCGTACACGTACTGAGAAGCAGCAGTCAATATTTTTATTTCTCTAAACTTATCTCTTAATGACACTCTAGGACCTAAGCCATAAATTGCACGAATAGCTCTTTTCTGCAGGACAAAAAAGTTAGATACCAAAAGACATAATACTACGAAAATAACTAAAATATACTATGCGAGCTGTATCTACATCAGTAAGAAGTCTTATTTTTTTACCGCGAACGCTGCAGAGCTGAGTGTAGCCCCTCAATATGGGGGCCCCACTGCAATTTCGAATCTATGATAATACCTAGGAATTTTGTGGACTGTACAGGTTCTAACACTTCGCCATTTAATGTTACACCATCATCAACAAGTTTGACATTAAGTGTTGAGAATTTTATTAATTTTGTCTTATTATTATCTTTATATATATAATTCTTCTGTGAGTGTGTATGTCACTGAACTTCTCTTAAACGACTGGACCGATTTTGATGAAATTTTTTGTGTGTGTTCAAGGGGATCTGGGAATGGTTAAGAAGAAGAATTGTGAACAATTTGAATAATAATTTTCACACAGTAATAATAAATTATTTGAATCAAACCAATAGACAACCTTTGAGAGAGCATCATTTACATCGTCGTATATTAGCGAATTGCGTGTCATCAGCGAACAATACTATCTCATGTTTGTCCTGTACAAAAAATGGCAAATCATTAATATAAATTCCGTGGTCGGGCTTAGCTAGCGACCATTGCTTGTTCAGTGGGTATAGCAGTATAGCTGGACAAAATTTCAGGAATCGTAAAATATGTGTTGTCAGATTTAAGCTGGCTTTCTAGCTATAGCGACAGTGATAGCCCAATGACACGCTCGCGTGGATAACCGAGTAATGCGGGTTCAATCTCTGTCTCGCACATCTGATATTTTCATGTGCGAATCATTTCTAACATGAAAAAGGGCTGTAAATATATATATATATATTTTATTAGTTTCACACAGATAGTTAATGTAAAATATTTATTTTCATAATGTAAAAATGACGATTTAAAAGAGCTTGTAAAAGTCTATTTGAATAAAGTTTATTTTGATGGATTGATTAAAAAATATGTACAAAGTAAAAAGCCTACTAGTCGGCCCTTTTTGCCGACTATTCGCCGACTAGTCGCCGACTACAAAAGTGGCCGATTAGTCGGTTTTGCCGACTAGTCGGCACATCTCTATTGTATATTTCTTTTTAACCGACATCAAAAAAGAAGGAGGTTCTCAATTCGGATGTTTATATTTTTTTATGTATGCACAGACATAACTCCGTCATAATAATTATATAAAGTATAAACGGATTTGCAGAATTCTTTTTTGTCCGAAAGAGTTTACCTATTCCGAAATGGTCACATTTAAATTTAAAAAAAGCCATCCCTAAGTGTAGAAGATATATGATTTACCTACTTAATTTTTCAAATACTTTTTATTTCGCTACAACTATGTTTACACTAAAATTAAAAATTAAAAAAAATAAATAAAAAAAGTAAAAAAAAAAACAGTAGTTTTCATTTACTATAGAATTCTAATCAGATATTTTCGAAGTCGGTGTACTTGGATTTGTATCGGCTAGCTTTAAAAAGTTTTTTTTTAATTAAAAATTACTAGATTAACTAATTAATAATTATATATTACATCTTGCTAACTTGCTTGCTTGTAACGCTTTCCGCATTCCTTTCATAACAAGAAACACACACAACACACCCGGAGGAAATATTATTCGTTTAATTATAATTACCCTCAATAACGGTTTACCCTCGCTTCGCTCGGGTCCGCCTCTAGGAAGACTAAAACAAACCTATCCCACGGGAACCGTAGTTTTTCCGGGATAAAAAGTAGCCTATGTGCTATTCCAAACTATAATCTGTCTCTGTGCCTTTCATCTAGATCCGTTCAGTCATTCTGGCGTGAAAGAGTAACATCCATCTTCACAAAGTTTCACATTTATAATATTACCTAATATATATACTTTTCTTTTAATTTGGATTGGATAGTCTTTTTTTGATTTGAATGTGAAAAAGCAAAAATATCAAATGGCATTACCTAATTGGTTGTCGAGGGTCATATTATCCTTGATATTGACTAAAAACCATATTCTGAAAATTTTCGCGGATACTATAGATTGCTTTTTCTGTTTGTGTCAAAGTAGGTAACTTTTCTCTATACCTACAGCAACCTACTATCAGACATGGGTAATTGTTGCTCATACTACTTAATGCCCTTGGAATATGGATCATATTAAAGTATTTTTGCATATGTGCTTTTGGTACTTAAAGTTACGTTATTGATTAGGAAAAAAATAGTATTAATATGCAACATTTACATAAATAGGTATATTAAAAGTAGAAGAGTAATATGATTTATAACGTGTAAAGTGTAAGAGTGAAGACAGACTTCACAAGTATACTCTTATTACAAGTGTTATCTAATTTATCGGAGGAAGTACCTTCGTATATAAATGTAGGTATCTCAATATCGCGCAGATTTCCCTAGAATTTATCTAAGACTTTTATAATATGTTATTTGGAGAGAGAGAAAGAAAGAGAGAGATTACTGTAATACTTGCCGGTAGGGACTCTGCACAAATCTGGTGCTCATTGCAAATTTTTATTAAATGTCACTTACAAATTACTTTATAATTAGAAGGAAAAATTATGAACTAAATATTCATATAATATGTAGGTACTATAAGTGAAATTGGTGTTATCTTTTAAACCAGCGTAACACAGTAACTTCATCTAAAATATTGTAGTACTTCTTTGCCTGACCGTTAAAAAATATTATAAATATTGACTTTTCTAAACTTTAAATCTATACATATAATAAAATTTTAACAAAGTCAAATCTGTACGTTAAATATTTTTTTGAAAATCTTAATGAAATAGACATTATTATCGATACGGAAGCCGAATCTACAGTTTTTAGAATTTTTCTGTCTGTCTGTCTTAATAGACAGACAGACAGAGAAAAACAGTGGTTTTTCTGGTTAAAAACCACTGAAGGGATTTTAATGAAATTTGGTATGGTTATAGCTGGTTATCCGGGTCAAGATATAGGATACTTTTTATTGCGGGAAAATATCTTATTTCTGAGAAAAAATACAAAAACTGGTTAGAATAAAACTACAATGATAGTATATACCTACCTGAAATTGGTATATATGGTAGGTATACTAATACGTAAAACCTAAGAATTTGGTTTTTGGTAATCTGAACGCGGGTGGAGCCGCGGGCAATGGTTGTATTTTAAAAACACCTCTAGTATCAAATTGCTGAACTATATAAATAAGGGATATTAGAGAAAAAAGTATTTTTTCAAACAGTCGAAAATATAGAAGTCAAATAAAATATGTACAGATTTACAATATTAACATAAGGGTGTATGTGTTTATCAGTATTTTAATTTTATCCACGATTTACATAATTTTATTCACAGATATGTAATACTAATAAGTCTGTAATATCAAATAATAATATTGTGTATTTTATACATAGTGACTCTTAGTCTATGACGTGTGAGATGCATCTGTATTCTGTGATCTCTTTTTAATCTGTACTCTGTACTCTGTGTCTGTGGTCTATCGTCTTGCGTCAATCAATCGTCATTGCAGTTGGTTGGCCTTTGGCCTAGTTGTTATTTATTGTTCTAATATATGTCTTAAACTCTAAAACTAAACAAATGTAGGTCTGTACTGTAGTCTACTTCAGTAGTTTTTTATAAACCTCTTTTCATTTTTAATTTGGACATGCGGTAATTACACGATAAAATGCCTAGTATGAGAAAATACCGACGTGACACAACCGAAGTCAGCTGTTGTTTAAAATATGTAATTTTTGGTGTAAATGTATTATTTTGGGTAAGTTGTCCGCATGAAAAACTGTATAACAAAGATATAACAAAAATCATTTTATTTGTAAGATTTAAAAGTTATAATGTTTTTGTACTAAAGTCAAGGCTACATTCACTTTAACGGAACTAGGAAATACTTATTATCTACTTAACTTCTTTACAAATAAAATTATTTTTTTTAACTTCAATAGACAATATAAATGTGGTTTTAAATAATTACAGTTATACGACTTTATAATTTCTTTGGAAAGTATTTGTAAAATATAATAACAAATCTATTTGATACAATGTAAATTAAAAAGTATTAAAATGAGTGCCATAAGTTATATAATTAATAAATATATAAAATATCTAATATTCATTATTTATTAAAAAATATATACCAGAAAAAAAACAGGTTATTGTGACAACTTCTTTGTCTTTTTACAGTTTTTGGGTCTAATTGTATTGGCCATAGGTGTGTGGGCTTGGTCTGAGAAGGATACTTTCAATAATCTTTCTCGCTTGACAAATATTGCTTTGGATCCTGCATTTATTTTGATATGTGTTGGTGAGTTATTTGTTTATTTTTTGCTTTCTAAGTCAATTGGTCTGTGATTTATAGCAAGTGATATATCTAATGAAGGGAAAGGGAAACTAGCTTCTTTTTCTAATTTTAAAATGCAGTCTTATAAGAATTAAAAATTATTCTTTGAGGCTTCCTTAAGTAATGAGCCTAAAATTATTATAATAGTATATTACAATGTGAATCTAAATCCCCTTCACATATGTGTTACTATTTTTGTATTATGTAATAATAAATTTATTAGATATAATCACTTGGAATACTCAACTTTATAATGATATATTAACCAAGTAAAAATGCAAAATATATGCAAACTGTAATTTTTGGAGCAAATAGAGAACATTGAGCATGCTCTGGTTTTTATTGCCTCATCTTTAAATAGTATAAAATGAAGTTGCTACCGCTGTCTGTTCACTTGGATTTTTTAAACTATTAAACGGATTTTAATGCAGTTTTCAGCTATAGATAGAGTGATTCAAGAGAAAGGTTTATATGTATAATTACATGTATATTATAGTATAGAAAAGCTCAGAAGTTCAAAGATTTGTATTTCATACTAACCGTTAAAAGTTAAAACGTAATGAAATAGTCTAACATCACGCTACCACCTCTAGTAGAGGAACAATCTGACATCACGCTACAACCTCTAGGAGAGGAACAATTATACATATAAATAAATTTATCAGGTGAAGTTGTGGGCAGTGGCCAGTCTAGAATGTCACTTTATAATACTTTTTTAACAATGAGTTTAAATTAAAATGTAAATTAACTTATTCATATTCAATTGTAAAACAAACTACAAAATTGACCCTAATAGAAACACCAACCAAACCAAATACTGTGAAGAAATTGATTCACGACTTTGTAAATTGTACCTACTAAAAGTTTGAATATAATGTAGTCCCCAGTCTGCACCTCATTTTGATATGCAACATCAGCTATTATTACTATGTATGTAGGTATAAATCTATACATATAATAAAATTTTAACTAAGTTGAATCTGTACATTATTTATTTCGTTGAAAATGTTATTGAAATAGACATAATGATCGATACAGAGATCAAATCTATAGTTTTTAGAATTTTTGTGTGTCTGTTACCACATCACAGAAAAATTACTAGAGGGATTTTGATGAAATTTATTATGGTCATAGCTGGTTATCCAGGTCAACATATACGATACTTTTTACCGCGGGAAAATATCTTATTTCTAAGAAAAAATACAAAAACTGGTTAGAATAAAACCACGATGATACTATATATATTTTAGCAAGGTAACTTACTAAATAAGGCAAAAACTATTAAAAATAGCTTATCTTGAAAAAAAAAATAACAATAGCACTATTTTATTTGGTTTTTGCTTTTGATCATCAGAACGTAGTAGGAGCCGCGGGCAATGCTAGTATGATATAAAATAAAGTGTAAATGTCCTCTAGATCAATAATTGTTCTACAAAAAAATGTTTATATTGAAAGAGCCATATAAAATAATTTGCATTGCATAATGTGATGTTATTGTTTATTATTTTTATTACTTTCAGGTACAATAACATTCATAATTGGCTTCACGGGATGCGTCGGCGCCTTGCGTGAGAACACGTGCTTGTTAGCGTGTGTAAGTTATTATACATATTATTTAATTGATGTTTTATCTAACCTTAGTATGTATGACCTAGACATATATTGTTTTGTGAAATATTTGTATGTATTGTTACAATAAACGTTAATTATTATATAGAGTTTAAGGTTTGCGTAACTTGTATGTAGGAACTTGTGAGGTAGGCTTAAAATTCTTTCTTCATAGGAAGGGACACAACAGTGTCATATTGACATTAGGGTACTTTGCCGATTTATCCAGTTGGTTCGTGTCCTTTGTTATTTACATAGATTTAATCATTTATTATTAATGGTAATGACTAATAATTTTAAAATTGTGGTAGGTAAAAATCGAGTCGTATGGATTGGATTCACTATATACCCGCGGCTTCGCTCGCGCTAAAACTACAGAAAAATCTCTAAATAGGTAGTTTCATACAAACTTTCATCCCCTATTTTACACCCTTATAGAATAAATTTCAAAAATGCTATAACACGTACTTATTTAATTTTATTGAAGAGCATTAATACCAAGTTTCAAGTAATTCTGATCATAAATATTTTTTTGGATTGTATTAAAACGTGTTTCCCTGTGGGAATTAGATAATCGCCCGCGGTAAAAAGTAGCCTACGTCACTCTCCAGCCCTTCAAATATCTCCTCACAAAAACTCACGCCAATCTATCACGCCGTTTCGACGTGAAAGAAGGACAAACAAACACTTTCACATTTATAATATTAGTATGGATATTCGTTTCATTGGTTCGGTAACGTTATAGATCTTAGCGAAAACTGCATTAGTTTCGATCGACGTCTATCGTGGAGGCACCACATAAAAACTAAGAGGTGTGAGGTCGATATCAAATTCAAGTACCTGCACTGGATGATCATGGGTCAAAACAAATTAAGTCTCGACAGTAAGTTATTGATATACAAGATTGTACTAAAACCTGTTTGGCTCTACGGAAATCAATTATGGGGAAGCGCCTGCAGATCCAATATCACCGTGATTCAAAGAGCACAAAATACAATACTGCGATCAATTGGCTAAGCGCCGTGGTTTATCACCAATAATGAAATCCACGAGAACCTCACGGTGGATACTATAGCTGATGAAATAAAATAATACAAAACTAAGTATCGCGGCCGACTAGAGGCATCCAAATGATCTCGCAACTGTCTTAACAAAAAGAAGTTACACAAAGAGACTGACTCCTATAATCCTAGGTCTTTCAAACGAAGCGTGAAAAAGGACCTGTGTACGCCTACTAGGTGGGGTTGATTGGTACCAAGATGTTGTACCGGAACCAAACGATCTCATTCCTGGATTCCACTGTCGCTTAACATCTGATAGCATGGAGTCATCTCGTCGACTATCAATAAAAAAATTGAAAAGGGTACCTCTATCCCAGATTATTAAAAAAAATATATATGTATGGAGTAGATGGTCCAGTGGAGCCACGCTCTTACTGTAAAAAATTAAATCTTAGAACATATCAGCTATAAGTAAATACTGGTCGCAGATTTCCTTACAAAAAAAAAAGAGTTTGTTCAGTAGTTTTTGATATAAGTGCATACAAACGTACAGACAGAAAGACACACTTGTAGTTTTTATTATGTACAGAGATGATTAACTTAGTTATTGATTTTAAAAACAACTTGTTACAGTATGCAGTGTTCCTTGCTCTTCTTCTGTTAGCTGAGATGACTGCTGGAATACTGTTCTTTGTTTTTAAAGACTGGGTAAGCATTGTTATTGTTTTTATTCTCTGGTCAAATTGATGTTAAAGAATTAGAATAACAGTATTTTTATACCTATTGGTTATCCCTTGCATACAATAATCGCTCTCGGATTCATCTGGGTGTATATTTGAAAGTACTAAATATGGCCACTGTATTAGTGTTTCGACGAATAGCGGGAATGAGGCAGGGGTGACATGGTTTAGGTACTCTTTATCTATAATCAATACATATAATAAAATTGTAACTAAGTCGAATCTGTACATTAAATATTTTTTGGAAAATCTAATTGAAACAGACATTATTATCGATACAGAGTCCGAATCTATAGTTTTTAGAATTTTTGTCTGTCTGTCTATCTATCTGTTACCGCATCACGAGAAAACCACTGGATAGATTTTGATGAAATTTGGTATGATGGTAACTGTTTATCCGGATCAACATATAGGATACTTTTTACCGCGGTAAAATATCTCATTTCTGAGAAAAAATACAAAAACTGCATTGTAAGAGTATACTAATATGTAAAACCTACGACTTAGGTTTTTGGTCATCTGAACGCGGACGGAGCCGCGGGCAATGCTAGTAATATTATAAAGAGGTAAAGTTTGTTAGTTTGTAAGGGGTAATCTCTGGATCAAAGACATTTTGAGACCCTGGGAAGGACATGGATACTTTTTATTCCGGAAATCATTCATTAAGGGGCTGAAATGGAGATGAAAGTTTTATGGGGAACCAACCTAGGGGCGAACCCGAGCGAAGCGAGGGTGAGTCGTTAGTATTATAAATTGGTAGTAGTTGGAAATTTTATTAGGGAATAATACGAGAGATTTAAAAAAAACGATAGCATTATTATCACAGAACTTTTGATTTTCATAATTTAGCTTATGTCCGCGGTCACTGTACCGCTCTTAGGGGTTGTAGCCATGCTGCGATCCTTAGAGAATAGAATAGACCAACGATGCGGCGCTTAAACGCTAGCTAGTTATAAAGTTATAATTAACTAGCAGTACCTATACGCGGCTTCGTCCGCGTCCCAACTTCGGATATAAACATTAATTTTACAATAATGTATAGAAGTCTGCCCCATTTGTTGACATTTATGATTACTGCTCCGCTCCCTCGGGTAGTAGCATAATGATAGGTATATAGCCTATAGCCTTACTCAATAAACGGGCTATCTAATGCAAAAAGTATTTTTTAAAAATCTGATTAGTACTTTATGAGATTAGCGCTTTCAAACAAACCAACTCTGTCTTTTTATAATATTAGTATAGATAAGCATATAGTGTTTGAATATTAAAATCTCGAAGAATAATATCTACATGGTATAAAGAATGAAAGTTTATATGAAAATTTTATTCGTATGTTAAAAATATTATAATGCAAGCGAAGCTGTAGGCAAGGACCAGTATGAAGTTTAAAAATATTTTGAAACAGTTCTTATTTATCTTTATAAAACTAACTGTTCTTATCAATGAGGCATAAAAAACTACATTAAAAACTACACTAATGGTTGGTAACCTGATCGAATCGATTATGCTAACATTCTGTACGTAAATCTTTCTAAGATAAAGGGATACTTATTTGTTTTTATAATGAAACTAGCGCGTACTTTTGTCTACGTCTGTGTGTATATGAACCTCTTTAGTTTTGTGGCTAGTGTGTACGGCTAAAGATACGGAGATCTTGGGTTCGAGTCAAGAAGGCATCTGGAAATGTCTTCTTGCACAGTCTACGTAGGAAATATGGTGTATAAGTGTGTACGCAAATATAAGTTGATTTTCTACTCCTTTCACTCTTAAACTTTCGTTGAATGAATATTCCAAACGACCCATGATAGATCAGGTGCAGGTTCCACAGCTTTATGTACTCTTCTAAGTACGGGTGTAGATTTGGCCCGGACCGGGAATCAAACCCTTTAGAATTTTTTACAGTCGTACAGGAAGCAGTCTACTTACTAATATTATAAAAAAATATGTTTGTTGGTTTGTCCTTCTTTTATATAGCAACGGATGAACGAGATCTTTTGCATTAAGTTGATAGACGGGGAAGTTAATTTAGATCTTGGTTATTTTTACGATCTCTGTGGCATAATAATTAATTTAATTATAAAAAATACTAAATATAAACACGCGATGGTATTTAGGGCCTTATGAAGAAAAAGCAAATAGATAGCCGTTAATATTAGGTACTTAGAATTAACACGTTTACTGTCCATGACCCACATGTGGGTTATGACAAGTTACAACAAGACGTCTGTGCCATTCATATGGGTCACTGGCCCTCTTAAACATAATAGGCTCCTATTACATGGATGGTATAGAAACTAACTTGTATTGTACATGGACGTATAAGCTATTATATAGGCAGAATAAAAAAGCAATGAGCCATCGATAATGGAATGCTCGCCAAATTTCATCATCTCACACCGATCTATCCATTGTTAGTAAGAAAAATTCGAGATTTTCACAAAATAAACGTAAATGCCATACAGATTTATTTTCGAGAAAGTAAGGTTATATCTGTCAAAACTGTCGTATGTCGCTAATTAGGTGGCCGTAAATCCCCTTTACCCACAGATAACGCAAGATTTTTTCCATATTTCACCTCTTACGGTCATATCACACGAGTGTGTCACTATTCACTAAATTTTCAGCTTGTACGTCCGTGAAATATATGTGGGTCATCATAAAAATGGGGGTTAAAGGGTTCCCCCTTAATTTTTATAGCCTTTATGGACTTGAGGTGGCATAAAGGCAAGTATCTCAGTACATACGAACGAAAAAATAAATTAGACGTGGAGCTAATTTCAACAATTTTGGCTGGACAGTGAACGTGTTAAGATACAAATGCCATAACACAGCCATATTTTTTGACTTTTATTCCATATTGCCACAGTGTAAAGAGATTATATAAATAATTGCGTTGCGTTGGAAGACTACATTAGAGATATTAAACTGTTGCTAAATTGCTTTGGCTTCAGAATCATGTGAATGCTATTCAACGAGATAATGGATTTATTCATTGCACAATAAGTACATTTAATCATGACCTTCGTCTTACACTACACAGATGCAATCAACAGTATTGTTTTATTTTAAACGAAATATATATTTTTTCTACTTAATGTTAATTTCTTATAAGTAAATATGCTTACGATATACTCGAAACCAATGCCTTTAAAGTTAACAACAGTTTTATAATTATTATTTTGCTACATGCTTAAATATCCATAAAGCTATGAACTTCGGTTTAGCTTTTTATATTTATATTTATTATACATTACTTGTGTGTATTCGACTTTTTACGTTGGATGAAATAAAAAAAACGCTCCTAATTTTTTAATTTTTGCTCAATAATTTACACCAATCTCACTGAGACTAGCCACAAGTGTGCGTTTAAGCAGAAATAAACACTGTTCGTTTCACTCTAAAATCTGATGGGATAATGATTCCATACTACTGGTGAGACATCAGGCTCAAGACCGAGGCTTACGTGCTCTACCTCGCCAAAGGGGTGCAACATAACCAAATTCCGAACTCCGTACTGCTACTGAGAATTTCTTCTGATAGAATAATCCAATACTTATAATATTATACATTGCCCGCTTTAAGATTCGAACCGAGGACTTCCGAATATGCAATTGTTCACGCTAGCCACTAGACGAACGAGCCAGTCACTTTTTGCTTATACTTAATTTGTTTAGTTATCCGCTGTAAAGAAATATTCTGTTGAGGTACTTGCTACCTATTAAGGTTCATCAGCCCTAAAAGGTAGGAAAGATGGACCGGCAGATAATGTAGGGCTAGTGGTAGTGTCTTGTCTTGACCCTTACGACATGGAATTCTAAAAACAAACTAGTTTATCTTTAATAATGTACTAATTTAAGAAAAAATATTTTCTATAAATAAATACAGTGAAATGCGTATAACATATAATATGTTTGTAGATAAAACAACAAGCAACAACCGGCTTTCAATCTTTCATCACGAACTATAGAGCGGATCCTGACCAACAGAACTTGATAGATTGGATACAAGAAGATTGGGTTAGTACTATTTACATGTATACATTTATGTATGTATTATTTCTATAGTTATACATCTTAATATATATACTTCTGAACGTGTGTGTTTGTCACATACTCCTTCTAAAGAGCTGAACCAATTTGGATGAAATTTTGTGTGTATATTTCAATGGGCTCCTGGATGGTTTGAAAACACAATTGGACCCGGTAGATGGCGCTGCTGTTGGTGTGTTAAAGAGTTTTTTTTAGTAGTTTAAACGCGGGCGAAGCCGCGGGTACTCCTAGTAATGCTTTATAAAAAATAATGCAAATGCTTAATTTAAAAAAATAAAATTATTACTTTAAAAACAAACGTAGTAACGCTATCTATCGACACTAATAATAATGACTACATAATAATATGCTACATAATTATGTCAACTATGGTCAAAGTTGATTAAATAATTCCGACCGAGCCACAGTGCATTGCAAGAGGATTGGTATTGGTAGCCCATTGGTGACGCGATCGCTTGGAAAACCAAATGGACCGGGTTCAAATCCCGTGTCTTGCACGTCTGATATTCTCATGTTCGAATCATTTTCAACATGATTAACACTTGCTAATACGTTAAAGGAAAACATTTTGACTAAATCTGCATGTCTGACAGATCCTAGCAAGTTTTTGAAAGACACGTGAAGTCCGCCGACCCGTACTTGGTCAGAGTGGTAGACTGTGGTCTGATCCCCTCGTTTTGAAGGGAGACCCATGCCCAGCAGTGGGACGTTAAAAGGGCTGAATACGAAATAATCTGTGGTTAAGATCTGGGGCAGCCGGGCATGTACTCTTAAGTCGTATATAATAATGATCAAAAGAAATATTTAAGATATTTTCCACTTTATTATTTTGTATAAGCAACATCGTAGTGAACGTTTCATGTTGCTGGGCAGTGGGATGTTAATAAGTACCTAAATCTATATAAATATTATAAATGTGAAAGCTTGTGAGTATGTATGGATGTTTGTTACTCTTTCACGCCAGAACGGCTGAACGGATCTGGATGTAATTTGGCACAGAGATAGATTATAGTCTGGAATAACACATAGGCTACTTTTAATCCCGGAAAAATATACGGTTCCCGAGGGATAGATTTGTTTTTGTTTTTAATATTAGTGTATAATATTTAATTATTTTATTCAATGATTTAAATTGTTTCAGTTACAATGTTGTGGTGTGGAAGGCCCTCGGGATTGGGATAGGAACGATTATTTCAACTGCTCGAGCGGCGCCGTGGGCTCGCGCGAGGCGTGCGGCGTGCCTTTCAGTTGCTGCAGGAACAAACCCCAAGACATTATACGCAATAAACAATGTGGATACGATGTTAGGAAACCGACTTATGTAAGTATGATTTTTATTGTTATGAAGTACACGTTAAGTGACATCTATATATGTATATAATTATACACATTTGCTATATATATAAATAAAATTGAAGTGTTTGTCTGTGACTTGAAAATAACACTGTTTTGAGAGTACATAGTGTTATATATATGATACCATTAACATTCTGTTTGTTCGGGTAATGTTTGGAATCGATTGTAATGTCAGTTTTACTGAAAGATAGAGGAGTAGGGCTACATATAGGATACCTACGTTTAATTCTGGGAATATTTAGAATTTAAGGAAATTTATTTGAAAAACCTTAAAAATTGTGCATTTGAGTTTACGATTTTACGAAAAAGTCCGCGATAGCATGTATATATATCGCCTAAGGTACATTCATAATAACTATTTTTATCTATTTAAAACGATCTGGATGAACTCGAGCAAAGCGAGAGTAAGTCGCTAGTCTATACATCTATACTCTATACATCTCAGATAAGTAAAACACATATAAATAAAAATGAAGTGTCTATTTGTAATATCAAACTAAAAGCTTTTTAGTAAATGCATATGAAATTATATACGGTATTTATAAAAAAACGCAACTTTCATAATTTTGTCTGTCTGTCTGTTTGTTCCTGCTAATCTTTGAAACAGCTGGACCGACTTTAACGAAACCTTCACTGGTAGATAGCTGATGTTATAAGGTGTAATTTACGCTACTTTTATTTTAGAAAAAGGATTAGGGTTAGGGTTCCGCTTATAAAAATTAAACCGTACCATAGAAACGCACCCGAGCGAAGCGATGGTAAGTCGCTAGTATGTAATATATACACTAAAATGACTTTTGCTATACTATTGTCTAATATATCTAAACTTATCTGATAAATCTCCAACCACCTATAGTGTAGTAATACTACAATATCAGACAATTTCCGCGTTTGCCAAATTCTTAGTTTTGTTTGCCTTGTGGAAGTACTGCTGTAGTCTATTGATTTAATCCCGTTAGTATTAATTTGATGGAAAACTCGCCGTCAAGGGCAAAAAGACCAAAAAAATTCATTATTTCATTCATTCTTTTTCATCACAATCAGTATTTGTATTCAGCCCTTTTTAACGTCCCACTGCGGGCGCGGGCCTCCCTTCAAGACGAGGGGGATCAGGCAATAGTCTATAACGCTGGCCAAGTGCGGGTGTGCAGACTTCACATGTCTTTCGAAAACTTGCTAGATTCTGTCAGGCTTGCAGGTTTCCTCTCCATGTTCTCTTTCACCGTAAGGCGAGTGGTAATCATGTTAGAAATGATTCGCACATGAAAATATCAGAGATGCGAGACTCGGGATTTAAACCCGCTTCACTCGGTATCCCAAGCGAGCGCGTTACCATTGGGCTACCAGTGCATCATCAATCAATCAGTATTTATATACATATAATACATATTATGTATGTCCTATGGCGAAAACATAGCTGACGATAAAAAATAAAATTTTCGTTGACAGAACATTCACTCAATAATATGCTATTTGTTTAAGTAAGAAACGTGCGATTATTACATTGAAAAGCCCTCAAACTTTTACAGTACCTATATGATAATATGTACTTGTAAGTACATTTTTATAGATTTTAAAATATTTTGAAGCTTTACGCAACTCTATCCACAAAATTACATCTCGTATTGCGTTGAGGAATAAAATACAAATTTATGATAAAGAAAATATTGTCGTAATGTATATATGTATATATAATAAAATCCTAACCAAGTCGAATCCGTACATTAAATATTTATTGGAAAATTTTATTGAAATAATCATTATTATCGGTACAGAAACCGAATCTATATTTTTTAGAATTTTCGTCTGTCTGTCTGTTTGGAAACGTATCACGAGAAAATTACTGGACAGATTTTAATGAAATTTGGTATGATGATAGCAGGTTATCCGGGTCAACATATATGATACTTTTTGCTGCGAGAAAATATCTTCTCTGAGAAATCTGTACTAACCGTTAAAACGTATCGTAATAATTTATAAGAAAATTAAATACTCTTTGTAGAATCTAAACATTTATTATAAAATAAAAGAGACTGACTAAAATGAAGTTGTTATTGTCATTAAATACGACCAAAGTCACCTGCCTACATTACTTATACAAAAAATGTCTTTACTTAAAGGTATTTTTTGTATACGTAATGTCAACTTATAGTATACTTATAGTAGTATAGTCAACTCTGAATAAATTAGTGTCAAAAGAGTAAATTCGCACGTTACGTTTTCCAATATATCATGATTAATTAAAATAAATTAAAATTAAATTCGCCTTTGTCTAATTTAAATACTCATCTAAATTACTAATACTAATTTAAATTTAAAATGTTATTTACACTTTTGAACTGAATAATAATAATTTTCCTTGTAGTGACTACCTTAAGTAGTAGTACTCAGTATAACATCCACAACCGTCAAGTATTAGCATCAAAAAATATTTTATCCTTCAATTCAATTTTGTATATCAAGTTTTGTTTATCTAATTACTAAAGATTGGGGTGGCTCAAAAAAAAAACAAATATTTTTTTTCGAGTCTAACGAAAATATGTTAGTTTATCATGTTTTAAGAGCCCCCTCCAAAGCGCAGTTCAAAAAAAATAATAAGAGGTCGCTCAAAATTTTAAAAAATATCCAAAATCGTAGAAAATCGTTTTTTTCTTTTTTCTCGTTATTTCACTATTTTTCTCCCTAGTTATTTTTTAACGTTTAGTATAAATTTCTCAGAGATGAGATATTTTCCAGCAGTAAAATCTAAAAAGTATCCTATATGTTGACCGTGATAATCAGCTATCATCATACCAAATTTCATCAAAATCTGTCGTTCTGGTGAGATTTTCTGATGAACAGACAGACAAAAATTCGATAAACTACAGATTCGACCTCTGTATCTACAATTATTACAATTTCAATAAGATTTTCCAAAAAAATATTTGATGTACAGATTCTATTCCGTTCATTTCATTTCACTATTTTTTCTCCCTAGTTATTTTTTAACGTTTAGTATAAATTTCTCAGAGATGAAATATTTTCCAGCAGTAAAATCTAAAAAGTATCCTATATGTTGACCGTGATAATCAGCTATCATCATACCAAATTTCATCAAAATCTGTCGTTCTGGTGAGATTTTCTGATGAACTGACAGACAAAAATTCGATAAACTACAGATTCGACCTCTGTATCTACAATTATTACAATTTCAATAAGATTTTCCAAAAAAATATTTGATGTACAGATTCTATTCCGTTAGAATTTTATTGTGTATAGATTGTAATGCTTTGTAGTATACCTGAATCAACTAAATCAAATATGAGATGAATGACGAGAGGAATTGGACAGCCCTAATTCGGTTAAGGAGTAAAATTATGAAAATGACATGTCGGGATTAATTCAGACCATTTCTAACAGAAATAAGTTAAATATTAAATATTTTGTTAAATGAAAACAACTCAAAATAAGAATTGCTCAATACAAAGTTTTAAGGCTATCTATCTGGCTGGTCCGAATTTTACAGATTTTAAACAATAAACAAGCAAATAGTGATTGTTTCAAGCCAAAACAAATATTTTATAGTTTGCTTTATGTACTTTGGCTATTTTAGGTTCAAAACATAATATCGAAAATTCACTTGTTCAAAATAAAGTCGGTAGAGAAGGCTAATTCGATAATTTTTTTGATGTTTGTCTTATCGTTCTTAATGCTTATGAAATGCTTTATTTCCAAAAAAAATATCTAAAAAAAGTAATAATATATATAATAGTTTATAGAAGAGTAAGCTCAGGTTACTTTTTGTAAAATAGTTTTATTCTTTTAACAATAAAATATCTATATATATTATAGAACAAAGTCCCCCACCGCGTCTGTCTCTGTGTGTCTGTCTAAAAAAACAACCGAACAGATTTTCGTACGGTTTTCACCAATGGAGGAGTTATTCATAAGGAAAGTTTAGGTGTATAATTCATTGAGGTTTTGTGTAAATTGCCTGAAATATGATGATGAGTGTTGAAGATTTCGGAAAAAATCATGTTGAATGGGAGATTTACTGGCGCCATGTAAACTATTGCAGCAAATATGTCTATCTTTTAAGGGGCATTCACAATAACCATTTTGATGGCTCTCCAATTGGGTCTAAAATATTGCTTTATTTGCGAAGGTGTTCTTACCGGCATGGTGTTAATCCTTATCTAAATAAATATGTTAGACAATTTAAGCACTTAATTTAGATCGAAACAGGCCTTTACACCATTTAAATTACTTGAATACCTTAGAAGATAGATCGAGGAGGGTCCTAGCATGTCAACGACGTTGATCTTTTTTTCTGTTTGTTTTTTTTTCATTTTATGATCATTGTTGGTTACAACAATAAATAGATACCTACTTATTTTGAAATCGATTGTAGTAAATAGGTTTTTTTGTAATTATTTTTTTCGAGTGAATTCTATTGGTGGCAATTATTATTAGTCATTTGTTTTGTTTTATACAAATTTATTACGGAACTATTGGTACCTACCTGAGCGAAGCGAGGGTAAGTCGCTGTGCGGAATGTAATAGTAAGTCTGCTGCGTAGGACCTGTGGACCCTCTAATTTATCGAACTATTCAATTTATATTCCTTGAACTAAGTGTGAAATAAAGGTCAATGTTTGCTTTTTTGTTTGTTTTTTTTAGTCAACAGACGTTTAGGAAAAAAAAAAGAAAATATAAATTGTGGAAGAAATTAGGAAAGTTTGTTTACTAATTTAGTTATTACTATTTATTTAAATAATTATGTGTGTATGTTTGTAGGTTTGTATGTGTGTACGTGTATGTTTCTTAAAAAAATCTCTGAATCGATCGAATGGGGTATAACAATACAGGGTTTAAGAGGCCATTACAAAAATATTTACAACTAATCTGTTTAAAAGTAATTTAGTATAAGAAGATGTTAAATAGAACTAAAAATGAAGTAAAAAGTTATGAATTATAAAAAAATATACAGAAAAAATCCTGACTGCATAAAAAGCCAATTAAAAACAAGAGAACAAGTGGACAAAGAACCTTTATTTACCTTTGATGATATATGAATAAGAATAGTTTAATTATTTATATGAAATGCTTGCTACCAGAGCTGTTGGACAGAAGATATGAACGTGGTATGCATTAGAGATCTGGCATTGCAAGATATATGGTATTAGTAAAACATAATATGGTCCAATAGATGCACATGTCGTCACTCGATTGCATGAGGCGTTTAATGCCGCATATTTCGCCCGTTCTACCTGGCCCTAAACACCTCCAATTCTGAGAAAAATTGATTTTTATTTTAATAATAAAAAATCTACAAACAGACTTAACAACATAAAATCTTCAATAAATCAAAAAAGAACTATAACTATTTTTTCTTTACTTTCTTACGAGGCCCATTTGTATATTAAATCTAGTTAATAATATTACAGTATAAAATTCCATAAAGTAGGTATTTAATTTTGACTGGCTGTCAAAACACCAAATTTCATATCCATTGGTTCTGAAATAAAAACACTATCATCATCGTGCACTTTCGCAGCAAGTTATAATTATCAACCCTAAAGCTGTTTGTTTATATAGGATTTACTTTTTTCTTTACACATTATAATTTAATATAGTTTAATGATCTTATTTTACCGACCAATCTCCTTCGTGTCTTCTCCATTCTACGTGACATTGGCGAATTGGCATTAACAAGAAAATTGAAGTGAAAACAGTTTCCCGACTGTCATATATGACAGTCATGTGCGTCTCCCGCTCACGCTTGTCTAAATACCTTCGTTAGACAAAAGTATGGATTAGTAGATTGTAAATTTGGTCTTGGAAGGTGAAAGTGAATATAAAGTGGTGTATAGCAATCGAGCGAGCGCGTGATCCACGAGCGCGGGTGTCTCGCGGCCGGTGAAGATTGGCTGCAGCGTAACTTCGTCCCCGTGGCCGCCGCCGTACTAGGACCCTTAGCGTTGAAGGTTCTGCCCATGAAATGTATTGAAGTTATACTTTAAAGGCTTTGTTGTGTTTAACCGACTTGAAAAAAAAGTTATCTATCTATTTTGGTGATTTTTTTATGTATGTTACACGGTTGTTGCGGGAAATGTGTTTTTATTTTAAAATAGCCCGAGGTGTTTGTCAAGAAAAGCTCCATCATCTATCTATGGCGAAATAATTACTTTAAAAAGTAATTATGTCGTTAATGTCATATTTTGAAGGCTAATGAAATATAACTTCAATATACGCGTGTATTATTTTATAGCACAGCTTTTTGTATATAGCAAGATAGATTATTATTATTGGTAATTTTTAAATATCGCCTACGTGTTGTACTTGTGCTTACACTGTTTTTGAAATATTTTGTTCCATACATATTACATACATATGTGAAATGTTAAAAGTAAAAAATAGAGTGAGATTTTGTTGTTTATGTTACTATTCTATTTGTATATCTTTTACTTTAAGAATACGAAAAATTTTACGTATTTAAAATAATACTATATTCTTTTGTATTTTTCGGAGTATTAGTTCTCTTCTCATTGAAAGAGAGATAGCATAATATTAACATATTTCTTTTATAATATACCTAATGAAATTTGTTAGCTATTTTTATTTATTAACATTTATTTACTTATCACATAAAGAGTATTCTATTAATATTTATATAACGTTTTAAAAGATTATATATTATTTTAAAACATTATTGTTTGGCTTCATGTTTAGTTCTATGATGCTCTGTCTATATTATTCCTTAGTCTGAGGTCATTCATATATAAAAACATAGATACACATTTCCTAACAAATATCTCTTCAAAAACTGACGTCGACATGTGACGTCAAGTCAAATTAAATAACAAATAAAAAAAAAACGAATATTCTAATTGTCTTATCACAAATTCGAACTTGCACACACCACATGACGTACTTTTTTAAACAAAACGTGACTTTTAATTTTATCATCCGAAAAGCACTGATTAAAAGAGGCGTGAAAAAAGCGCACAAATTCGAATTTTGCGCTTTTTTTGAGGACATTTGAGACGCTAATTGTGTATCTTGAGTTTTCGTATATCAATCTCAGAATCAGTCTGAGGTACATATTGTATGTATTTGCTGTGCAGTAGTCGTGTTGTTTACGTTTAGTTCTCTTTTGTTTTAGAGTTTTGACATAGCTAAGATAATATATGACAAGGGTTGCCTTGAGGCCGCCGAAGAGTGGTTCGACAATAATCTGTTGATAGTAGCCACGTCTGCTGTTTGTACCGCTTTTGCACAAGTAAGTTTTATTTTGTAGGTGCACCTTTTCTTTTTATTATTTGTACTTTTCAGAGTAAAAGTGACCTAAAACAAAATTTTATGAAAAATTGTTAGTTTTTGATAAGAAATGATTTTGTATGACAGACATATAACGTATGTGAATCTTAATTATATATAATGATTTTATTATTTGTAAAATGGTTTGAAATATGGGTCACTTTTACGACTAAGGCTTGTTTGAATGTGCTATTGCTTGAAGCATCAAAAATATCAGTGTTGTACATTGTTTGTATATCAGTTTTTTTTAAATTATATTTTAATTAATGCCTATTGTAAAGAAATATTCAGGTTTATTATCATCTACAAAATATCACAGATTATGCATTTATTCATTTTGTGGGTAATATTTAATATTTAAAGTATTACACGAATCAAACAACTGTGTATAAATTGCAACTAAATAAAAATTAATTTAAGCTATAATGCCAAAGAGAAGATAAAAACTGAGTCTATACTCTATTATGTATATTTCTGTTATCATCATAAGGGTAAAAATTATGAACATTTGGCGTGTATACAAAAATAATAAGCACCATAATTTTAGATAGATTTATAATTGTATATTTAAATTTCGTACATCTATTCATATCAGAGATTAACATATTCTCTTATTATTATTTTCTAATTGTAAAGTTGAAATAATTTAATATTTATTCCAATTATTCCCAGATTCTCGGAATATGTTTCGCTCAAAATCTTAGAGCGGACATATTCGCGCAGAAAGCGAAGTGGTACTGACAATCAGCATCTCCTGCGGCCGTGTGAGACACACCCGCGACGCGCTCCGCCTGCCGGTAATCAACCTTTCAATCTATCAACCATTATCAACCTTTTAACCTTCAATCATTTTTTAGCTTTAAATTTGAATTTATTTCATAATATTACTTCAGATATGGTCTCGATGATTAATTTGTTATCTTATGTAGTGAATGACTTGTTAGATGTATGTATATATAAATAAAACATTTTAATTTAACAAAGCTGGAAACGAAACTCGCATTAGGGTTTTTTATATATTATCTCAAAAATATTTGTGTTAATGTGTATAATAAGCTAAATATGTGTTTGCGCATCATTACATTCTATTACTATCGAATCGTCGAGAATTAATGGTATTATAATATTATAAAGTATTACTTTCTAACTTACAGTATTTTTTATGTAAAAAGATTCTTATTGTGTCCTTGATTGATCAATTTATCAATTCTTGTATTATAAGTTGATGAGATTAATAACTTTGTTTGATCAATACACTACTTATTATTTACTCTATAATTATAAATTTTTTATTATTTTATATAATCTTTGAATCTCGTTTAATTGAAATTGTTTTTATAGAAAGTTTTTTAATGGCTATATTATGTTAAATTTTTACGCTTTAAACATTCTATCTAAAATGGTTGGGCGTATTATTTTGTACTTAATTTTTTTTCATTACTGCCATCAATCCTGCCATAGTAAAAATAAAAAAAAAAAGTCTTTTCACGTATCATATGAAATATCCTGATTTTTTGTTTACATGTTTTTAGATTTGGTAACTTTTTATCCTCCATCATCTTGCTATCCCAACGGCTTTCATGATGTAATTGATATCTTTCTCTTTACATCGAAATTTCAAATCCCTTGGAAAAATCTTCAAATCTATACACAAATACGCATAAGCATTGTTATAATGCAGTTGTTATTAGAATTATCCAATGTGTAAACGTGACATGATCGACTTCAAAAAAGCTAACACTCAATATCCAAACAAATTTTTAAATTAACATCTAAAAAATTATTAAACAATTAAAACATATAAATTTTAATGCCTTATTAATCGATAATAAAATAATAAAATATTGATAATATAATATCCCACCGTATGCATTTAATTTAATTAAAAAAAACTTTTTTGAAGTCCATTTATATCGTTGCGTGTGTTCAATTAATGTCCAATAAGCCTTAATGGGAGCTGTGAGATGAATTTAGTATTGGAAAGTATTATAGAGCTATATGTATACAAAATTGTTGACGATGTAGTGTTAGATATAATAAACTGCCTGTTGAGGTTGTCACTGAAATATAGTTTTCAAATTTCAAAAAAAGAACGCGACAATTTTTTGACAGATGACTAACGAAAATACAGATAATATAAGCATTAAATCGAATATAAAGGTTCCTATTCATGTCATTTATAATCGTGACAACCATGTTCATTTGCCTTCATTAAATATCGAAATAGGCGGAGATTTTTGGTCGTGAGTTGAGCTGCAGGAGAATAATGGTGACAATATTATTAAACTTAATGTATGTTAAGACGTATTATAATATAGGCTAAGGATAGTGATTAGGGAATACTCAATTAGTGTCGATATATTATATTTTAATAATTTTTCAATTTACAAACAAAATCAATGGTATTTATATGTAATTTGGACTCAAAATTTATTTACAATTCGCACAATTTATTGATAGATAAAATAAGTATATTTATCGTATATTATTTTTAGTTAAAATTAAACATGCTTTTACTAATTATACGATTTTTTTTATAGCTTAGGTATATATATATATATATATATATATATATATATATATATATATATATATATATTCATTTTTTCATACGCGTATAGTTATTAGACCAGTTATGTTATTCATTCTCGATCTGACTAAGATATGACTTTGTAGATATGTAATAGGTTATTTTTTAACATGTAAGACGTTTAGAGATCTATTTTACATTTTGTAATTTAAAAGTTATTAAAACAATATAAACACATTGAAACTTGTATAATCTTATAGCGATTTGTAATCAAATGTTGCTTATTAAAAATAATAAGACGTATTCGATTACATAAAAAAAACGTGTGTGAGTACTTATGTACGCACGTAATGTAAGAAGTTATACTTCTTTGGCGTAACAAAACAAGAATAGCTAAAGATTTCATTCCGTATGTCGCAAGAGTCCCTCTTTGTAAAAGGAATCCAGCTAACTTCATCATGTCGCTTTTTGGCTGTCGATGTGCGCGTGCATCGTAAAAATTTTACTCTCATATTTTTTTTCCAAACGTGCCAAAAGAAGTGTAACTTCAAAAATATCGATCGTATAATATGTTAAAATAGATCTCATATCATTCAATCACCACGTTTGCCTTAATAATATTCCTTTGCATATTCCTCAGACGCCGAGACAATAATATTTCGAATACTTAAATTATATTGATCTCTAAAATCGATTTGAATCAATTCCGTGGACAACACTGCCTTACAGTATTTTATATGACATATAATCTCATTTTTATGCTTATATTAGCTAGTACGCGTTTTTGTATTTAGAAAATATTAAGGTTTTATGTAATTGTATACAGTTTTATTTATTAATATTTGTAAACGTATAACGAAATATTTGTATTCTTGCTTAATTTGATGCAAAGTATATTAACATTAAAAATAACATTGATGGAGTGTTCACACTTAGTGATTGATGTCCATATTTTCAGAATACGCTTTGTTTGTACGAGTGTTTTTGATAATTTGGCTTCACTTCTGTGAGAGATTTATTTGAGCCAGAATTATCTGATTTTCAATTATACTTACAAATATTAATAAAATTAAACTTCTTTATAACAAATTACAATTATGGAGTATCTATAAGGTTTATGTAATTCATAGTTTAAGAAGTAGAAGTACAGTCGCATTCATTATTATTTACATATACATATACAATTTTTTTCACTATATATCAGAGTTAATGATTGATTATCGATTGTATTGTTTAATTTGAAATTATAATATAATTTTTATACCTAAAGAAATTTCTCGAATTTATATTTAAAAGTAAAATTGGTGTGTTTCTTTTATGGAAATTGAAATCTAGCTTAATTCAATTATATTACAACTTAAAACTAACTTAAAACAATAATCTGGTAATACGGTGACATTTAAGATGACGATTTTTTCTATCGTATAATGTCACGTAGATATTTTTAAATTATGTTTATTATTCAAAAGTAAGGCAGTTTTAGCCCCTAGTGGTAACGCGCTCGCTTGGGAAATCGAGTGAAGCAGGTTCAAATCCCGGGTCTCGCAGTGTAGTGGACTTATGGCCTGAGCCCTGATCCTCGTATTGAAGGGAGGCCCGTGCCCAGCTGTAGGACGTTAAAAAGGGCTGAATACATGCATACATACATTCAAAAGTGCTTATAAAAGTCGGCTAAAGTTACATTTCATTTCATTCATTATGAATTGGATTGCATATATTGAGCTTACTACTAATATATTTTGATAATTGATTCAACTGTGACCCATTAAATTGATAAACATTAAGGAAAAATTTCATTTTTTGATGTTTTCAAATTGACACAACAATTTTACTTTTAATTTATGCATAAATTATTATAGAGATTATTTTACATCACATAAAAGTGTTATGTTGGTCCTTGGAAAATGATATTTTGTACGTCAATAAAGTATTATATGCTGAAGTATTTGTTTTATTTTCGCCCTTTCATGCTAGTACCAGGGTGACTTAGCTTCGCTCGGCGAAGGATCTCGTCCAGTAAGTCCATCCTTTGGCGACAATGCAAGTACCACATGCATTTACGAGATGACGCTATATAACATTGTCAGCGTGTGAGCAGACAGAAAAAAACGTGTGTGTGTACTTATGTACGCACGTAAGAAGTTATACTTCTTTGGCGTTACAGAACATAAATAGCTAAAGATTACATACCCGTATGTCACAACTCTCTGTTTGTAAGAGGAATAATAAATTAATGAAAATAATTGACAGTTATCAGCTAACTTCATCACTCTTTATTTGTTTCCAAATATTAAATATATAAATATATTTATTATTCAAATTCAAATAAGGATAATATTAATTATATTTATATATTTAATATATTTACTCTCATATTTGTTTCCAAACGTGCCAAAGGAAGTATAACTTCAAAACGGCTATAATAATTAATTAGTTATCAAAAAGAGTTTTTTTAGTGTAAAAAACTGGGTTTTTCAAAAAAGACACTTATCTATATACATAAACTTAAAACGCAAAACCTTATCTAAATACAAAATTTGTTACAAATCGTTACAGCCGTTTCCGAGATATACGAATTTTTAATATTCTATCATATTGCCTATTTAATATTAAAAGAAATAAGATAAAAGAAATATCGAGAATGGGTTATATCCTAACTTTACAACATGTACCCGATGTACCCAGATATAATGTGGGGCTCGAAGTGCTTTTACTTGTAACTTTAAACTTTGTGGGAAACACTGCGCCTAACCCGATACAATATATCATTCTTCATTCTTTTATTTAGATTTTCACGCATTTCTAGATAAACGTTCGTGTATACCTACTTAATAATCTTATCATGATGATGTTGTGACGAAATTAAGTGATTATAACAATTAAATATTAATGCTTCCAAGGAACAATATTGTAACTTGTATAGTAGACATTTTGTCGAGACTTAAAATATAGTAGAAGTATATTTAAATGTAAATTTAGTATATTTTTAAACTATCTCAATGCGGAGTTATAAATTTGTTCCTTGCTAGTCGATATTTTTACTTAGAAAGGGTAACTCTAGTTTTTCTTTGGATGTTCGCGTCTGAATAAAAGCTGAGCTAATGTATATGGTTTTAAATTCAGGGTTTTCTTGTGCAACAAAAAGTCTAATTTAAATCCATGGAGCCAATGAAATGCCGCTTAAAAATAATAAGACGTAAATAAATAT